CCTATTATCTGTTCCTACTAATGTTTATGCTCTCGTTTATTGCTTTTAGTTTATCCTATTATTGTCTTTTGCTTTTGCCTTTACCTTCGATTAATGTTGCTATAACTTTATTCCTTCGCTCTTGTTTCCTTAGATAGAACTATACGAGGCGTATTTTCCTAATAATACCCCGGGGGCAGTATTAGGAAGATAGTCGAACCTAACCCCTCTACCCTTCTAGGACTACTTCCCTCTAGATTCCTAGACTCTAGCAACCTTCCTTAAGTAACAACGATAATAGGATACTCTACTAGAGGATGTTCCTACCCTAATTAGCACTAGCTACGTAGGATACTAAGAAAGGGAGGATCCCTCTCCCTTCCTAGCTCTTAGATAGATATAGCAACCTAGGCCTATAGCCTCTAAGAATAGGGACCTTAGGCCGCTAAGCTTAGTATCTAGAAGAAAGAAGAACGCACGGGCTACGTTTATATGTCTGCTGCTATAAAAGGTAATGCTATATCTATAACGATAGTACTATAGGCCAATATAAGCTACGCTAGGCCTAGGCGATTTGCTCCTAGTTGCCGAGCATCTCTAGAGAAAAAGCTAATACTACCCCGGGGGTGTTATTAGTCCCGCTAGCCTTACTACTATAGATTACTACTAGGTACTCGAACTAACTAGTTACATTTCGAGTACGCGGGAATCTACGAAAGCTAGAGGTTAATAAAGGCGCGTAGTCGCTACTAGCAATTAGCTAGATCGATTATTAAACTTTAGCCGCCCTACTAATAAAGGAGTCTCGTATATAGCTTCACTTTTTAGGGTCTATATATAATCGTTATCCGTTTGCTTTACCGGAACACACGGACTACGCTACCTTCGTACCCTATTTAAGGCGAGCTTTCTAAGCTCTTTCTTCTACTTAAACGCTAACTAACTTACTACCGCCTACCCCCTCCCCCTCCTTCTATCTAAACCCTTTAATTATTATTAACAAGCTACGAACGTTTTTGCAAACTCGTTACTAACTCCTTTCCGCTCTAGTCGACTAAGATGTCTTCCGGCGCCCTAAATCCGCTAGGCGCTAGCAGCAGTAGCAACCTACTAGCCCTAAACCTAGGCATACTAGTCCCGATCGAAGCCCCCTCCGATAGCGCCTTAGCTGCTATAACTAGCCTCGAGTACTGCTTCTAGATCGTTACCGCCCTTAAAGACCCTTAAGAGAAGATCTAGAACGCTCGCACCTTGCTACGCGTTATTAATAGGAATATTAAGAAGGCTACTATCTTAGTTACGTACGGTATAAACAACTTGCGTTAGTCTATCGGTAAGCGTATCTTTAAGCGCGAGGTCCTTAACGATATAGATATCGAATAAGCCTTTCCTATCGTCTATAGCCTCGAGATAGCTAGTACCTAGATTCGCTTGCGCTTTAAGACCCTCGACTAGGCCTTCGAATATTAGGGAGGACTAAGCAGTCTTCCTAAGAGCCTTATTAACTTCGCCTACGGTAGATAAGAGCGTACTAAGTAGGTCTCTTCGTTCGTTAATAAGTATAAGGTCCGTCGTTAAGGCGCCGAGCATCTTTCCCGCACTATAATCTATCGTATATCTACCGCTAGTAAGAAGGTAGGCAAGTAGTTACTTAACTTGTCCTTTACGCTTAACGACTTTACGATAGCCTACTAGAAGAAGTACTACGATACGATTGTCTAGGTCGATCTTAATATATAGATAACTAAGGATCTACTAAAAGAGAAGGGCTATCGTATTAATAGTATAGGTTTTATTGTTAAAGGTTAAGAGGCTCCTATCGTTGATGTCCTTAAACGTAAGGCTCTTCGCCTAGAAATAGAGGCCGATACGGCTACTAGTCTCGCGCTCGCTACGGAGATATAGGCTTAAGACCGTCGCTCGACCCGTAACCGTAAGGTCTCTTAGGAAGTTAAAGACGAGCGCGCTAAGGCCGAAGCAGCGCGTAAGAAGGTATTATATGCTCGCTAGGCCCTCCGTAAGGCTACTAAGAAGTATAGCGCCCCTTCTAGTACTAACTATAGTACTAACTATAGTAACTCGGATGTTAATATACTAGATACGCTACTAGAAGATGTCTCCTCCGAAGGCTCCTTTAGCGAGCGTAGAGATAGAGGGCTCTCGCCGATCCTATTAACTAAGAATATCTGTAGTTCTTATAAGGGCGACTCTATTACGCACCTTATTACTAAGATCGATATAGTTCCTAAAGCCGTAATAGGCGAAGCTCCTACCGCCCTCTCTATCTATTAATAGCTCGACGACCTTAGTAAGCTAGGAGAAGAGCCGTTCTCTATATATACTAACTATATTAAGAAGGCCGCTAAGGTCTATAGTCTCTATACTAGTGCTAAGGCGATTGTCCTCGTCGGTCGCCTATTAAAGATTAGTCGCGAGATTCCTAATTAAGACGCCTTCGCTACCCTTAAGGCTAATTAGGCCTATACTAACTAGTTTCCTAGACGCCCTGCTGCCGCCCCGATATCTCTAGGACTCTACGCGTTCAACCCTACTAGTACTATTACTCGCGCCCTTACGCTAACAGATCGCTAGAGTAAGTTCGTTACCGGCATCCTTAGCTAAGGCACCTCCTTCGACCGCTTTCGCTAGACTAGCAATGCTATCTTCCCTTAAGTCTTTAGTTAGTTACAAGAGCCTCGTAGGGTATATCTTCCTTTCCTTATCGACCTAATATAGGAGGAGTTTGAAATGTACCTTTAGTATATGCATACAATACCTAAGTTTAAGCAAGAAGGCCGCAATGCCCTTTAAACTTATAGTATAAGCAACTAAATCGTCCGCTAGCACCCTGCCCTATAGCTCTTAGCTATCGCCCTTCGACCTAATTACGTATACGAGCTTATCTCCGTCCCTAAGCCTACTAAGTTCTTTAAGGTTAGCGGTACTTACGAAAACTGTCCTTCTAAGGAGTCTACTCGTCTCGGATAAGATATAGTTAAGCTCGCAGCTAGCGAGGGTGCTAGTTACCTACGTATTAAGGTCTGCCTTATGTCTAAGGATAAGACTAGCTACTCTACTATTATCGAAGGCATGTATTAGCCCGAGGTCTTTACGAACTAGGTTAAGAAGCTTAAGGCTCGTAGCCTAGTTCTACTAAGTAAGATCGGCAAGCTTACTAATAAGCACCTTACTAACGACGACCTCGACTACATATTCGACGGTTAGCCTAATAGTAAGGGGCGTAAGGCGGAGTAGATCCTCAACCCTCTAAAGGAGTACGAGGTCTCTATTTAGATACTATACCTACTATATAGTAATCTAAAGACCGAGAGCAACCGTATATTAATTAACCTAGGCTATTCTCGCGTTATCGACGGCACTAAGATTAAGGGTTACGACAACTTAACCGTCGCTAAGGTTACTAAGGCGTACCGCAATCTAACCGCCCTTCTAGGTTTAAACACCTTCGTACCGTTCCCCTTCCCTACCGCTATCTTAGTCGAAGGCCTTAGTTGCATCTCCGACGCCCTAGTTAGTAGGATTCCTTAGTTAAGTTACGTTGTTTAGAACGAAGTTAAACAGATCCTCTAGCTTAATAACGAGGGACTTAAGGAATATCTATACGATTAGGAGAATACTACGAAGGAAAAGGCTACTAACCTCCTCGTTAATTAAGCTTTCTACGAGGGACAGTACTTCGGTACTAATAGCTTTAACGCATACGGAGGAGATCTCGAGAACCGACTAGTAGATAAGGTTATTACTAGTAAGGATTACGGCGCGTTAAAGCAATAGTAAGTCTATATAGTGTTGCTTAGGAAGTTGTTTTTGCATAATTATAGTATCTAGGATTAATGCTACCCCGGGGGTATTATTACGGAGTTCTAAGAATAGCCTTAGCTAAGAGCGCTAAGGATGTATATATGTTTGTTTTAAGCGAGCATAATGTAAAACGTGTCTAGTTAGACACGAAGAAAGGGAGGGATATTAGCTAGTAACCGGCCCTATACCTATAGGCTAGTTTTGAGCCTATATAAGAGGCCTCCTTCTATAGAGTAGACAGATTATTAACCTCGTATAGCATATTGTTCGTATTACACTTCTATAATGCCTATATTATAGGGCTCTAGTTATTAGCCTAAGCGATAGTCTCGTTATCCTATCTTGCTAAACATAGCTACCTATATTGCTATAGGTTATGTTACCCTCGGTAGCCTATACTATTGCTATAAGTAGTAGTAGTAGTGTTAGTTTCCGTCCTTTAATAACTAGACTTTACTTATATAATAAGTAGAGCCCTCCTATACTTCCTCTAAGTCGGCTACCTAATATTTCCAATACCCTACTATCGCCCTAGTAGTAGTAGTAGTAGCTTTAGCTAAGGGTAAACTACTAACTTCTTATAGTTAGTAAAGGAATATAATCCCTGCTAATAATTAATATAGCGTCTTATATGCTTTTAAATAGGGCTATTTAAAAGCACGGTCTAGGCCTACGAGTTGATAACTCGCAGGGGTAGATAACCAGCCCTCGAAGGATGCGGCAGTAACCTTCGTATCTACTTTAGTAGCCGACTTCGAGAGGCCCCTGCAAATTAGTGGCTTCTGAAGGTCCCTAACAATGTGCACCATCCGGAGGTGTGCAACGGTGGTCAGCCGCCTTTCTGACCTTCCACCAGCTTCACTTTGCTGCTCGTTGTCTGCCTCACGGCATTTTCATATTCATATATTTGTTTGCACCATTGCACAGTCACTCGTTTAACGACCCTCATTCTGAAAATGTATTCCGTTCTTTACGCTTTGCCCCTTTTGGGCGCGCTCATGAGCACTCAAGCTCGATTGTTCACACCTCCGGAGGTCGAACAGTATGTTGACTCTGCACTGCAGCAGTACTCTTCATACACCCACTATCCAGGACCATCTCGTTCTTGGTGGCAACGATTCCCGAAAGGAGGACCAAAGCCCGCTATGGCTGCTCAGCCAAAGGCGGACAGCAATCCGTCCGATCCGTGTTACTTCTGGATGGAAGATATCAAGCATCAGGGAGTCGCGGCATTCAACTCGAACCCATCTGGCTATCAGGTCTTCCGCAATGTGAAAGACTTTGGAGCAAAGGGCGACGGAGTGACAGATGATACAGCAGCTATCAACAGGGCCATCTCCAGCGGCGGACGATGTGCGCCTGGCGCCTGCGCTTCCTCTACAGTGACGCCTGCAGTTGTCTACTTTCCACAGGGCACATACATGGTCAATGGTAGCATTATTGACTACTATTATACCCAGATCATCGGAAACCCGAAGTGCATGCCAACGATGCGTGCTTTTGCGACCTGGTCCGGCGGACTCGGTGTTATTGATGCCAACCCATACCAGTCCAATGGCAAGCTCGGATTCGGAGCAACGAACGTCTTCTGGAGGCAGATCCGTAACCTCATCATCGACACGACGCTCGTACCAGCTTCTTCGGCCATCACTTGTCTGCACTGGCCGACTGCACAGGCTACGAGCTTGCAGAACATGGTATTTAAGATGAGCTCTGCTGCTGGAACCCAGCACCAAGGTATCTTTATCGAAGAGGGCAGCGGTGGCTTCATGAATGATCTAGTGTTCTACGGAGGTCTGTACGGTGCCAACTGGGGAAATCAGCAGTTTACTGTCAGAAATCTAACATTCTCTGGTTGTCAAACTGCCATCAACCAAATTTGGGATTGGGGCTGGACCTACAAGAGCATCAACATCGACAATTGCACTGTGGGTCTGAATATGTCTACGGGAGGCAGACTCGCACAGACGGTTGGCTCTGTCACTTTCATCGACTCGCAAATCAGCAACACAAAGGTCGGCATCCTTACTGCTCACAATCAGACTTCTTTGCCACCCACGGCTGGCAGCTTGATCTTGGAAAATATAAAGCTCAACAACGTTCCTGTTGCAATTAAAGGACCAAGCGGAACCAGACTTGGCAACACAAACTACATCGCTGGCTGGGTCGAAGGTCATACCTACACTCCAACTGGACCAAATGAAGTTCTCAAGTCTCTTACTCCCAATGCAAGACCGGCAAGCTTACTGCAGAGTGACGGCAAGTACTACGAAAAGTCAAAGCCACAATTCGAGCAGAACTCGGTGTCGGACTTCCTCAGTGCTAGAGATGCTGGTGCGAAGGGAGATGGCAGGACCGATGACACCAAGGCACTTCAGAACGCAATCAATCAGGCCAAAGCCGGCGGCAGGATTCTCTACTTGGACCATGGCGACTATCTCGTCTCTTGCACAATCTACATTCCCAGTGGCTCCAGGATCGTTGGGGAGTCTTTCTCCGTCATCCTTTCGTATGGTGCATACTTTGACGACATGACGAATCCCAAGCCGGTCGTTCAAATCGGAAAGGCTGGCGAGCAAGGCTCCATCCAATGGACCGACTCAATTGTAAGCACGCAAGGCAGGCAACGCGGTGCTGTGCTCTTCGAATACAACCTGATTGCACCTGCCGGATCACCTTCTGGTCTCTGGGACGTTCACGCACGCGTGGGAGGCTTCGCTGGCTCGAAACTCCTTCTTGCAAACTGCCCTGAGACACCAAACACTGTAGTGACCGCCAACAATCTTAACACAGACTGCATTTCCGGCTTTCTCACCATGCACATCACCAGCCAGTCAGCTGGCCTGTATCTGGAGAATGTGTGGCTTTGGGTTGCCGACCACGATGTTGAGGATCCCGCACTCACTCAGACAACGATTTACGCTGGTCGTGGTCTACTCGATGAGAGTCAAGGTCCTGTCTGGATGGTCGGTACAGCAGTCGAACAGTAAGTGAATCTCCTCTTCCAACTTTTTTCTAAAAAAAACGGCACTGATGTTCCCTCCAGCCATGTCCGCTACGAGTACCAATTCGCCAACGCTCGCAACGTCTTTGCCGGCCAGATCCAAACCGAGACAGCCTACTACCAGCCGAATCCCAACGCCCGCATTCCCTTCCCCGTCGTGAAAGCCCTAAACGATCCCTCATTCGATTCAACCACAGTCAAGGACAGAAACCTCACCATCCCAGCCGCAAACGGCTGGGGCTTACGGATCGTCAACAGCACAGACATCCTCGTCTACGGCGCCGGTCTTTACTCTTTCTTTAACAACTACAGCACAGCATGTTCCGCACAAGGAAACCAATCCGTTTGCCAGAATCGGATTTTGAGTGTGGAGGGAAGCAATACTCGAGTAAGTGTGTATAATTTGAATACCGTGGGTACGCATTGGCCGATTACGGTTGATGGGAAGGATGTTGCGTATTATAATGATAATCAGGATGGGTTTGTTCAGACGATTGCGTTGTTTAGGCCCTGTATACTTCGATAATATATAGCATATTATCGTCTAACAATACGTACAACACAGCTATCCCTTTCAGTAGTATACTATTAATAGTACGCTACCTAATCTCGCTACTCGCTATCTACTTCTAGTATATATATACGTATTTTAGTAGCGCTACTAAGCGCTACTAAACCGCTAGTTTTGCGATATACCTAGAGTATATCGTAGGCTAGTCCGAAGCCTACTCGAGGCCTATAGACCTTCCTAAAACAGCTAGTATATATTAAAGGCCTATTTCGCGGTATAGTCCGAGTCGCGTTTATATAGCGCGTTATATATAGGTCGTAGAATCGATATAATCGGTAGAATTAGAGCGCGTTTTTAAGGAAATAGTAGAAGAAGGTATTAATATCGTATTATTTAAGTTAGCGGTTATAGTAGACTTAATCGAGGTCTCGTATATATAGCGGAGTAATTATATTATAATAAAGGAACGACGAAGACCGCTAGGCAAGGTTACTAGTATTACGTAGTATATCGACGTTAAGGTTCTATATAAGAGCGTCGAAGGTAGGCGTAGATCTACGTAGATACGCGAGGTTAGAGCCCCTACTAAGGGCTAGAAAGTATAAAAACTAAGGTTATATACCTTATTAATATACGTAATATAAGGTAAGAATACTAACTACTTTAATAGCTAATAATATACTATATATTATCGAAGTATATAGGGCCTTTAGGAATAGGGGCAGGGTTTGAGATATCGACAGTGAAGCGAAACAAGGAGGGTTAGTATAGGGGAGCATGAATTTTATAAAGTCCCTTTGGTTTTAATGCCTTTAGAAAACAGTACCTTCAGTTTCCATGTCAGATCTCCACTGTCTGCTTACTCGACGCTTCTTGCAGCTGTCTTGCCCACGCCTGCCTGATCGCTAATCGCAAAACAGAAGTCATTGAGCAGGTGCTGGTCATCTCTGGACAAGAAGCATTGGCGTGGAGAAAGGCAGGTACTCTACACGAGATGACGCTCTCCATCTCTGGTAATGTCTTGGGGTGAAAGCTTTCGTCCTAAAACTGTCTTGCATGTGAACACTAAGGCTGCATGGATAGCGACACAAAGTTATTGTTATTCACTCCGGACATCTTCACTTGCAGGCTCTAGGCACAGGAATTGCTAGTCAACAGTTATAAAAGCATGCAGAAATCATCTTCTCGATGACACTGTCTACACACAGTTGGATGCGATCTTAAAGCCGGCGTCTTGCAGGACTCGCATCGATTGCACGGAATAAGCTCGTCAGACAGTAGAAGTTACTAGGTCAAGATGCCGCCAAAGCGAGTTCGAAAGCCACGCGCGAAGCCAGCAATACTGAAGCCAGCAACGCCTCCTCCCACGCCACTGCCTCCGCCGCCAGTTCTGACCAACCTCGAACAGACTTATGAGGCTTCAAACTGGCTCTATAGCGCCAGCTCAATTCGGCAAGTCGCGCAGTCTCAAGTCATCCAGGCTGAGGTCGAGTTGGCGATGCATCGTCGTGTAATTGAGAGGGATACAGAAGCGCAGTCTGACTTAGCGGCGATCCGCGAGAAGGTCATCGCTGATGAGGAGTACCTCAAGGAGGCACAAAGCAGGCTGCAGGCCGCTAAGGGTGAAGAGAATGCAGCGATCAAGAGAGTCAGCAATCTCTACGCAGCACTGTCCGGGCGTGAAAAGGAGGAATACGACAAGACTAAGGGTCAAGGACGCAGACTCGAGAAGAGAAACGCTGGCTTACAAGCTCAAGTTGCCAAAGACCAGCACCGCCAGTCTCAGCGTAACCAAGTCGAGGAGTGGTATCAGTTGACCGAGATCGCCTTCGAAAACTACTCACAGATCAAGGTTTTCCCGACACCACCAGCTCTGTACCACTGCAACAAGGACCAATGTCGCCGATCTGTCCATGCGGCCAAGTTCGCTCTCGGCATGTGCTCATGCGATCTGAAGGAAGTCTTCCGGGTATATTCAACCTACCACCAGGACTTCGATCCTAATGAGGAGAGGAAGAGATGGCATCCAGATTTGTTCTCGGGATGTCAGGACAAGCGGATGAGAGAGATGGCGGAGGAGATTTTCAAGGTATTGGGAGAGATGAAGCCGAAGGTATGAAGAAGATGGGTATCGTCGTCTCGATATGAACGGCGTCGCAGGCTGCGCTGCCGCTTGTGTCTTCGCATAGATTGTTCTGTTGCTTGTGCCATGCTCTTGCTTCGGGTCCCATTTCTCATTAACGATTCCCCGAGTATTGCCTAGTCCTATCCATATTCATATACTCTCCTACGACATCAGCTCCACGAGGTAGGCTGCTCGCTATGTGTGTCGGATGTTGATGCTCAGCAGCGTGCTGTGAGAATAATGAAAGCAAGCTCCACACGCGCCAAGCCTTTCTCCGCCCGCTGGCGCCAACCTTGTTTTCACCCTGCACGATTGCTTCGCCAACAATTCTCCTTTCACACTCCTTGCTCCCACCGTGAAGCAGTATGAACACTTGATGTATCTAGACTGCCAGCCGGCCGGCCGTGCCAGCCTCAGGCCACGATCACGTGCCCGAGCGTTCTTGGCATCGCTACCTCTTCTTCGTAGAACCCGTAGACCTCTAATCTACTAGTGTTCTTACATTAAGTAGTTATAAGCTACCCTGCGTTTCTAGCACCTCCGATCTATTAATTCAATTAATAGACACTCCGGTAATATACAGCTCGGTTCTCTAACCTTATCGTCGTCGCCTCCGATCGCTAAAAATTACTATTTATAAATATCTCGTTAAACCTCCTACTAATACGCGTTCACGCGTAGATAGAAGGAGAAGGACTACTAGGTCAATATCTAAAGGAAGAGAAGAAGAATCTAAAGCTAGCTATAGTAGCAACGATATACTCTTATTCTAGCTCTCTACTATAGTTAGGCTTTAAGCTTAAAAGCAAAGCTAACTATACTATATAGGCGGATAGCGCCGAGAGCGCTCTACGCGGTGTAGGCCTCTTTAAGTACGCTAATAGCACACGTACTAAGCTAGTGCGTTAATTAGGCGAAGACTAGGCTATATTTAAACAGCGAGAAGATAAATTTAACATTAAATTATCTTAAGCCTACACCTTCCTCTATACTAACTGCTAATCGTATATCTAAGCAACCCTTATTAGGCTCTATATAGCTAAAGAGGTATAGGATCGTCTCTAAGCCGATTACAAGCTAGGAGGTCTTGCTAAGGAATATGCTCGGTACGTTAAGTAGATTATATTACGCTATATAGGCGACAATTTAGAGGGCTTCTGCAATAAGTATCGCGCTAAGTTACAACTTCTAAAGGAGGGTGATCTAGCTATCTCCGACCGCTAGAGCGTATACTAGTTTATTATATGCCTCGGCGCTTAACCTAAGCTATCTCAATTTACTATATCTAAGCGTAACATCCTACGTAACTAGAGCAGAGCCTCTATAGTTACACTTAATAGATTAATTACGAATGTTATAGACGAGAACATAGTAAGGGACAATAAAGCCACTTACGCTGCTAACTTCGCTAACGTTAACTCTAATCGCCCTAATGCTAATCGCTCTAATTCTAATCGGCTAAAGAAAGACGATAAGTCGAAGGGCAGCAAGAAGTGCAAGTACTACCCTAAAGCGACTAATTATATAACAGAACAATGTCGCAAGAACCCGAAGAATTAAGACGACTAAGATAAGTCTAGTAACTCAACTTAGCAGTAGTAGTAGCAAGGTAGAGGCTAACGAGGCAACTTATACCTTAGCTTAAACTATTCGACTAACAACGCCGACGATAGCGATACAGATAGTAACGATAAGCGAGCGCAGTTCGTATACGCTTAGTATCTAATATTGTCCCTATTTGGATATCGCAGCTTTATAGCATTTGCTACTAACAACGGCACGTCTATAAACGAATCCCTATGCCTGCTAGACCTCGACCTCTCTAAGGACATTATGCTCGTAGAAGACACTAGAGCTAACCTTTACCGCGCTTAAGACCGCGAAGACATAATTATTAACTCTAGCACGACTATATATATAATAAACGACGCTAGACGTATTATTAAGAGTATTCCTTGCTCTACGAGTGTATAGACTAGCAAGGGTCGTCTTATGTCTAAGTCGTATACGCTTATTAGCATAAAGGTTGTTAATAACTTCGGCATAGAAGAGATTACACTATTCGGAGCATTATATATGCTAGGCCTTGCTACAAACCTCATTTCTACCTATATGCTTAAAGCTAAGGGTTGCTACTATCGCAACGATTATAACTTGCTTTATAAGTACCGTAGCAAGAAGCAGGTTCCTATAGCCTATATTAATATAGTGTCTAGCCTACTAACACTTCGCATTGCTAATAGTCTACGATCTAGTACTATGTCTCGCGTATAGCTACTCGCGCGGCCTGCTATTAATATTATTCGCAAGCTAGCTAACAGTTAACAACGACAGTAACGAGAGCCTATTATCGCCCTTACTATAGTAGCAGACTAAATAGCTCTTACTAATTCTAAAGTGCTATATAGTCTTAAAGCTACAAAAGACATATAGCATCGCCGCTTCGGATACCTTTATCCTAGTATAGTTAATTATCTTATTCGAATAGGCTAGATCGAGCTTATCGGTAGTAAGAAGGAATTCTTAGCGTGCCTCGCATGCCGGAAGGCACTTATAAAGAAGGTCTATAGCCGACTAGTTACGAAACGACTACTATATATCTACGTAAAGGTATACGTCGACGTCGTATCTGTTACTAACCGCGGCATTAAGGGTGAATACTACTATATACTGTTTACCTGCGTAACATTACTTTATCGTTATATATATACTAACCTACGCAAGAACGCGGCTACTTAGTATATAAAGATCTATAGACAGTACGTCTACGTATAGACACAGATTCGTATACCGATCTATGTTATCGACAGCGGCGGTAAGTATAGTAGAAACGAGCTTTACGCTCTTTGCGAGAAAGAGGGCATTCGTCTATATATAATAGCACCGCACTCCTTAGAGCAGAACGGCCGAGCAGAAGTTAGCAATTACATCCTTAATACTAAAATTAGGAAGGTTATAATCTACGCTAACCTACTACGTATATTATAGCTAGAGATAGGCCAAACCTATGTAATGCTACTTAATATTACACCGAGCTAGACTCTCGGCCGCTTACCTTATAAGATCGTTACTAGAGAGCTAGGGGTGCAGGATCTACTTCTACGATACGACTAGCTTAAAGCAATAGGCTATAGGTGCATTATATATAGCGAAGATGTTCCTCGCGGCGCTAAATTCGATTTACGCGGAGAGTCTAGATAGCTAGTTAGTTACGAAGGAACGACAACTTACCGTATATAGATAAAACACAAGCACAAGGTAGTCAAATCTAAAGACGTTTAGTTTATCGAAGATAACGGTCCTATTTTAATGCTACTAGATAGCGAACTAGACAATAAGCTAATGCTTAATTTCGACGAGATCTTTCTATACGCTCTAAACCTTATTACTTCTAGGGGTGCGGCTGCATTAATATTAACTACGCTACTAGCGCTAGCTACTGCGCTAGAGGTACCGAGAGAGGCATTAACTGCGCCTTTATCTCTAACGCTAGTAGAACCTAGGCAACGACCTTAGCGACGTAGCATTACGCAACGTCGATAATCTCTTAACCTAATAAAGGCTTTACATTCTAGTAAAGGCAAAGCTCCTACGTTTATACTAAAAGCACTTCCGATAGGCTCTAAGATTATAGCTCTAGAGCCCTACGTCGAGAACGACGAAGAAGAGCCCTTACCTAACCTAGCAGAAGAAGTTCTTAATGCTATAGAATATAGTAAACTTGCTAATCTATTGCTAGAAGTCTAACTAGCACCTCTTTCTCCTATTATTAAAGAAGAAGAAAATAAGGAATAGCAATCCTATACGCCGCCTAGATAGCTACGACAAGAAGATTCTAGGTTACTATCGTAGCTACAAGGGTCTCGAAGACGGTTATTGTTATAGCCTTAACAATAGAGCGACGATACTTTAATACTAGTACCCTTAACTCCGCCTTAACCTAGCAATCCTCGTCTAAACTTGCTCCGATAGTACGACGGGCTTTAGCGAATACTACTATTGCGCTTTAATCGCTTACCGCTATTACCGTCCTATCTAGCGTTACCGACGGCCTTACACTCGCCGCTAACGTTTAAGCGCTTATCTACTCTATCTCTGCCTACGCCGTAACCTCTGCCGAGGTAACCTTAATAATAAGATCTAAATTAATAGCGAACAAAGCGACGTACAAAGCAAGAGCTATATAGTATAGAGCCTATAAGGAAGCAGCCTAATAGGTAAGCTCGTAATAAGACGCGAGATAAGTAGATAGGATATTATAAAGTTAATTTAAATCGCCGCGAGCGCCGCTCGTTCTATTACTTATTAAGCAAGAAAGAACGCAAAGAGCTAAAGGACATGCCGTATACTATAATTAGTGCCTTCGTAGCATCCGTTTAAGACTCTAAAGCATAAGACATCCGCATACCTAAGAGTGCTAAAGAGGCGAAGAAGATACTAGAATAGCCTTAATAGTAGGTAGCAATGCAAACTAAAAAGCAAGCGCTTAATAGCAATAAGATATAGCTTTTAGTAAACAAGACTAACCTTCCGCCGGACGTTAACATTATTAAAGGCCGCTAGGTATTTACTATTAAGCTCGATACTAATAGTAGAATTTCTAGGTTTAAGGCACGATAGGTTGTCCGAGGTTTCTTACAAATTAAGGGAGTCGATTATAATAAGACGTACTTACTAGTTATAAAGTTATCTACGCTCCGACTTATCTTTACTATAATCGCATACTACGATCTAGAATGCCGCTAGTACGATATTGTTACTACCTTCCTTAACGCACTTATTAACGGTAGGAAGATCTACGTCGAGATGCCGTATATGTTTAGCGATAGTATACAAGTATGCCTCCTTCTACGAGCACTTTATAGTCTTAAGCAATTACTATTGCTCTAGTACGAAGAGCTAAAGAAGTTCCTTACTTAACTCAAGTTTAGTCCTATTCCTAGCGATATCTATATATTTAAATATATCTAGTCTAGATCTATAATCTGCATCTACGTTAATAATATACTTATTATTACATACTCTCTTAAGGCAGTAGAGGCAATTACAACGCTCTTTAAAGATAAGTAGACACTACGAGAACTTAGAGATCTTTACTATTTCCTTAGAATACGGATTATTCGAGACCGTAATAAGAAGACTATCTACGTCGTTTAAGACGGCTATCTCTCTAAATTGGTATATAAATATTCCCTTATAGGGTATAAACTACCTACATTACCGATAGACTTACGGAACAAACTCCGTAAGGCACTAGACGGCTATATCGCTAAAAAGGGTCTTAAAGAGAGATATTAAGTCCTAGTCGGAGAAGTTCTTTAGCTAGTAATAATTACTCGTACTAACTGCACTTTCGAGATTAGCCGTAAATCTCGCTTTCTAGCTAACCTAACAACGGAACACTATATAGCCGTATTCCGTATCCTTAAATACCTTATCGGTACTATAAACCGCGGCATTTAGTTTAATAGTAATAGTAGCAGCATTGCGGATCTGTATAGCTTCGCCGATACTACGTAGGCTAATAACCTAGATAACCGCCGGTCGATAGGAGGCTACCTATATACAATCGGCAACTCTCCTATCCTATAGAAGAGCGGACTTTAGCCTCTCGTAATATTGTCTTTAATAGAGGCAGAATATGTTTAGCTAGTATTAGCCGCTCGAGAAGGCATAGTACTAGCAAACCTACTTACTAACCTTAATATCTTTAAGCTAGCCGATAACGACAAGTTAGTGTTTCTAGTTACTATCTATAAAGACAATATCCCTACTATCGACATTACTAAGCGTACTAATAGCATTAATAGCCGTACGAGACATATCGATATACAATATTACTTTACTTAAGAACAGATTTAGAACGGCCGCATTATTGTCGACTAGATTAGTACCGACAAACAAAAAGTAGACGGCCTTATTAAGGCTCTCGATCGCTATAAGTACGAAGCCTTCGTACGCTAACTTAACCTCGTTAACTATATAGTCGCTATTTAGAAACAGATAGCGTAGTAATATACAATCTAATATTAATAGAGTTTCTCGGCCTCTTATTAGCTAACGCTAGAAACACCGCTAATCGCTCGCTCTATATACTTAATTGTTTAATTGCGTAAGTAAGAGATCTATAGCGTGCGCCTTATTACGACCTACGAGTCCTAGACTAATTGTACTAATACCTAATAAAATAGCTAATAGTATATACATTTTATATAGTACGTATACGCGATAAGCGGGAGGCGTTTAAGGAGGTATAGGTAGTAGCCCTTATATAAACAATATGCATTGTTATAGTTGTTGTCGCTTGTAATAACGCTCGTTTAGGGGGTAACTTAATATATCTAGACTGCTAGCTAGCCGGCCGTGCCAGCCTCAGGCTACGATCACGTGCCCGAGCGTTCTTGGCATCGCTACCTCTTCTTCGTAGAACCCGTAGACCTCTAATCTACTAGTGTGTATCTAGACTGCCAGCCGGCCGGCCGTGCCAGCCTTAGGCTACGATCACGTGCCCGAGCGTTCTTAGCATCGCTACCTCTTCTTCGTAGAACCCGTAGACCTCTAATCTACTAGTGTTCTTACATTGAGTTGAACAGCTCACTAATATGCATAGATCTGATCAATGACTAGCCATTCATGAGCAGCTGGGAGGCGGTTGCCGGCAATCTCTACACCGTGTTCCTCAACGGCGGGCCTCAGACGTTGGTATGGGGCTTCCTCCTCGTCTGGCCGGGTGCAATATCACAGGCAGCCTCGATGGCTGAGATGGCCTCCGTACAGCCTATTGCTGGAGCAATGTATCACTGGACTTACGCACTACCGCCGAGCAGTATCACGCGCTTTGCGACCTGGCTCCAAGCATGGATCACTTGGGCTGGCTGGATCGGTATGTCTGTCGGAATAGGGACTGTGACTGCTTCCTGGATCATCAATCTTGCACAGCTGCACTATGCGAACTATGAAGCGAAGCTATGGCATACCACTCTCATCATCGGGGCAATGCGATTGATGACAACCCCTATTAATTTATCCAGATTCGGCAAGCTTGTGCCATGCATCGAGACCGTCGCGGGCTGCTTTCACGTCATGTTCTGGGTCGTGTTCTGCGTGGTCCTACTTGCGACAGCCCCAAAGCACGATGCGAACTTCGTCTTTTTCAGTCGCGTGTCTACACCGCTTATGTCATGATACGTTCATAGGCCTATGATCTATCCCGGGCCCTGTCCTCAGCTTAACAGCACTAAAGCCGCTCTGTTCGCCCGAAACCCTTATCATGGAAGAATGCAGTGCAACGACTGGTACACATCCCCGGTGTCGCACAGCGTTGCTGCGGACGCATACCCTGACTTCCGCCGGCTATGCACTGTGTCTTCTAGCGTTCTGCTTCAAGCTGCGGCACAGCCTGGCCTTGGATCACTCCCAGCTAGATGGCATTCCCGACGACGGGTCTGAGCCCCGAGACGTGATCCGCAACCACGAGACAGGATCCCGGATGCAGAGCCTCGTGCAGTGCCACCAGGGAGCATCGGATGTAAGCGCGCTGCGCCTGTTGCGCGTGCGTAGTGATGAAACATCCTTGCGATATTGGAAGGACACAGAATTACCATTCACGTCTGGAAAGACGACAACCCATGGCAGAGGCCGCCTTTGTGTTGCAGCTTTGAGGCCCTCTGATCTTCACTTTAACAGGACCTGCACATGACAGGACAATGACTCGCTCCCTAAGTCATCGATATACTATAAGTAGCCATGGACCTAACGCCCTTAGACATGCTCGCGCCAATAGCAGCACCTCAACGAATCCTGTCTACCGCCATGGCACCGCAAAAGGAAGATGATAGAGGGAGCAATGACGACCAAGAAAATGTCACTACCCATGACGAGTGAGTCTCTTCATCCCATCGCCAAGCTTCTTCTTCGCCGCTGAGTATGAGCAGCCTCTTTTCGCAGATGGGCAGTCAGTTCAACGACCCAGGCGACCGAGAGCACGACTACCCCAACGAGGTCAAGCTTGCCGAGGAAGATATCCCAAAGCAATGACTTGGAAACGTTGGTTCGGAGCTTTGGCTGGTGGGACTGTACAGCGGAGTGCAGAAGATAGAGTAGACTGCGGATCAAGCAAGCAGCTTTCACGTACATCGCATTGGCAATAAAGGGTCGCTTGCACCACGGTTCGAGTCAAGCTCTTCAAAAAAAAATCTCATAAGATGCTAGTAAACGCCAAACGATGTCAATGCCATTCATTTGAGAAACTATCCACTAGACAAAAGAATCACTGATTCCCTCTCTCCGCATCCTCCTCCGCGTTCTTAGGCACAGAAACCATAAGCGGCACACTATTCGCATTCAATCTCCGAAAAGCCTAGAAAAGAAAAATCGTCAGCAAATAATCACCATCCCCGAAAAAAACAAAACGTTCAAATCAAACCACAAGAAGAAAAGACACGACAGTCTCTCACCCATCCAAGGAGTAGTATACCCCCCCCCCCCCCCAAACTCCAAATCCACCAACCCCAACCCTCTGCATACTTCACCCACCAAAAAGGACTCAAAAGCTGGCACACAGAACTTACATTCACAATCCCACTCTCGGGCAACTTCCCATCCCATTTATCCTGCACTTTAGATATCTTCTCCCCCTCCGTGAAAATCAAAACCTTACTCTCAACAACCTGCTCCTTCCCAATCCCCTTCACAACATATCTCGTCTTCAGATCCATCTCGATCGGGTTACCCGAGGAAGTGACTTCATGATGCAGACGCTCGATTTCTGAGAACGCGGTTTGGAGACCGTACCATTGGGGTTCGAATTGTTTTCGACCTGTTGCGACGGTGAGCGGGTCTTCGAAGGTGGCATCGTCGGTCCAGAGTTGGAGTTTTGCGAGGCTGGGGCGGCCGGCGAAGAGGTCGAGGATGGAGGAGACGAGGGTTTTTTGGGTGGGGGTTAGGGTGACTCCTGAGCTGGTTTTTATGTTTGTGTTTTCGAGCTTGAGGTCGCCGGAGGAGGTGGACATGTTGGTTTTTTGTGTGGTGTTTGGGGAGAAGGTTAATCTGGTGGGATTGAGGTGGTAGCTGGAGATGGGGTTTACTCTGGCAGTGTTGAGTTCGACTGTGTGCAGAGATCGACTGAGCTGGGGAGCAAAAGGTCTCATGAAGACAGCTTAGGAGTGTAAATCGATGTTGGACGGGTCGGTCGACTCGTCAAAGGCACCAGTGGTGTGTCGTTTGATGCAGAGCCTGTTGATTGGACTATGATAAGTGGACAACAGTAGGCGGAGCGTGGTAGAAGAGAAAGATGGATTGCAATGCCCAAGGACAATAGATGTGTTCAAAAGTCGATTGCACGACATGACGTACATCCATCATCATGAGCTCAAGCTGACGCGAGAGCCACGCGACAAAGGAGGGTCCAAGGGTCCAGATCTCAAAATACCGAGATCTAGTCTCAGATCATATCGAGCCAACAGCAACGAAGACCTACAATATGACTTTTGTTGTCGACTGCCTAACTCTTCGTCCAATGACAATGTGTACCCATTGTCGGAGATGGCAGAAAGCGGAGTTGAACTTCGAGACTGCTCATTCACCTGGCTTCTTCCCTACGCAATCCATCGAAGACTGCAAGCTGTTGGCCTCTACACGAGAAGCTATAGGACGAAGCAATTCGGCGTCGATGTCGAGAAGTCTGTGCCTAGCAGCAGCTTGCCGAATTGCTATGTGTGTGTGCAATCCATAGCCGAGCACTTGAGTTGACCATTGCATCTCGTTCTCCAAGCCATTGCTCGCCCTCATGTTTGCAGCGTGTGTGACTCCTGGTACCAAAGTCTGCACAGGCACCACTCTGGTAAAGCCTTGCATTGATCTCCTCAAGCTGGCCTACTCTCGAGCATCGCATGTGAATTCGAAGGACAATCCAGCGACCTTCTCCAGAGCTCCCTCTCAAGAAGCGCCTTCCTTCAAATGTCCAGCAGTAGCCACAGCCAAAATATCCTCCTCCATCCCAGCCACGGCTACAACCTCAATCCCAGCATCTCGAAGCTTCCTCTTACCCTCATTAAGCCCCACAAACGTCTCCGGCTCACTCACCCCACACACCACAAATCGTATCGCAGGCGTACCGTCCCGCCTCTTCAGCGCCAGAATCCTATCCACACACGGGAGATTGCCCACAGAGCGCTGATTGCAGGGCTCCATCGTGGTGTAGAGAATGGTATCTTCTGGCAAATTCCGTCCCAAGTCGGTGTCTTCACAGCCATACTTTTCTCCCAGCTTGATGAAACAGCTCTGTTCGGCGTGCGTGTTGCCTTTGCATTCGAGCGTGTAGCCTGTGATTAATGGCTCTCGGCTTTGAGAGGGTGCTAGAAGTAGGGCGCCTACGCAGAAGTTGGTGGGTTTGGGCGGCGATCTACGCGCTTCGTTTAATGCGAGGCGGAGGTAATGGAGATGGTTGATGGAGTCGGGAGCAGACATGGCAGGTAGGAAGAGTTGGGATGTTTCGCTCCAGGGTTCGATTGGTGATTCGAGCCGGGGTGGCTCTTGTTCTCAGCACATATCGAGCTCGGGTTGTGGCTGTACAGCAGTATATCCTCGAGAGGTCCACGGCGGCCCTTGTGAGAACCTCGACAATGTCGTCTTCGTGGTCACTGAATGTTATTATAGTACCCTCAGAATTCGCGATCTCACCCGAGTTTCGTCCTCGCAGCCGACGTCGATCTCCCGAGGTTGAGACCGACGTCAGCTGTTTTTATAGAGAGCATTATTCCCTGCATATCACATGCGGCAATTTTCTAAACGCGTCTCCTGATGAGATCGAGACACGATGAAAGATGTGAGTTGTCAAATGGGAGCAGATGAAGGGGAGAAGACTGACCAAATCTAGGATGGACCGAATACTCCAGCGATAGTATCTCTGCTAGCCGGCGGCATAGCAGGAGCAGTCGAAGGTGCCGCAACAGTACGATAAGCAACACTTTGAGTACGCGAAAAAAAGAACCTATTCTTGTTACTAATACCATTCCAGTACCCATTCGAATTCGCAAAAACACGCGTCCAACTCCGCGAACAAAAAGGCCAACCGACACCCAGAAACCCGTTCAAAGTCGTCTACAACGTCTACGCAAAAGAAGGCATCCGCGCCTTATACAAAGGCTGTCTCCCGCTGGTAATCGGCAGCGTAGGAAAAGATGGAATCCGCTTCCTCTCCTTCGACACAATAAAAACAACCTTCAAAGACCCCGAAACCGGAACCCTCTCACCTCTCCGCAACATGCTTTCCGGCATGGCGTCGGGAGTCGTCGCGTCCGCGACAGCAGTGACTCCGACCGAAAGGATAAAAACCGCATTAATCGACGACGCGCGAAACGAGAAACGTTATGTGAATGCGAGACATTGTATTAAAACCATCCTCTCCGAAAACGGAGTGTTAGGCCTGTATCGCGGTTTCGCTGGTACGACGCTGAAACAAGCCGGCGCCACAGCTTTCCGTATGGGGACGTACAACGTCCTCAAAGATTATGAGAAGGTGCGAAACATTCCGCAGACTACGGCGACGAATTTCGCGAATGGGAGTGTGGCGGGGATTGTGACGACGCTGGCGACGCAGCCTTTTGATACGATTAAGACGAGATCGCAGTCGGCGAAAGGCGCGAGTACGGTTGAGGCTTTTAGTAGTATTGTGGCGGATTTTGGGGTTAAGGGGTTTTGGAAGGGGACCACGATGAGGCTGGGACGGACGGTTTTCAGTGGGGGGATTTTGTTCACGACTTATGAGTGGGTGGCGGCTTTGTTGAATCCGATATTCATGTCAAAGGAAGTTGTGTGAAGGGATGGATGATGGTCGGTTGGAAGAGCTTTGCGAGTGGAGGTTTTGTTACAGATGTGCAGGTTGGATAGATGGCATGACTCGGATGTCAAAAGACGCGAGAAGAGATATTCGAGAAATTGTGTCGTTTGTTTGAACTTGCTAATCATCACATCATCCTCTATCGCCTCAATAACTCCTGAACGATGCTCTTGTTTTGTATAACCTGTGAGTTCTCCTCGTCGACACCATGTCGTCCAACCACATTCAAGAACACCTGATCTAGAGTGGCATGACCGATGGTGTAATCCCTAATTCCCATCCTCTCCTTCTCAGCCTCAACAGCTCGGAACATTCGACCCAAACTACTGCCGTCGAGAAGACCTCCTCCATTACCTTCCTGGCTAACAGGCACTGCGAATCGGACTTGTCCACCGACCGCCTTCCCCGTCTCAGCGATAGCAAAAGTATCTTCAACCCACAGCCAAAGCTCAGCCATTTGCTGAGGCGAAGAACGCGGAGAATCTTCGTGAACGAGATGAACGTAGACTTTGTCACCGACTCTCTCGTGGAGGCTCGAAATGGTGCCGAGCGCAAGCATTCGACTTGCCATGATACCTGCACGATCACATAATGAATCGGCTTCTTCCATGCTGTGGGTAGTGAGGAGCAATGATCGTCCGGCGGAGACGGCTTCCAGAGTCTTCCATAATGCGCGTTTCGAGGCGGCGTCCATGCCGCTAGAGGGCTCGTCGAGGAGCAGAACAGATGGGTTGGAGATCAGAGCGATTCCCAGGGATAACTTTCGTTTCGTGCCGCCTGAGAGCTTCTTGACGAGCTTGTTTGAAGTGATCTTGCATGCCGAGACGCTTGATGATCTCTGCGACGTTCTCCTTACGCTCCTTCTTGTTCAGTCCGCGGGCACGGGCGTAGAAGTGGAGGTGTTCGGAAAGCGTCATGGAGTCTACGGCGTCGAATTGTGGACAGACGCCGAGATGTTGCTTCGCTGCCACTGGTGTACGCATGAGGCTATCTCCCGAGATGTGGATCTCTGGTTAATTTACGGAGTCTGGTCGAAGGTCGCCTCGGATAAGTGAGATCATGGTGCTCTTGCCTGCTCCGTTCGGGCCAAGTAGAGCGAACTTTTAGAGGGCAGAATGCCGAAGCTAACATCGTCCACGGCCTTGTTGGTGCCAAAGGTCTTTGAGATGTGACCAACGCGAAGACCACGATTGTTTTTTGAAGACAAACGATGCGCGTCTTCGGTGGCATCAGAAGAAGTGCTAGCCTCCTTCTCAGCATCCGAAGAATCTCGTTGCTTCTTAGAGCCGACGCGGATACCAAATGCCTCCAGACTTCGGCCTGACTCCCAGAAAACCAGGAACGCAACCAGTAGTACGAACTACAGGACCAGGTACAGGATTGGTCCTCCGAACAGACCAATGTAAACGGGATTTGATGCCAAGTAGGCACCATCGCAGGAAATACCATAGACATTGAGGGTGACCAAGAGTGCTCTGAGGAGACTGACCGCTGGGCAAATTAATGCTACGGTCCAATAGATTGTGTCAAGCTGGGTGTACAGCACTTCCAGATCGGCCATGTCGACCGTAAGGAAGCAGCCGACGAAGAACAGCATAGCGATGACGACTTGTACGATGCAAGTCATCGCAATAGCAGCGAGCTGTGATGGTGCGAAGAGCGAGATCACGTAGGAGTATGCTGTAGCTGCACAGCCGTAAAATAAGAATACACTAGGCGAAATCAGTACTGACGCATGGATAGAAGGCGAGAAGAACTTACACCAACATGTATCCTAGACCGTACCAGTTGTACCCATTTGCCAACCAGATAGCAGTCACTAGGACGGCAATCAAAAGCAGGAAGCAGGAGTCGAAAAGAGCGTATGCAGTCCACAGCGGGCACGCAATTATTCGCCAGCGAAACTGCGTAGGTCGGTTGTCTCGTTCGATTCGAGGTGATCACATCGCAACGCTTTCTGGACGATCAGCGTGGACGGTCGGCGCGGAAGATGGCTGAAGTCAGAACGTTGTAGCTTGCGCAATGGCCTTACGAAACGGGAAGTCGGTGGCATCGAGCAGTCTTTCTCTTTCGCAGTCGTCGACGGCTCTGCACGTCTAAACTTGCGTGATGGTGACTGGCAACGCTCGCGTGGACTGACAGCTCGGGCCGATCGCGAATGCTGCACCGATTGAGATCGAAACCTACCAGAAATGGTCGTCGAGTAGTGTCGGTACTTGTAAGAGAGTTCAACACCCACTAGCTCACGCCCGATAGTATTCTAAGCCAGTACTTGAACCGATTCTAGAGCGGCTTCGGGGACTTTTGGTACGGTCCGTCGCGCATACGTTCAAAGTTTCGACGATTCGATGATATTGGTGTGGTTTCAGCAGTACTAGTACCAGTACCACATCTTGCTGCGACACTGCGACATCGCTTCGATATGCTGATACCTTCGTCCAGCTTCTCGCCGCTCGCGAATCTCGGATCCGTACTGATCGACCTCGCGGATGCCACGGACTTGCCAGCCTCGCTAAGAGAAGTGCGATAAAGATTTATTATTACTGTTTTTGGGCATAACTGCCGCTCGCTCGGCGATCAGCGCAGTACAGTAATACATCCCTCCCATGCACGCGCATACTGCTGGATACTGCATACTGCGTGGCGAGCGGCTAGCAATGGATCCCCCCGATTCGGCAGAACATCGCTTTGCTGTGAGCAAGGTAGGTCTTGATGGACATTCGCTTATAGACTTCGCTTATAGACTCGAGACCGTTTCTTTGTGAGTACAGGCATACAGCTTCTGAGCAAGGCGATTTCAATTGGCAGAGATCAAATCCCTGCTAGCCAGAATTTTTGGGAGAAAACAGCAGTGGCCTTCCGAGGTGTTTGGATGCTGTATGGACGGCTCGCTTGCGGTTTAGAGACTGAGTGCTGACATGAGAGTGAGGTGTTGAAGCACTGTTGGTGCCCTCGCTGTGATTCATCGTGCATGGTAGGCGGAAGCTAATGTCAACCATACAACCACACAACCAAATGACCGTCGCAACCATACTGGCAGGAATGTACCGCTTCTTTCGCTTGGGTTTTGCGGCAAGTGCTGATCGGCCTGACGAGTCCTGGACCAGGATCAAGGAAGCATACATCCATCCCTTCTGGTTGTAAGCGATCACTTGGGCTAAGCTTCTAGCATGCATGTACTGCTGCCCAGTCGCTACAGTGGTCTTGTCAGATGAGTTGTTATGACGAATGGAGCTCGTAGAGGCAAGATGTCGAAGGGGATTTCAATTTCATCATCCAATTAAGACTAAATACTATTCGTTTGCCAAAATCTGCTTCCGTTGTTGGTAGCCGGAGTGTCGTGAGTTCTCTGAATGTATTGGCAACGCGCCTGGTTGCAATGGTTCATCGTGCAGTGCCGGTGCGCAGCTCGCTCGTAAAAGTGTTGGGTAGATGGCGGACGCAATGCTGGCCTTCAATTCGGTGACATTGATCCGAATGAGATGACCGAGTCTGAACGCTCGCCTCGCTTGGAGTCCCAGCAACGACACAGACGTTGATGGCATTCCTTGCACTTCGAGGAGCGTGGAGAGGAGCAGACGAGGATGGGAGAAGTGGAAGGCTTCTTCATCAAGATTTGCTTTGCTTCGAGCTCCGGTATGCGAAGGGTGACATTCGGCCTTCCGATATGCTCTCTCGCATATATTCTCACCGGTCTGCAGGGAGGTGTATCATCCCTATGGAGGATCTCGTCGGTCAGAAAATCTTTCTTGTCGAGATCGTCCTGCGGGAAACTGTCGATTTCCGTAATCAAAAGCTGGATCATGGAGAGAGCTTGGCCGAGTAAGTCCGATGTGATGTTTGTTGTGGCTGCTATGCTTGATCTTATAGAAAGGGTCCTTGCGAATACACCGACTTCTGCTTTTGAAAACCTGATGAGCTTCTTGACCCGACGGAGATCTCTTTCTAGTCTGGGCTTCAGTTCTTCGGAATAGAGTCGCCTTCGTTGGTCCCGAATCGATGGCCAGCTTGAATGCCAGACACACTTTAGGGTGATGATGTGCTGAAGTAAGACTTGTTGGCCTTGAACGTCGTGGCTGATGGCTTTCGTAAAGGCTTCCATGGGAAATTCTGCCTGTGCTACAGGCCCATCGACCCAGCGGAGGACCACAGCATATGCGCTCAACGTCGAGGTGTCATCCGACATTGTGTCAGGTGTTGTGATCAAGACCGTATATATCGATGCCTTCTGTCCTGATGTAGAGGACCAATGATCCTGGATGGGATCTGTTTGTGGCCCGATCGTCCAAGTTTGAGGTGACGGAAGGAGATGAATACGAGCCAGTCGTACAAGAATGCAAACGCCAAAGGAGTGAATGTGAATGTAGGTAAGGAAAAGCAAACGTTTCCGATCCCAGCGACCAGATACTTCCGAACCCGTGCAGAGTTGAAGAGTTGATGAAGATGTTTCGGTGGAGGGTCCATTCACTTACATATCCGCATGAACTTCAGCACTGGGATTGCTGCTGCCGGGCAGCAATGCCTATGAGAACGTAATTTGAACGTAATGTGGAGAGGAGAACGATGCACGCCACAAAGGCATAAGGTATCGGAATCCGTGAAGCTGAGTCTGTTGAAAACTCACCCGCCCAAGGAACCACTTATTGCGGATGAGTAGGCAGGGAGACTTTCGGGGTGCTACCGCCTAGGGAAGTGAAAGAACGGTAGGCAGCGCTCAGAGCAGGGAAAAGCTCTTGGGAAGACGCATCGGAAATGAGAGGCCTTTTGAGCAGGTCCAGGCCGTAGAGGCGTGCCGACAGACTGGAGACTTATGCTTCTTCGATGCGGAACACAAGCAGTCTGGACAGTCAATCGAGACGTTGAGAACGGCGTGGTTGGTCGCAGGCAGAATCCAAAAGTGTATAAAACGACGATATCGAATCTCCTGCTCATCTACTCATGCATTAGCGAGTCGCGAGGACACAGGACGAGTCATGAACTCAGCCGGCATGGTCGTATTCGTGCGTTTCAAAAGACTGTCTTTATGGAAAGTCAGTTACGATACTGCAAGTCATGACCCAAGTGGCGTCGGGTCAGGAGCTTCAGGAGGTTATAGGGAAGATGAAAGATATTCAACAGCTCGGTGGGACTTCTCGGTGCCTGGCAGAAGCATAGCAAACACACCGACCATGAAAGTGGAGAGATTGAAGTTGGTACGAGAGGAGAGGAGAGTAGATGAAAAGATCTGCTGAAGGTCGACCTTGGATTAAAGTTTCGCGTAATGGCATGCCAAGACAGCCCCAGCAAGGCCGGGGTGCGTTACGCTTCGAGCTGTTTCACTCTCCATTTCCTCGTCCTCATCATCATCGAAACCTGTATGCTTGGCATCCGGAGTTCATCTATCCCCTCTTGCTCTTGCTGCCTGCGAGCTGCCGGACAAGCGTCTCGCTTGTCGCTGACGACCAGCACTCGCAATGTCTCAGGCAAAGCGTCGCCACCGCGACCAGCCGATAACGATGGTGGCAATAACGATCACGTAGAGGAGAAGCCGGAAGGCGCCATGTCGCAAAGGCTTGAGCAGATGAGTGAAGAGAGTCTCGAGACTGGCGGAAGAGCTGCGCGAAAAGCTGTTGAAGAGGCCGGTTTCTCTGAAGAGTTGAAGGCAAGGCTGGAAAAGAGGCTTGCGGATTCGAGCTTCAGAAGTGATAACGCCGCAGCATTTGCGCAGGCCGATATGTCGCAGAGTGCGCCAAAACATGCCCGTGAGATCGCTGCTGCTCGGCCATGGTCAGGCAGCGAGACTGTTGAGGATGCATCGCTCCGTATGCTTAACGATGCTCATAAGCCTTTGCGTACTGCTTCAAGGTCGGCAGGCCAGCGAGGTCCTCCACGACAAGTCGATACCGGTAGGCCAAAAAGCAGACCAGGAGCTGGTGTTCGCTTGGCCAGTGCCAGGGACCAGGCTTCCGTATACTCGCAGTCCGTTGAGGAGCAAAAGGGCAAGTCTGAAGAGGAACGCGAGGCATTTCGCAGAGAGATGCGGGCCCGCTTCATGCCAGGTGCACGTAGCGTTGCTGCGTCTGTACAAGGACTGAACTCTTTGGCCAGCCAGCGTATTGAGGACGCGATCGCGAGAGGACAATTCAAGAATCTTCCCAATCGTGGCAAGAAGATGGAGCGTGATCACAATGCTGACAGCCCATTCATCAATACGACCGAGTACTTCATGAACAAGATGATCAAGAAACAAGAAATCGTGCCGCCTTGGATCGAGAAGCAGCAAGAAGTCATATCGACCGCAAATGCGTTCCGCAAGCGACTGCGGTCCGACTGGAAGCGGCACGTGTCTCGTATGATTGCCAGTCGTGGAGGCAATTTGTCTTCTCAGCTAAAGCTCGCTGAGGAGTATGCCTTTGCGGAAATCTTTGAAAATCCTTCGAAGCAGCAGATCGAGAAGATGAATGCTGTAGATGATCGAGGCCACATGTCACAGATCACGATATCAGGACAGCTCCAGACTGCGCGTACGGATGATGCCACCAGGCTTGAGGAGGAGATCAAGATCCTGGAGCAGACCGTCAACGACGATGGGTCATTGAAGCCAAGAGAGCAGGTGACAGTGACTGCCAAACAACCTGTCCTCACGCAGCAATCCGCTCCTGAGCCACCAAGGAGACCAACAGTTGCGCCTTTCCGAGATCCTCAATGGGAGCAGACGGAGCGCTCTTATCACACTTTGGCCATACAACAGCTCAACAGCCTCACCCGATCGTACAACCTGATGGCACCCACCCTAGCTAAAAAGCCTTACTTCTCCCTCGAGCGCGAACTGCTTTCGTGCTTTGCAGACGTTGCCCCGCAGGTCGCAGCTGCCATCCAAGAGCGGGCATTCAAGCCCAAGGTGAAAGGTGTTGAAGTCATCGGTCACAGAGCCGGCTCGGTTCTTGACAAATTCTCCATGGACAAGGCTAGCCAGGTCCACGACGAACAGAAGCCTCAATATGGGTTCAGGGAGTTCTGGAGAGATTTGTTTGCGCCGCCCAAGACATGATGATGTGCACATGTATAGACAGATACACCCAAGCTGAGATATACAGTAGCGGCAATAAAGCTCATTCACGTTAACACAACCTGTGGCAATAGCAATTGCCGTTCGCCAAGCCGATTGATTCCTGCGAGGCACATGTTCCTCCTTTCCTTGAGCGACGAGGGAGGGCGGCGCAGTGCAACACAACGGCCGATTCAAAGCACAGAAATGGAGGCGGTGCTGAATATTACCCAAATCCGCGATTCAGACCCGTTTCACGACTTGATTAGCAGACCCGGCTGAATGGAGCGTTTGTGACGTTTGACTCTACAGGATGGGCACGCGACGCGATGTACGATGGATGCTTTCGCTAATCATGCAGTGGTGCAGAGATTGACGTCGAATCTTCTGATCGCATGCTCATTTTTTTTCTGCCAAGGCATGGATGGTTGGTACTGGACTGGGCAATGGATTTGGATTTTTGCCAGGACAGGAAGAGTTCTGGTGGTGGATTTGGATCAATCTCTGGCTCCTGTCAGTTTGTCCCTCGGTCATCTTCAGGAAGTGGTGCAAGTGCACGTTTTCCTGGCGCAATTATTATGAGGTGCATTGCAATATCTCTGATGCAGGTACGCTTCCAACTCCTTCTGTCCGGCTATCCGGCTGTCCGGCTACCCGGCTTTTGGTTGGTTGTACCCCATGTTTCTTTCGCTGCTCCACAACCATCTCCCGCTCTCTCATCAACTTATTGTCCAGCAGGCTGTGTTCGCCGGGGTCACTCCAGTAAAGCCCAGCTTCGAGCTCGAGCTACGCTTCTCTACCATTGCAGCATGTTGGGATCGCTTTCCAAATGCTGAAGGCTCTGCCCTGACTGCACCTCTTGGCGTCATTGACATTCCTCGGAGACGATGCGACAATGACTCGGCGCGGCGACGCGAGGCGTCTCAAGTCGGGCGTGTTGACGCGTCCGGTGCTCCAATCCAAGAGAGGAGGTGGAGTCCAGCTCCTTGAACGTCCCATCGCTGTGGGCAGCCCGTATCCACAATCTCCATTCTGAATGCGACACCCCGGCCAAGCTCGACCGACCGACGCACTTCCTCTTGCGCAAACTCACAAACCCCGAAAGTCCCAGTCTTCAGGCACTGTTGAATGAAATATGATGCTCCTCGCGTTCGGCCAACGCGAGGTTGTACTTCCCGATTATCTCGAGCACCATTGATTGCGGACGGGATCCCAATAATAGCTCTGTCGGTGAGCGCTACTCGAGCCTGCAGATGAATCTGTGACGTTGAATCAGTCGGCCTGTACATGACAAATCGATGCATGGTACATCGGTCGCTTACAATGGTGATGAGACGATGAATTTCCCGCAATCGCTGAGATGCTCGGATTGGTAGGTTGCCCACGATCAGGACTGGGCGAAACATGCCTGCGATTCCTATTGCGACTGTCTCGATATCGAAAGACGTGCCACAGCATCCATCGAATGACCCAGTTCTCCTCTTCCACTCGATCGGTGTCTCGGCCCAAGTCGTAAACGACTTTGGTTTCCGGCCGTGCTAAGCGGTATATTCTGAGGATTTCTCGATGAGTGACGGTCTCGCTGATTTGAGCGTTGCTGTACGGCGGTTCGACGTTTGAATTGCCTCGGAGTGAAGGTACAAGCACGTCCTGGCTCTCGGTCATTCTTCTCCGACCTTCTACAGCTTCCTCCTGCCTGATGTCAGCATTTTTGGGGTCAATGCTGCAGTGTGATCGATCTTGACTCACCTTCATCATTGCGTAAACACGGCGGTGGAACTCATTTCTTTCGTCGAGGCCAAGTCGTTCGAAAAATCGAGCTTTAGATTCGCTTTGAGCCAAAGCAGGTCGTGGTGGCGCCATAGGTGGGCAAACTTGAGGAGGTGAGCTTGAAGCACCAAGCACGTGCTTACGCAACACAACACAACAGCAGGAGAGTGGAGGTGCAAAGCTACTGTGGGCGGGAGCTATGCAATATATTGTCTACGGATAACACTCCGTTTCCGCAACGAAGTTGGAGCCCAATCCTTCTATTCCAATGAAATTGCGAACTCTGCCGAGGGATAGGACTTAAGCTTGGAGACTATAATACAGCTGGCATACGACAACCCCAGCGCGGTGGGTGGAACATTCAGAGTCAGGCGGGAAGTCGCCGAGCGTTGGCCTGCAGTCGTTTCCGCAGACTTACTAGGAGTCGGCAAGTACGCATGACAGCAGTCTGCAGAGAAACCTGGTCGACAAAGTCGAGTGCATCCGTGTGCTCGTTGCATAACGACCAGGCCGTAAACGACCAATGCAACATGTGCATGGGCGAGCCGAACCTTCTGCCTCCTCTGACGACCTCCGCCATGTCCAGACAGGCACTAATAAGCGGTCAATGCCATCCCATGCATACATATGTACACCGCGATTTAGCGAGATGGCGGACGGCGGTGATCCCTGAAAACGGGATCTAACTGGTTAAAGCTAGCGTACTGCCTAAAGGAATTATCCGCACCTTTAAAAAGTCTACGTCTAACGCTTTCAAGCTAGCTGCCGCTTACGGGGATTACCCCCGTCCGCCATCTCGCTTAATCGCAGTGTACATTGTACTTCCCACTCCAGGACCAGGTAGCTCTATCAACATGCCGACTTGGTTGGAAGGTTGCCAATTATGGCCATGACACATGATCCCGGTGCGGTTGGCCGGCTCCTGCGCTGCTGCAGGCTGCATCGAAGTACCTCTGTCGGTTTGGCACAACCCATTAATCGACGAATCGCGTTCTTTCTATTATGCTATGCAATAAGTCGCGCCATGCTGTCGGAGGGATGGAAATTAGCGCGTATCAGTGTCTTTGCCGAGTATCTACCGCACTATACAAATTAGGTATAGAATGCGATCCGGTACGAAAGCCTTTCTTACTTCTATCTATTTACGACCTCTTAGTGAGCCTCAAGGTTAAGAGCTAGGCATTTTAGCACTCTCTCGTCTATTCTATTACTACGCTAGTATGCTAAGAGCCTCGAAGCGACTATATAAGCTTACTACGAAGAAGAAGGAAGCCCTCGAAGCCGCCGCTACTAAGAAACAACGACGTGAAGAGCTACTACTATCAAGTGATAGTCTAGAAGAGCCAAATACTAACGACGAGTTGCTAGATTTAACGACTTCTTAGCGCCAAGACTCTATAGAAGTAGATATCGATAAAGACTACGGCTTAGAAGAAGATAAAGACGACGAGAACGAGCGAGAGGTATTCGAATACACTATATAGTAGAACCTATATACGGACAAGTAGAAGGAAGCCTTGCTAAGTAAGTGCTATCCGAGTAAGCTGAGCTACGAGTCGCCTTGTAAGGCCGTAGACTACTAGTTTGACGACTAGCGTAACAAGGCTAATAACCGACTTATATTTAGTCTTAAGAGCGCTACTATTATAGCCTCTACGGACAAGGTAAAGGCTAAGCACTTCTACCGTAGCTCTAGTATAATAGACCTCAATTTTGAGCGCGCATATACTATACTAGCTATCTAGAATAGTTAAGGCAAGAAGGGCCTACGACTTAAGTTTAAACTCGCTATTATAGCTAAGCTAACCGCTGTTGCTAAAGAGCCTGCAACTTAATAACTACGGCGGACTTAATAGGCTTCTTAGAGGCTACGGAATACAGCGACTTAGCAACAGTTAGCTGCCCTACTAGCTAAAGGGCGCTCGGAAGATAATAAAGCGACTCCTAACGACAACAATAGCGACCTAACTAGCTCTCTAACGGACCTACGATACGCCCTTGCTTAGCGCTAGCCCTACAAGAATAGATACTATCTAAACAAGGGTAGATTGTGCTAGTTTAGTAGTCCGGACAGGGCAGAAGACTACTGTAAGATCTATCCGGAAATAGCCGCTAGATAGGTTAAGGGGACTCGAGAGGCTAATCCGGCTAGAAGGCTAACAATCGACGACCCTAGAGCGGCACTAGCATTAAAGATATAGAAGCAACGAGACAAGCAGTTATCTAATCCATTTAGACAGCAAGGCAGTAGTAGTGGTAGTAGACGTGCTATCGTACTAATAACGCTAACTCTAGTAGTAATCTACAACTATTATAGCTAGTCTAATAGCAGGGGTCGTAGAGGCGCTATTTCTAGTCTACCGGCTTCTAGTCTACTAGTTAGACTACAATCAAGTCCAGTTAGTGGCTTAATCGCTTCCTATCAATCTTATACCGCCGATATAGAATTAATAGGCTTCTTTAGCTAGTTGCGTAAAGAGTTGACTAGCAGCTAGAGTGAGCGATACGCCGATATAGCTAATATTAAGCGTGTTTACGAGGAAGGCGACTTCTCACTTAAACAGCTTAGAAGGGTTAAATTGAGCGATTAGGTCCGCTATAGACTTAAGGAAGGCTAATACGCTCGATTTATCGCCGTAGTAGGGCGATATATTAACAAGGAAGTCCGTAAGCAGCGACTTAGTCGTATTAATAAGTCGGACGATAGCCTATTCGTTAGTTAGCTATAGAAGCGCTGTTTCAGTATAGAAGCGAGCTAGAAGCGAGGATTTCCGGATATAGGTCGGCGGCTTGACAGCTAATATTTAGTTTAACTAATGTCGCTTCTTATTCTACTAACACTACGTATTTCTATATAGTATAAATTAGAGGAGCATTAGATAGATATAGTCTCGGCTCTCTATACTTATAGTAATAAAAAACAATGCGTTATAGTATTGCGCTAGTGCCTAGTTAGAGTAGTTGAAATCAGCTTCTTAAGCGTAGACCCGCTAAGCTTAACCGCCGAGCAAAGCCGAGTACTATAGAAGCCGAAATTTCGGTAGTCTCGGCGCAGAGAAAGCGGTAGAAGGTCGCAAATTCCCTAATATATTGCTAATACTATATCTTTACTATATCTGCATATTTTTTAAAACGGACAACGGGAGGTTATTTAGTATAGCTAATAGTGTTATTTCCTACCGAGGAGGGCATATAGACGTGTTATTGTAGTAGTGTAGTAATGCCCTATTAGTCGTTATAGATTCCGGCTTTCTAAGCGGGTTCTCTCCGGACCGCTACTCGATTGCGATACGAATAGCGACCTACTAGCGGCACTAGCTTAAATAATCTCGAGGTAACACTAGCGATAGAAACGGCTTAGAATCCACCGGATTCTAGGCTCTTTAATCGCAATAGCTATCGGTAGCGTATTAGAAGTATATCGATTAGGTATCGCTATAGGTTTAACTAATTCTTTGCAGGTTACCGACAGTTAAGAAGAAGAGGACCTTATACGAGACGCTACTACTATATTACCGACTACTATATCACCGTTAGCTGTCAATTTAAGAGGCTCGTTACTATAGCTAACATTGCTAGATCTATAGTATATAGAAGCAATAATAAAAGAGCAAGCTGCTAATACTGCGCGTACTATTATAGATAAAATAAGGAAGGAGATAGACGAGTTAAGAAGCCGTATTGCTAAGCTAGAGATAATAGTTAGTATGAGTGAGACTATAAAGGAGTAACTACAAGGTCGATATTAGCGATAACCTGCTCGCTAGAACTACGATCTTGCTATTGTTTGAGTATCTAGTTAGTTAATAGCATACCGCATAAATTTGCTAAAGTCTACGAAGCAATTAGCCTCGTTGATATGCTTCTTAACCTATGCCTTAAGTACGTTAAATAACAACTTAATAGGGTTGAAGTCTAGCGAATACGGAGGCAGGTGTCGAAGGTAGACACCTGCCGCCGCTACGATATCCTTTATACGCTAAGTGCGGTAGATTGACGCGTTATCTATAACAATAAATATACTAGGCTCTATTTGAGGCAGTACTGTATGCTATAACTATGCCTCGAAGATCTCCGCGGTAATAGAACCTTAGTGGATAATAGTGCCATTAAGATAACTATTAACTAATATAGCCGGCAGGACACTCTATCGCTTTAACCTTACCGCCGACCCTTCTTTAAAGATAGGGCGGTTAACTGGACCGTATCTATATTTCCGCTATCTAGTACGCTCGTTAGAGGCGCTCTTATCGACATACACTACCTTATACGCCGGCATAGCTATTTGCCTTATTTTAAAGTCGTCTCGAAGGTCCTAGTTCTGTTCCGCCGCAAACCGTATCGCTTTCTTCCTCGTCTAGCTACGCCTCTTTAGTACTCGCGATACCGTCGACTAGCTAATAACAACGTCGTATTCGTCGTATAGATACTATACTACCTCGTCTTAGTAGGCATACGGTCGGTCGTTAAGGAATTCGAAGATGCGCTATAGAAACAGGTAGATTAGTTAAACTGCGATCGTACGCGCTAGGCGATACGATACTACCTACATCCTTAAAGATTAGCAATAGCGACCGTAGACGACCTAACCTCGCAAGGTCTTTAATATAGAATATACTAAATAGGCGATAATTGTTATAGATCTTGTCGATACTGCGCCTAGCGATATTTAGCAGGTTAGAGATAGCGATATTAGATAACTCGCCCTCGTCGAATAGGCGTTTAATCTCATTAAGCTAATAGTCTAGTAACCGCGCTATTAACAACACCTTCGAGGGGTGTATACTATAGAAATAGCGACGACGAGGTATAGTATCATTTTAGAAGAGAAGTAGGAAACCGCTAAGAAGCTAATTCTATGCTAATTATAGTGCAGCCACACCACAGTAAATTCTATAGTCCTCCGAGCGCATAGCGCGACATATTGCATAGCGTAATACACTCATTGATTTGTTTAATCAAAGCTGCGACTGGATGATGAACCCCTTGCTGCCAGAAGCTCTTATCTACCAAGCTAGCAGCGGCTGGAGCTCTACACTCGGTAAGTTTACCACGATCGCACGAGTACATACTTTTCGAGCATTTCCGTAGACCGCCTAGGAGGCCAGGAGCGAGCACACACCCTGGATCCTCGCTAAGATGGAATACCCACCAAAGACTGGCCATGGCCAGGGTGATGAAGTGAGCAAATTGCAGCGCGCGCGCGAAAGCAGAGGGCGCATGCCGTTCGTTCGTTCTCAATGATTCAGGCAATGAATGATGGGCTTCAACTTCGGCTCGCGTAGGTTTTGGCCTGACTCAGTGACTTCACAGTACAGTATCGATCAGCGCAGAATCAACCATGTTTCACACTGACTCTCCCAAATGCCGTGACATGACATGAATAATGCCTAAGTCACGTCGATATGATCAATGCTTTGCTGTGCTACAGTATACAGTATCATACTGGAACAGCAACGACATACATACCAGCTCGGTCGGAAGTTCAGGTTGGATGTTGCAGGGCTTCCGTCACAACCAAGTGTGTGTGCATGCCCGACAGGCCTACGATGTCTTGCGTTGCACGATCGCACTGGTCGTACAGTCGACGCCGAACATGTCCTTGCCATGCCATGCCATGCCTGTGGGCCGGGGTTGCAACGGCTTTGACGCTGCGCTGCGCTGCGCTGCCTCATCAGCACTTCGAAAAATATATAGTCTCATCAGACTCAGCGCCGACAGCGGTCGAACGCCACCCGCCAGGATGCAGCGTCGCTTCGCAGCCTCGTTTTATGGAGCTGTGCTGTCACCGCGCGGCGCCGGCGCGCGCCTTCCACACAACCACAGCAGCTCTAATTATTATTACAGCTACCAGACGGACCGCAGGCAATGCACAGCCCACGTGGAATGGATATCATATCGCCGCCTCGGTTGCGCACAGCAAGAGGCGGGGCGGGGCGGGAATAGCACAGCACAACCCAAGACAATAAATAATATTGGCGTCGCGACGCTCGTCCACACCGCCGCCTCCTGCCTCCTGGCTCGCCTCCCCGTGCCAGTGCCAGTGCCAGTGCCAGTGCCAGCGCGCTATCGACTCTCGAGCTATATCGTGCCTGGGGAGCTAATAGCCGGTACCTGCTGGGCACCGCACACCGCGACGTGCGACGTGCGTCTCCGGGGGCCTCTGTGCGAAATGCCTGGTCTTCGAAACGGTGCCACTGGCCAGCCCAGCATTGCCTGAGTCAGGGTGTCCTGCAGAGCCTTGGAAAGTGAGATGACGTGGTGTTCTCTGACAAAACTCTGTCGGTACCTGCTCCAGGGACATCCTACTCTGCCGACCGCCAGATGGTTGTCCAATTTCGCGGAACACCTCTTCATTCCCCAGCCACCAGGTCGCGATCAAGGAAGGCAGAGCCCGTGTTACACCGACTCGTTCTCAACCACGCCAGGAAGCACAATTGAGCCTCGCGACACAATCCAAGTCTCACATACGCTCTCGGATCAACCAGAGCGCTGAAGTTGAGCTCCCTTGTACCTACCCCGGCAATAGCGCGCCATGCCGCGGGGACCTCACTGTCCACCAGGAATATCCGCGTCCATTCCATGAACGCCAACGTGCCTTTCCGTAAGTAATTGTGCGCGTGAGCACGAAAAGAGTGTGGTACTTCTCTCCCACGACGACGGTCTCACCGCAAAGATCCTCAGTGCAGTGCAGCTTCTGCAACCTGGTGAGGTCAATGAGGTGTCTCGTTACCGATCACTCGGGATACCGATAGGCATTGGTGATCCGAATAAAAGCCGGCAGGAAGTGCAACACTGAGCCGCCGCCTCGGAGAGTCGGAGGAAGTATTGACGAAAGCTCTTCGCATGCATATCATCGTTTCTGTGGAGTCGGAAGGCCTGGGATTGGGCTTCGGCTGCGCACCTTATGGATACAATCGCCTTTTTGAGCTCTGGTAGTACCCGGGACAGCGGACAGTCAGCACACAGTTTATTTCTCATGTCACACAAGCAACCTGGATGTGTACGTTGCATTTGTGAGCCGTGGGGCATGCCAACATCCACAGACCCGATCTGCGACAAGGGAGTCTAGAGGGGGATTCTTGAAACGAAAATTGGTCCTGGAAATCACCCGACTGGCTCGTCAACCCACCTACTAACCATGAAGGGAATTTCTGGACTGCAGGCGCCCTCATCAAGCCCACTTTGAAGCGGCGCATCAACCGAATGAGCCTCTTCTTCCTTACCTGTCCTGCATCCGAACGAAGCCGCCCTTGACTAGAAGTACAGCTGCAACAGATCTTCGATTCAGGCGGCCATCAGCCTAGCTTCCTTGCAGTCACTCCTGCGCGTGAAGTGCAGTGAGATTATTGGAACGAGCAGCTGGATCCGCCCTGGCCAGTCGTAGATGCACATCGGTCTGCGCGAGAGGGTTTCCTCCCTCACTTCTCATGGTGAAGCTTGAAGCAATCCGCGGGACACCGCCAGTGGCCTAGAGGGTGCTGCTACTTCTCTAACTGCTAGGGGCGTCAACCCGAGGTGATCCTGGCCCACTGGGACGCTACGCGCGCGAAATCCTGGTATGAGATCGACCATACAAGACAGGCACAGGGAGCGTTGCAGCGATTCGCGGCTCGTGGTGATTCTCGTTTCCTGCGCCTTGGACTTGTTTACATTGGATCGAAATTCTGTCCAAGTCTGCCTTACCTCTTTCTTGTGCGCGCGAGTTGTCCTGCACTGATGTGACTACGCACAGGCTCTAACGGCGACTCAATAATCGCTCTTGAAGTTGAGCTAGTGCAAGAAAACTCATCAAGCTTCAAGCTTGTCAATTGTATGTACACCTCACGACAGGGGCTTCCAATACATGGATAATCACTCCCGAAGAGATTGGCTGCATACGCAATAGACCTCTTCGGTAAGTCCCAATACACCAGACGGGATTCGCCGGCTCCCTCTTACAACAACCATCTCGATCGGATAAGTTCAACAGCAGGCCTCGAGCTGAAGCAATCGGATCGCTGCGTAAGCAGAAATGCAGCAACTGCCCCAACCGAGCACATCTTCTGTATTAGACGATTGCTAGCGGAAGGACGTCGTTCGCTGCGTCAAGGCTGTTTCTGGGCCCTCTGCTCCTCCTCGTAGTGGCACTAGTACTCGGCCGAGCTTACTTCTGTCGGATGCGGTTTGTGCCTCTGATGAGACTCCCCGCTTCGAAATCTGCTTGACCGCTAGTTGGTGATGCTTTTCGCATCTTCATTCCCAGGCGGTCTCGCTACTCGCTACGGCTTCCCGAAAGTGTGTCTCCGCAGCGCGTCGTGAAAGAGTCTGGATCATCAGAGACCGGTGTATTAACTCCGATAACAACTGAGGTTTATATGCCGACCTGTGCATGGGAGCGCTGCCGACGACTGGACAACCACAAGCATTGGAGCTCGATCTGTCTGGGTGGTTGACCATGGTCAAGCTACACCTCCTGGTCACGCGCTGGCACTTCATCATGGGTGTGAATTCTCGATCATACACCGCTCCCTCTTTCGGACAGGCAAGCACGACATACATAATCGTGATGGATGTGATAGAGCAAGCTCTCCCAGAGAAGTAGCAATGGAGGCCGATGGCACTTTCCTTCCAGTAGTGGCCCCGCGAAGAGCACTTGCTGCCAAGATGCTTGGAATGACGTCGCTCTGGGGAAGGGAAGCGCAACCTCGTGCGGCACCATGTTACTCCAGAACACCATGTCTACCTCCACACCTACACACTTCACACTCCTCGTATCCGTCGGCCGGCAAGCTTGCAGCGGCGCTTTGAGTGCGCAGACTGATCCATCTAGGCAACATGCTTTCACCTGCAGCAGAGTACATCCGCACCCACTTTAGCAGTCCTTGTCCGATACGAGACCCCGGAAGCGAAACCTACTCGGCACCTGGCAACTTTAATGTCGGCAAAGATACACTGCACCAGAAAGCTCCACGTCGGCGACGGCCCAGATTGCCCAGATTGGATTCGTCAGAGGCCACGCCGAGCGAAAGCAGCTCGCTGTTCGATGCGCATCCGATCGAAACGGCGCGTGACACGTCGACCTTCTCGGACGAAGGCTCAAGCCAAGATGGAGAAGGTGCTTCTCTTGATGACATTCACGGCGATGTGCTGACGGCAACAGGCGATCAATACACAAGTCCACACCTGAAAGACCGCGCGCTGGGCACCAAGTTGTCTACCATCACCGAGCAGAAGAGCATACGAACATTGGGCACGGCCCATCCGAACTTGGCTTGTGAAAGGCGTGTTGTCACTGTACAGCCTAAAGTTACTCGGAAATACTCCAACCATGACCGTCGAGCACTTTCCGTCGACGAAAATGCCCTTGCACGGCCCCATCGAGGTAGTGATGTATCAACGGCGACGTCGCACACCTCGGAACTTCTGAGGCTACGCAATGCTCCTGAGCTTCACCCCACGAGACCCTTGCTATCACCACCGAAAAGAGAGCCGACTCCTGCAGGAATACCTCCATGGCCTCCGACAGACGGCCAGAATGCGCGGCCAAGCACGACATCTCTGAGAAGGTCACTATCGCAATTGTCTCAGGTAACTCTTCCACGAAAGTCATCTTGAGTCGCGTGAGTTCACATTCAAAGTACTTCCAACAGGGCCCATCGAATGGGCTTTCATTGAGAAGTATATTGTGTCTCCGGGGGCGCCAAGAAGAGCGCAGACGTCCATGGCGCCCTCCAGCAAGCGGACATGCGACTCGTCGATTCGAGGCGCTCGAATCTCATCCTTTCGTTTCTGGGTCGATTAACAGAACTGATAAGACTGGCGTTCGCTCGCCAGTGACCTCACCATGCCAGAGATCTCTCAGGTATGCTGCTGGATACTGCGTACCGGTCTCGCCCAGGAGACTTTCCGCAACAGCAGGCCGACGCTCAGCTACGTTGCCAGTATCGACCACTTCGATAAGAACGACAGAAATCGTCCGGAGATTTCCATCGCCACCTCGACCACCTGCATGGTCGCTATTTCCACGACAATCAGGACACAATGCTGCGATCGATGTGTCACCAGCGCCGGAACAGGAGCAGCGAGTGTACTCGCATACGCCGGTCGTGCATGGCTCTGCTGTGAATATGCAAAATCGCACTGCCCTCAACCGGCAATTAAGGGAGTCGTCCGGGAATACTTGCGCGCAAGCCTCCACGCACCCATCACACCTCGACTTTGGCTTCATCGGCCAGAAACTTTGCAAGCACCGACTGATGCGCCTCCGACATCAAAACCATGCCTCAGCTCCACATGGACAAACGCAGCTACCAGGGCAAGCTCTCCACCCTGCCATGACATTGGACGGCGCTTCGAACCATGCCCAACCACTCCGAGAGATGCCGCCGTCTGCCTTCCAAGACCATGCCCCCGTCGGACAACCCAATCCAGCTACCCGTGACATCCCCGTCTCAAATTCCCTGCAAGAACGTGACACGGGCTTGCCAACTACAACCACATTCCATCAGACATCACCCACAAGTAGCACGACGTTCCACGTCCAACCCAATCTTCGCCGTGCCGCCACTTTCGATACCGTGCGCACCGATATCACCGACTCGTTCCAGGGACGTGCTTAGCTAGTGCGTCGCCGCAACGAACGTGGCACATGGCGTCACCGTATGGCCCAGACGACATGTTAGCAATGTGAAGTCGAGGCTGCGCCCAAGGGGTTTTGGAACAAGTTTAATGCTGCGTTGCAGTATACGTGCTTGTGTCATTATCGCGGTTATGATGATGACGAGGATCCTTATTGGAGGGGTATGAGTGAGGTTGGTTTAGTCTTGTCTATTGCGCGCTTACTTTGGGTGTTGCTGACTTATTTGTGATAGAGAGTGAAGTATCGGGAGAGGCAGCGGAATGCTGCTGGTGATGCTGCTGGGACGGTGGGTGGAGAGACGGTTATTGGAGGTACTGGACTTGGAGAGCGACGGTGAGGAGGGTTTGAGGTTATTGATTCTTTGAGTAATTGGACTGCCCTATACATAGATGGACTTACCTAATGCATACGTGCTTTTTTGGAATCTTGTCACTTGACTCAATTAAGTGACTGATCCAATCTTGATGTTCGCACTAACCTTCGCTCATGGGTGACATTCACACTACTGCTGCTATGGGGACGACCTTCCACTCCAGCAGGTAGTGTAGTCTTTCCCCCCTAGCTTGTCAAAGGTATTCACGCTTCCTCCTCAGCATCAACAATCTCAATACCCCCATCCCCTCACCAATCTCCTTCCCATTTCCCCTCCCCCTCCCTCCTCTCAATTCCCTCCCTCACTCAATCCGTTTTCTTCTGCGAGGCAGAGTTCGCATTTACATTGAAACCCCCAGATTCTGGCGAATGCTTGTTGTTTTTCTTCTCGTGAGGCGTATTCTCCGTATGAGATTGTGATTTCCTCGCGAGGCTCGATGTCTCGATTGGCGCGCAACACCACGAGGTCGCCGATGATGCTCTTCTCGGTGTTTGGGATGCAGGAGTGGTTGATGTGGGAAGTTTGGCTCCAGAGACCCGAGCCGTGATCGGTTGAGACTGGGAATGGCGTAGGACAGGCGATGGCGTTGGTCTGCCAGATTTCGTGCAGGTGGAAGATGTCGATGATGGGGTTGCCATCGATGAGTTCCGATGGAGATGGTGCTGGGATGGAAGCAGAATGCAGATCGAAGATTTTGGCTCGAGCTTTGGGGTTCTTGAGTATGTATCTTGCGAGGTCCTTGTGAGGCGCTCCACGAGTGTCTTCGGTGATCATGTTGCGGCCAATGTCGATTTTGATCGCGGTGTAGGCTTGGGGCTCGTGGTTGTACGTGACGAAGGTGGCCTTCTCTACTAGAACAATGTCGCCCATTGCGATCTTCGTGGTGGCAAAGAGGCCTCGTCCACGTCCAGGGCTTGGTCGAAGCTCTACTCGTCGAAGATAGCTTCCGATGTCAACACGCGGTTGTGCTTTTGAAAGTTCGCTGGCGATCTTGTCGAAGTCATAGCTCTTCAGATCGAGCTCTTCAACGTCATCTTGGTATTCCTCCTCAATCTTTTGTGATGTCTTTTCGGTCGGAACAGTGCTGGATAGGCGCCAGACAAGTGGCACGCGCTCGTCTTGCAGAGGAAGCACCACCAAGTCACTCGGATGAGACACTTTAATCCGTGGCCTGCCTGTGATATCGACTTTGCAGTAAGGCTGCTTGATAGCGAAGACGGCATTGGGTGGGATTTCCTCATCGCCAGGAAAGTTGAATCCATCGAAGAGCAGGAAGTCAACATCATCGTCTTCGTCCTCGATGCCGTATGTGCCTCCTACTGCTGCGCTCCAGACTGGGCCAATGCGGCGCACAATCAGCGCCCTGCCGACGTGGTGGACTTCGAGGAGCAGATCAGAGATCTTGATGATCTTGAGATCGTCAAGAGGTGCGGCGCATGCGGGATATGGCTTGTCGACAATGAAGGCCTTGACGCCAGGTTCTGGTGGCGCTTTCGATGCTGCTTCCAGAAGCTCGAGCAGTTCGGTACGGCTCATCGCCGCTGTCATTTCGTCGCAGCCTCGCGGCTTGCCCTGCAAAGTCGGAGTGAGCTGCTGCAGGCGATTGTAAGCCTCGCGACATTGATCGAGCACTGCCTGCTTCTCCTGTCGATCTTCCCACGACTCAATCATGTTGGCGACTGCTTGAAATGATTGAGGTTATTGGGGGTGACGGCGATGTAGGATGAGCAGAGTCGTTGTCGAAATTGAGTCGATGTATGAGTGTTTGCTTGAGGTGGGGCGGAATGGCGCGTTCACATGCAAGACTCCGCTTCTCACATGTCACTTTGAAGCTCACCTTAGGAAAGCCATAGGGAAATGGCGGACGAGCAGTCACGAGCCTCAATTGCGAGATATCTGCAAACATCCACAGCCCTCACATCGCCATCGAAGTGCTGTTCACTCAAGCCCCTTCCCTTCCTTCAACAACTGCACACCATCCTCCCTCAACTTAAACTTCTGAATCTTGCCACTGGCCGTCTTAGGATAATCCTCAACCCAGAACACATACTTCGGCACCAGATGTCCACTCAATTTCTCTCTCACCCACTCCCTCGCCTCCTGAGCAGTAATACCCATCCCATGATGTTTAATCACAAACGCAGCAACAACTTCACCATACTTCTCATCCGGAAGCCCAACGACACTCACGTCAGAAACGCAATCGTGTGCCAAAAGACAGTTTTCGATTTCCAAAGGATGAATGTTTTCTCCGCCTCGGATTATGATGTCCTTGATTCGACCCGTGATGGACACGTAGCCTTCCTCGTCCATGCTCGCTTCATCACCGGTTAACATCCAAAGCTTGTTTGGATCGTTGGGGTCGGGGATCATTGCTTCAGCGGTTTTCTTTGGGTCACCCCAGTATTCTTTCATGAGTAGGTAGCCGGAGACTGCAAGCTCGCCTCGCTCACCGACATTGAGAATTTTGCTGTGGTCGAAAGGATCAAGTACCTTGGCTTCAACGTGCGGCTGGAGCTTGCCAACAGTCTCGATCCGCTTTTGCATCGGATCGTTGGTCTTGGTCATGCAACTCACAGGGCTGGTCTCAGTCATACCGTAGCCGATGGTCAACTCTGTCAAGTTGAGGACCTTGTGAAGTTTCCTCATGAGTTCTTGCGGAACACTGCTGCCAGCTGCGATGCCTGTTCTGAGATATTGGAGGCCTTCACGTGGCACGGTTCCATCAGCGATAAGCTCGAGTTCGGCCAAGAACATCGTTGCTACGCCATACAATGCCGTGCCCTTATACTCTTGCACAGCTTTTAATGATGCCAGAGGGTCGAATGCTTCTGTCGGGAAGACAATTGAAGATCCATGAGTTGCTGTCGCCATGTATCCAAGAATACTTCCGAAGCAGTGAAATAGCGGAGGAGGACAGACAACTACGTCTTCTGGAGTAAGAAGCATGCGGTCTCCAATCTGAGCGCCATTATTCAAAATCGAGTAATGCGAAAGGCAGGCAGCTTTCGGCATCGACGTGGTCCCGCTCGTGAATTGAATGTTGACAACTTCATCCTTTTGTAACCCCTTATCACCAATCGATTGCCTTGACCCATCCTGCACTGCTTCAAAGGGTACTGTAGCCGACAGAGTCTTGGGGTCAACTCGTCCTTGGGAGTTATCCACAAGCACGATCTCGCGCAGAGAAGGACAGAGTTCTGACTCTAGCTTCTTGCCGCCAATTCCGGGTGCTATGTGTGCCAAGATCTCACTATTGTTCCTTGGATCCTTTCGTATGAGATGCGTTTCCGTCCCGATGATCAGATGCGAGGTCTGCAGATGGTTCAAGGCGCTGACAACTTGACTCGCATTGAAGCTCGGATTCAGCGGGTTCAAGATGGCACCGAGCTTGAAGAGGGCATAAGTTGCTGTCGCGAACTCAATGTTGTTGCCCAGAGAAACCGACACTCTATCACCCTTCTTTACACCAATGCTCTGCAGACCGCGTGCCAGAGCATTGGATCTTTGATCCAGCTCATCATAGGTCAACGTCGTTCGCTGATGTCGTGTCGAGACCCTGTGCCATCTTTTAATGCTTGCTCTTCATTCGTAGCCTGCTCTCGACAACATTGCTAATCTGATTGGGAGGACGTACGCTGGCCGGTCGCCATACTGTGATACGATCGAAGCGAAATGTTCAGGTACGGTCTGTTCGAGCAGCGGAGGCTATGAGGCCGAACCTTGTCAGGTTAATCTGTGTCTTGCTGCTGTGGGTGCATACATACCTCACTGGGACCTCGGTCGTATGCTTTCGTTAGCAAGCCCCGTCTGAATGTACTCTTCGGCCACTGGGATAGAACCCTCCGGCTACCCAAAGTCCGAAGAAACATGCCACTGGCAGAGCTTCATGAAGCTGTCTGGGCAGTCTGTATTGCACAAAGTCAGTGGTCTCAGGCACATGGCAGGGCCACGCTCAACTTAATATAAAGGTGCGGTATTGGGATCCGCTTGAGCGGAGAGCTGTTGCCAGGATATGTGGGGGCAATGGGGCCAATGCGGATCGGATGAACTCACAGCCAAGACAAACATCCGCCAGCCACGGGAATAAAGCCCGCATCCTTTTGCAGAGGTAGCATTGCTGTCTCGATAACAATACCAGATGTCTCTCTGGGCTTGATAAAATTTGCTGCTCTGAAATATGTAGCAGACCGTGCCTCTTCGGCATTTGCAAATTGCGTCAAACTGACATGCTCCGCTCCACCATCCAAGAGTCGTACAACAAACGAATATGACCGCCTCGTTCGCCATGCCAGTGGGCCGTTCATCAATCATAAAACCATACGCCATGCTCAATCTCATGCAGTTAATGGATCATAATGCAATAGTTGAGGACTGTCGAAGTGTGCAGCAAATATCATGGGCATCTCGAGATCAGAAGTCGACGAACATCTTTTCGTACTTCTCGTACATCTCCTAATGATGGTGTCAGTTGTGTGGTCTCCATATTTCCGGTGGACATACCTTTGTGTACGGCTCTTTCTTCTCGGGCTCAGCGTCGTATTCGTCAAAGTTTCTGGTATCGTCCGGCGCTCTCAGATGCGGTACGATGGGGCCTTGCATCTTTCGATGATATAGGTCGTCCCAGTTGATGTTCTTAAACCAAGGGTGCTTCTTCACTAATGAAGCGCCGCCCTTCATGTTCCCGAGTCTCTTGGTCACATCTACCGTACAGAGTCCGGCGATGATATCGCGCGCGTCCTTCGACATAGCGCTTGGGTATCGAACTTTGCCTTCTACAATTTGCTCGTAAATCTTCATCGGATTTTGATCCCAGAATGGCGGTTGTCCAACCAGGAATTCGTAGATCAGAATGCCGAAAGCCCACCAGTCGACAGCTGTGCCATGACCGGTGTTCCTGATCACTTCAGGTGCAAGGTATTCGGGTGTGCCGCACAAGGTGTATGTCTCTCCTGTCGTTTTGTCAGTACCCAAGACGTGGCCATTGGTATGTCTTGGAGGCGCACTGTTCTCTATTTTCTTTGCAAAGCCAAAATCAACAAGCTTCAAATGTCCCTCAGCATCAATTAGTATGTTCTCAGGTTTCAGGTCCCGATACGCGACACCTTCGCGTTCGTGAAGGAACTCCAGTATCAAGACAATCTCGGCGGCGTAGAATTGGGAGGTAGGTTCGTTAAATCGTCGTGCTCGTCGCAGATAGGAAAAGACCTCGCCTCCGGGGCAGTAATCCAGAAGCATATACAAAGTCTCCTGGTCTTGGAAACTGGCGACCATGGTGGTAATGAAAGGGTGCCCAGCAACGGCGGCGAGTACATTGCGCTCGTTTCGAACGTGCTCGACCTGCTTCAGACGAATGACATCGGGCTTGCGTAGAATCTTCAATGCGAAGACCTTGTTGTTGTCGCGCTCTTTGCGATTGGCGAGCTTAACCAACCACACTCGCGCAAAAGTGCCTGTACCAAGAGTCTTGACGAGCTCAAAGTCGTCCTTGCGCAAATGTTTGCTCGAGTGTCCTATCGGCTTCTTCTGCGGATCGATCACAATCTCGTCCGGCTCCAGTGGCCGCTTCTCAGCTTCCCACTCGGCCAACTTCGTCTTCTCCTCCTCCCGGGCCTTCGCGTCAGAGCCGCTGCTCGTGCTTGATCGGTGAAAATGTGATGTGATATTGTGCATCACTGCCGGCGCCATGACGGGCGTGGTGTCGCTATCGCTACAGAGGAAGGTTCAAATATTTGTTCCCACCGCGTAGTTCTATTGTCCGAGAAAGCGACACTGCTCTACGCTCGGCACATGTCTTTGTAAGGCCAGTCCAACACTCTCTGAAAATATCCGCGTTGTCGGCTCGCACGTGTTGCGTCAGCCAGGTACTGCCGAATAGTTCAGCCGCAGGGCTTTGGTGTGAATGTTCGGCGGTACAGACGAAGCTACGAGGTGGAATGGCTTGGGAAAGTTGGAGACGATGTGCAAGAGAACCAAAGGGAAGTAGTGTTACAACGTGAACGATGAATCTTGGGAACTGAGTCTGTGTCGGGACATCTCGCGGGGCCTTACCTCGCTAGATGTCGGACTCGAAGTGAGAGCTCTGCAATTTGTCTGAAGACCCAACGTCATACCGCTGGAGCCAATGCCCAGGGGCAGGCGAGAGTGGATCTCTGCCGACGTATTGGCTTGCTTCCTTTTGCAACAGCACTCCTTTTGCTGTCACATGAGCTTGATCCTTGATTATTCGGCTTCTTTCATGGCATTTCGAACAGCTCAAATTTGCCATTTACGGGGGCATTGTTTTGGCGAGAGAAGTGTGCTGAGGGATGCCAATCAGCTCGGAGAAGTGAGATCTCAACGATCGGACACACCAGACAACCAGCAGGCGAAACGGGACATATTCAACCTGTTCGTTAGATCTATATCCATCATAAAAGTGCTGGAGTGAGTGACGTGGGTCCCTTAGGGCTAGACAGTTTGCAGACTTGCTTGTCATTTCTGATGTGAAGCCTTACTCCAATTCATTCACTCAGAATGCTCGTCTAGCACTATTAAGCTATTGAGGTATAAAAGATCTAAGCAGCGCGAGGACCTCTTGGTCTTTTCTTCGCCCAGGACATTATCTCTAGCATTCAAAACACCATATTTCTCCTTCAGGTCCTCGAATCTTTCCAAACAATACGATATCCAATGAGCAGCCACTCTGGGTGGGGTATATTTCAATCAACGCCAATGCCGCACCTGCAATTCCTGAACACCATGCAAACCCCTCAAATCTGCAGTCTATTCAATCTCCAAGCACACTCCTTCAAGCTGCTCCTGAGGCGTCGAATCACGTCCTCGGAGTGTCCGCGGTTCTGTCGTCCAGTAAAGTCCAAGAATTGTTCCAGCCTCACGACCAAAGCAGCGCCTGTGAAGCAGTCGCGCCTGGCTCTCACAATCAAGCTCCTCATTTCTTGCTTCGCACCTCCAGTCTTGCACTTCCAGTCCCAAGAGAAGTACTCGCTTTCGCAAAATGCTACGAATCTCTGTGTCTTCGAAATTTCATCCTCAATCTTGCAGAGCACTTTGCCGATGTGCCGTGCCGCATGCTCTCTGGACTGTGCAATTACAGTGTCATGATGGAAGTCTGTGGGTCCAAGAATGACGATGGGCTCCGGTTCGTACCTGTCGCGACCGAAAAGCTCGACGTGGTAAAGAGGTAGATTCGAACTATTCGACGCCCATGCTGCCTTGTGCAAATACACATCCTCGTATCCAGAAGGGAATACCACTTTATATCGCCGTTTCCTCAGCGGCTCGGTATTGACCGTGCCACCTGCGTTAGATATTATGGGTCCGGTGAGCAACTTGAGATACGAAGGCTCCTTGTCAGACTTGACGAGCCATTTAGTCTGTGGAGGCTTCTCTGCAGTCGCTGATGCCAGCCCAGCGAAGTCTTCGAAGCAGTCCTGCGTTTCCAGAGCCGCTTCCGCAGGCAGTTTGTGTACGGCTATTGCATCGTCGTATGATGGTGGTGGGCTTAGCGTAATTGGGTCCATAATTTCCGTTGAAGTCCGCAAGAACACAACATCTTCAGCGGTAAAGGTCATGTCAAAGAGTTCCTGCTCTTCTTTGTTGTTCGACGGCCGCGGTAGAGACTGGTGGTGCTGAAGAATGCTGGTTGTCGGGCAAAAAGGTGCAGAAAACAAAGGAACGGGGAAGGGGGATACGCAAGACATGGCGTGAGCATGGATCGGTGAACAAGCACAGCACATGCGCAATAAGACAGCATGGATGTTCACGAGGCACAAGCTTATAGCCTTGCTATAGCAGTCATGTCGTGTATTCTACCGATCGGGAGTCAACAGACATTATTGGACAGCCAAGATGCTAGGGAAGAGTAATGAAACAGGAAACGGCGCCCAGTCTTAACATAGCAGTGGCGGTTGAGTTGGCTCGCGCATGCTGAGTTTTGGAGGAGTGTTTGAGGTGCCATGGTAGAGATTATTATTATTGCGCTGCCGGCTGTCTGAGTGAGGCATGCGACGCTGGTTGTAAAGTCAATCAACAAACTAGCCCTGGGGATGCTTGCAATCGGCGACCGACGACATTCTTGTCATCTCAAGCCTGATTCGTGGCGCAAGGCCGATCATTCGATCACACTGAGATGAGATGGCATTCAGCTGTGGCTGTGGCGGCGACGGGTCGGCGTCGAGCGTCGAGGTCGTACCAGCATGGCGAGGACATGGCAGCGCACAAGAAGGGAACGTGAGGTGTTCAACAGTGCACGCGCGGAGGATGAAGTCTTGGAACCGGCGAGAGATCAAAATAGATGCCAGATAGCGATAGCGAGTTCCGGGCCGATTGCTCTCACTACTCCGAAGAGGCTAGTGGGCCTCATCAACGGCGAAAGCAGGGTCAACGAAAGCTCAGTACCAAAAGACTTCCAGCTTCACATCTCCGCGCACACGACCACACTCCCTCTCTTCTCCCTGTAATCTCGATTCGGGCTGCCCGTGTCGCGACAATGCTGTCGAGATTCGCACCGCGCGCATTGGCCGCGCCAGCCCGCAGCAATGCCCTCAGATTTACTCCGGCTGTGAGAACGGTGACCACCGATGCCGCGAGCAGTCACGTTGACAAGAGCGATGTGCCAGCAGTACGAATGTTATCTAATATACGCTGTAGAAGGGCGTACCAGCTAAAAATCAGTTCAGGAAGATGACAAGCCCTTCACCGTACGCATTTCCGATGAGGCATTCGAGACGTACGAGCTGGATCCTCCATCATACACTCTCGATACCACCAAGAAGGAGCTGAAGCAGATGTACTATGATATGGTTGCCGTGCGGTATGCAAATTAGGGTTTGCAGAAGGTAGAATGGGAGCTGATGTGATGATACAGCCGAATGGAAATGGCCGCCGATCGATTGTACAAGGAGAAGAAGATTCGAGGTTTCTGCCATCTTTCAACTGGCCAAGAAGCTGTCGCAGTTGGTATTGAGCACGCAATCACCAAACAGGACCACCTCATTACCGCATACCGATGCCACGGTTTCGCCATGATGCGCGGAGGCACCGTCCGATCGATCATCGGTGAGCTGCTCGGCAGAAGAGAGGGTATCGCCTACGGAAAGGGTGGTTCCATGCACATGTTCTCGACTGGTTTCTACGGTGGAAACGGTATCGTCGGTGCTCAAGTGCCTGTTGGCGCAGGCATTGCCTTTGCCAACAAGTACGAAGACAAGAAGAACGTGACCCTGGCTCTCTACGGTGACGGTGCCAGCAACCAGGGTCAGATTGCGGAAGCATACAACATGGCCAAGCTGTGGAACCTGCCTGTTATCTTCGGTTGTGAGAACAACAAGTACGGTATGGGTACTGCCGCAAACCGTGCCGCTGCCTTGACCGACTACTACAAGCGTGGTCAATACATCCCAGGTCTCAAGATCAACGGCATGGATGTCCTCGCTGTCAAGGCTGCTGTCCAGCACGGAAAGCAGTGGTGCGCTGAAGGCAACGGTCCACTTGTCCACGAATACGTTACATACAGATACGGAGGTCACTCCATGTCCGACCCAGGTACCACCTACAGAACTCGTGAGGAAATCCAGCGCATGCGATCTACCAATGACCCAATTGCCGGCCTTAAGCAGAAGCTTATTGAGTGGGAGGTCACGACTGAGGAGGAGCTCAAGGGCATTGACAAGCAGGCCCGAAGCTTTGTCGATGAGGAGGTCGCTGCTGCCGAAGCCATGCCAGAGCCAGACGCGACACCAGAGGTGCTTTTCGAGGACATTTACGTCCGCGGTTCAGAGCCACAATTCCTGCGAGGACGAATTCCAGAGGAGAATTACTACTACCCACAGAGGGAACTTCAGGTACCAAAGAGCCCGGCACAGACATTGGAGCCAGGCGGAAGCTCCCTTTAGAGAGAAGGAGCATTGAGCATTAGATTTAGGCGATTTTAAAGGATGGAATTCTCGGGCTTTGCTTGCAGGAAGGCGAGGCGCTGGGAATTGTGTATCTGTCTGCTATGGCTAGCGAAGGCCTTCGACTTGCATGCATTGTATATTGATTCTCGAAGCATCCGAGACCAGAATCTCATATGTACTCCACACGAGCGAGCTTGTCAGAATCGTGCCTCGACAACCAATTTGTTGAGCCGAAATTCTTCTTATGACTTTCGCTCATCAAACAGCCTTGCACATGTGAACTGCATCTTAGCGTCGTGGTTGAGTTGAACTCTGTTCCATTGCGAAACTCAAACTTTCGCATGAGCGTGCCGAGTTCTGCTTAGCACTATGCTGACCAAGAAACACATCATATCAATCACACCTGCACAAAGCAAATCCGACGTCACTCGTTCCCCATTTCCCAACCTCTTGCGCCGATTTCACGGCCACTCACAGTAGGTAGAGCGGAGCGGAAACAGGCGGATAGCCTCAAGAATTCAATGGGTGCCGTGTGTTCCTGAAATACTAGCTTCCCCTTATCAACAAAAGAGAAGTCCGTGGCAGGTACATTTCTCACTTTCAGCTTTGTCCTTGCTCTGTCTCTCTACAACTACTTCTCCCCTTCCGACTTCTTGAACATGGCGACGACAAAGAAAGAGAGCAAGAACCAAATTGAGCTTTTCAGCGGCACGTACTTCGCAGCGTGTACACTGGGCGGCATCATCGCTTGCGGCCCTACACACGCTTCAGTCACACCTCTCGATCTCGTAAAGTGTCGAAGACAAGTCGATAGCAAGCTTTACAAAGGAAACTTCCAAGCATGGGGCACCATCATGAGACAGGAGGGTCTGAGAGGTATGTGATATTCCTCTGCTTCCCAATATCCATCCATCCATCTAGCAAGAACAATATCTAATGTACGTCTGCGGATTATGATAGGCGTCTTCACAGGCTGGTCCCCAACTTTCATCGGCTACTGCTTCCAAGGCGCAGGGAAATACGGAGCCTACGAATTCTTCAAATATCAATACGGCGAGAAACTCTTCCCTTCCTCCCCCAAAACTATCGTCTACTTGGGCGCGTCAGCTTCTGCGGAATTCATCGCCGACTTGTTCCTTTGTCCCTTCGAAGCGATCAAAGTTCGCATGCAAACCACCATTCCCCCTTACGCGAAAACCCTCCGGGAAGGCTGGACGAAAGTGGTGCGCGAGGAAGGTTTTGGAGGGTTGTATAAAGGTCTCTATCCGCTCTGGGGAAGACAAATCCCGTACACCATGGTCAAATTCGCGACGTTTGAGAGCGCGGTTGCAAAGATTTACACGACGTTGGGGAAACCGAAGGAGAGTTATAGTACTTTACAGCAGACGGGAGTTTCGTTCCTAGGAGGTTATATTGCGGGGATTGGGTGTGCGGTTGTGAGCCATCCGGCTGATGTTATGGTGAGCAAACTTAATGCTGAGCGTAAGGCGGGCGAGGGCGCTGTGGCTGCTACCGGGAGGATATATAAGCAGATTGGCTTCCCGGGACTTTGGAATGGGTTGCCGGTGAGGATTGCGATGATTGGGACGCTCACCGCTTTCCAGTGGCTTATTTATGATTCGTTCAAGGTATATCTAGGACTGCCGACGACGGGTGGTCATTAGAGAAGTGGAACTGGGTTGGCGTTCAAACTTCAAGGGAGGGAGGGTTGGAGCATGGCGTCCATGACGGATTCCGTATCCAATGCGAAACACGGTAGCATGAAATTCCATCGTTGGATTATTCTCGATTGTGATTCTGTGCGCTGCTGTGTATGATGATATTCTGCTGCGGCTTGTAGCTTGTAGAGAAGTGCCAGCTCCGCAGAGCATCTTAGCGCCGATTCGCAGACTCGATTGCGCGATTCAGCGACGGGCGTCGGCGTGGTAGTCTTTGACGCAGGGCATCTCTTTCAGGTCAAGCTTTCAGTGTGTAGCTGGCAGAAGAGGTCTGCACACTGACGAAGAGGTGGATTGTTAATATTAATAAGCGTGTAGTGTTCAGGCTCCGCAGTGGAGGCGGGGAGAAGCAGCTTCGCACCCGAAGAGCAACCTTGCAGCGGGCGGTAGAACTAGATCTACCAGGGCTTGAAGCGGTTGGAGAATCGAAGCGCCTGTCAGGCTCAGTGTTCAGTGTTCATTATCCAGCCCAGCGTCAATACGGAGAACTCCCCTCCGGACATCACGGCCGCTTGCGATTCGGCCGGCCGGGCCAGGCACAAAGAGCAGCAGCGACGAGTCAGCAACACCGCCTTCCCTGCGCTTTTGATTTGGACGACTGCAAATCTGCGCGACCGGCAGCACCATATCCACGCGCCGAAACATACAGCGACACTCTGCTCGCGCGCCAGAATGCGCTGACAGTGCATGGGAGAGTGGTGACGACCGCGATTGAGTGAGCTGGCTGCCCCCCAGAGCCGAGAAAGAAGCAAAAGAAGATCTCATGGGCCTCCCGACATGACATGCCACTGGACTACCGTTCTTGGGACCATAGATATTCGTGAGTCGTGTCGGGCATAGGGCCATCTCACACGGATGTGCCGAAACTGATTGCATGGCAGGACAGTACCTGTAGCACTTGTATGAGTCTTTTTCGCTCGACACCGCACCAACGATACGCTACCCGCGCGAGACGCCTGTATAGCTCAGCACCTTCGCGGGCATAGAAGAAACAATTGAGAATAGAGCTTACACTCCTGGCCGGACAAGACCGCGCTCCCTGCTTGAGCAGCAGTTGCACACTTGTATATACAGTGCTCGCCCTGACAGCACTCACCTCGAAGACCCCAGAATGGATCATCGCGAAGACTGGGCTTCTACGCGCAGACCATCCTCCATTGTGCTCGAATACACGTCTACCACCGAAGACGACCTTCACTCCACTTCACCCCTCGCCCGCATGTCGTCACAGTCCAATAACAACCGCTTCTACAACTCCCGCAGTGGCAAGCAAGCCATACGACCGCGACCTCTCAACTCCCCTACAACATCGGTAGACCGCGTACCGACCATGCCTATACCTATACCTATCCCGACCAATCCCAATGTCATACCTGGAAACACTCTACCTTCCGCGCCAGCGAGCCCACCCACCCCCGCACCGAGCCCTACTCCCATGCATCGTGCACCAGACTGGAGCACTGCAGACCCGCATGAAGACATTGGAGACATTGATCTTGATGAGCCAGAGCCTGATCACAATTCCGCACGCGCCAGCGCGAGTTCTCGAAGCTATGGCTTCGGCTACCGGCATATGCGTGCTGCATTCGCGGACATGGACAATGATGAAAGACAACGCATGCTCGCCGAATTACTGAATATGTGCGATGGGAAGCTGCTGGGATTTGTGGCAAGCTTTGTTGGCCCGAGGCTGAAGCGAGATCCCTTCTCGGTACTGCCTAATGAGTTGTGTCTACGAGTATTGACCTTCATCGAGGATGCTCGAACTTTAGCGCGAAGCTCCCAAGTCAGCAGGCGATGGCGAGAATTGGTGAGCGATGACATGGCTTGGAAGAGCTTATGCGAACGGCACGCATACAGACGCATGTCGGATGACCCGCCTGGATCTTCCCCTCGTCCTATACCGAACGCTGCAGCCTCGAATGCCGAACAGCGAATCAACCATCCATACGGCTATTCGGCATTTGCTCAAGCGCATAATCCTGCTTTGCCAGGTCTTTCCTCGAGCGCACCTGATCTTACCAGGAGGATAGTTCTCAACACCACACCATCTGTGCTCCCTACCACACTGTCGGCACGTGCCATGGCCAATTCCAATTCCAGCAAGCGAAGCCCTCAGGCCATCAGCTATCGCAGCCATTTCAAACAGCGGTACCAGGTCGAAACTGCGTGGCGGCATGGCGGCCGTTGCGACACTAGACAGATTACACCAGACCAGGGCGTTGTTACCTCGCTGCACCTGACACCAAATTACATCATTGTCGCACTTGACAATGCCAAGATCCACGTCTTTGACACAGCTGGTCGGCATCTGCGATGCTTGCAGGGACATGTGATGGGTGTGTGGGCTATGGTCCCCTGTGGCGATACACTGGTTTCTGGCGGCTGCGATCGCGATGTTCGTGTGTGGGATTTGACGACAGGCAATGCCCAGCACATGCTCCGAGGGCACACGAGCACTGTGCGATGCCTCAAGATGAGTGGTCCTAACATCGCCATTTCGGGTTCGAGAGACACCACTTTGCGGGTTTGGGACATCCGAAAAGGTATCTGCCGACATGTGTTGGTCGGTCACCAGGCCTCAGTGAGGTGTCTGGAGATTCACGGGGACCTGGTCGTTTCAGGATCTTACGACACCACAGCGAGAATATGGTCGATCAGCGAAGGCCGCTGTCTGCGCACACTGCAAGGACACTTTAGTCAAATCTACGCAGTGGCTTTTGACGGCCGCCGTATTGCGACTGGTTCTCTGGACACCAGTGTCCGCGTTTGGGATCCTCGGGACGGCCGATGCTTAGCACAGCTGCAGGGTCATACTTCGCTTGTCGGACAGCTACAACTTCGTGGCGACACGCTGGTCACTGGAGGCAGCGACGGGAGCGTGAGAGTTTGGAGTTTGCAGTCGAATCAAGCAGTTCATCGTCTGGCTGCTCACGATAATAGCGTCACTAGTCTGCAATTTGACGACAGCAGGATAGTATCTGGCGGCTCAGATGGAAGGGTCAAGGTGTGGGACTTGCAACGCGGATGTCTGGTCCGCGAACTTGGCAGTCCTGCGGAAGCCGTGTGGAGGGTGGTGTTCGAGGAAGAAAAGGCTGTCGTTCTCGCTAGCCGCGGCGGCAAGACAGTCATGGAGGTGGGTCGATCTCCGACACTTGTGTTCAAGAACGACACTAACATGTCCCTAGGTATGGTCTTTCGCACCGCCTGCGGAGGGCGACGATGTCTATGCCTCACCCTCAGCGTTACGTTCGAACAGCAGCAGCCCAGGCGGCATTACACCTTATCAAGACCCAGCTTACGGCGAGAGGCCGACCTACAAAACTTTGACACAAACAGACGATTTATACAACGAGGCGGGGTCGTCAAACACACAGAAGATGATAGCACAACAGGATGAAATTATGAACGCTGCATACGGGTGGGAAGAATGCACCACGACGATCAGTGAAGAGGAAGGCGTCCAAATAGGGCTCGATGAGTCAGGTGAATAGGAGAACCTGGAGAATTCTGATGGAGAACATCATTACTTGTCGGAGTGCATCCGAGGACTTGAGGGACTTCTGGTCGATGGTACTCCCATGAAAAATCCCTGGAAGGAGACTTGAACTTGGGCTTCACTATTCGCGCCTAGACAACGGCGTTGACACAAGAACGATTCCCCAGTGGTCTTACGCGACTTTCGCTTAGCTGGCCACGGGGCGGCATGGCTTGCGGTCTTTCGACGCCATGACCTGTCTCTTTCGGGAGGACGGCAGGATGTGAATATGGATTTACGACATAACTTTTTCCTGCTCGGAGTTTTGAAAAGCCTGCGAATTGCAGCAGGTAGGTAGGAGTTTGTTTGTACAGCCATGAACGGAAGGCGCGCATGGGTTTGGTTTGGGTTTTTGTGGAAAGGGTCGGTCGGTCGGGTATCATCATTGTCCATCCAGTAAAGGCTAAGGCATATGGCTAATTTTTTCAGCTTCGAATTGTAGGAATGGAGATTTTTTTTTTTTTCGTTTATTGTTTTCAGATAACGTTGTGGATTTATACTTATTGCGGAAGGGGGGATAGTAAAGTTTGTTTTGTTTTATACTAGTTTCGTTCTCGCTCCGAGATGAGATTACTTGTTGTAACAATGTCTTAGGAGGAGGGATACTAAGGTACTTGGTTCCTAATCGTCGTCTTTATACACAAGACTTCTCATTTCTAGCAAGCTTCGATTAATAACTAAACTAGGTCCTTATTTAAATCCAAATCCGGATAGGGATAGAGTTAGGGGAGGAGAGGGAGATAGGTAATAGAGATAGGGATAGGATAAATAAATCGACGATAGTAGTAGTAGTTGTAAGTAAGTGTTGTTACTTTATAACAAAGGCTAATTAGGAATATACGATATAGCTTTACTAAAACTCCTAAACTAAAGTCTTAGTACGATATTGCAAAGATAGGTGCGTTAATTACGAGAATTATAAAGTCGAAGAGAGGGGAAAAAAATAGAGGATAAGTCGAGAGGAACAGATAGATAGTTCTAAGGCTATTAAGAGAGATTAACTAGAAGTGTATACGTAAAATTAAAGCTTAAGAAGAGAGTAAAGGAAGGCATCGGAGGCTTTTTAGAAAAGGAGATCTATAGGTCTAATCTAATAGACGAAACTTTCTATATTACGGTCGTTAATAAGATGTATCGAAACAAGACTCTTATTATTAAGAGTGCTAGGAAACATTATACATAGCCGAGGTTTTTTATAGTTAGCATGTATTTATGATAGGGAGTTGTTTCTTTTTTGGTGGTTCTGGACAGATAGTAGTTGGAAGCAGGCTTGGAGCAATTGCATCAAGCTTCAGGTCGTTGGGCCTACCAATGCTGCTGCTAGTCGAAAATTGCAAGTCTCAGTTCTTGGTGCAGGGTTTGTCTGGAAGGGGTCTCGCGAGAACTGGCTTCGAGAGTATGAGGAGTTGCGGAAGTGGCTCATTGCCTTCGGATCGGATGTCGTAGGGTCGTCACGCTCGGTGAAGATTGAGACTGGCGTGAGGCGAAGCAGCTGACGGCGCTTGTGCCGCTGAGAGGCTTCAGATTGAAGTTGCGGAGTGATGCTTTCTGTTCTCGATGTTCAAGTGGGCCGCAAGGGTGTGATGGAGTACGTGAAATTGATAAGGATGTCTTTTGCCTGCTGCAATGGTTTGGAGTCAGGAATACACGACCAACGGATTGAACTGATGTGGTACACGGAACCCCGGTCATTGGGAGGATCAGAGTTCTCATCCCGCGATGAAATGAGCGCACGCAGGTCTTGAGCTTGATTGAGTCGGAGGAGCAGTTGGTGACAGAATCTTTCATTGGTTGCTGTGTCTACATCCTCAGCAGGAACGCCAAGCCAGTGCTTCTTCAACACCAGAACATGCCGCCAGAAAGCATGCTGCACCATGCAGCAGTAGCAAGTAGTAAGCGAAGCACAGCCGAGCCCATTGCACCAACCCTGCCTTTTCGTGTCGTAATGCAGATGCGAATCGCTTATTTCTTCTTGTCCTTTCCTGGGCCCTTGGTCTTGGCAGTACCACGGAACTCCTTGCTGCGGTTCTTGCGTTGCTTGCCTGTGATCGCGATGCATGTCAGCACACGTTCCGGTATGGCCCACGTCCGTAGTATCAAGACGTTTTTGTATCAATTTCCTCCCCGGGATACCGTGGTTTGACTTACGCTGTTGTCTGCTAGCCTTCTCAATCTTGTTGGCCTGGCCGTAGCGGACCAGTCTGTAGTGTGGCTCGAACTTCTTGATGGCCTCTGGGGAGTCGTAGAGGAGGGCGAAACCAGTGCTCTTGCCGCCACCGAACTGAGTGCGAAAGCCAAAGACGGAGACTTGGTCCTTGTTGGTCTTGTAGAGACCGGCGAGCTTCTCGCGGAGCTCGTCCTTGGACACGTTGGCACGGTTTGGGTGGAGGACGTCACTGAAGATGGATGTTAGTATGGTATTCGATCGGGAGGGGTGGTGCTCGATGCGCGGTGGATGGCGGAATCGAGGCTCGGCGGTGATACTCACACGACCATCTGCTTGCGGCCAAGCAGTGGGTTGCGGATGAACTTGCGCGTGCGCAGGGTCACCTGAGATTCCGACATGATGGCGGCTCGCTGGGTGTGTGGTGTTGTCGGAGGGGTTGAAGATGAGCGCTCGCCTGGTCAGAAAGCAGAGGTCGTCGTTCTGCGCATTTGCGAATTTCAGATCCGAAAAGCTTGGCAGAGTGTGTGGGGCTGTCTGTGCGTCAGGCATGCGCCAATTCTTGCCTGAAAGCTCCCACACTTCAACAACACCTCACGAGTCACAACTCCCCTTCATCACGCCGGCGAGGTCAATACACCCTCGCATCCACTCTCAATCCACTGCTTCAGTCTACGGCATCACTGCACTCTGGTATAATCTCACGCCCAAACCTTCGCGTGCAAATACTCCTGCGAGACGCGCGAAGCCACGCCGCCGAAACCACCACTCTTGTCCTCCGAATTCGCCCTTGTATTATGCTGTAGACGCATGGGCAACGAGGAGACCGCATCATGCCTCGCGTGTATGTCTTTACGGACTGCGTCGCACTTTTGCTGTTACATGAAATATTCGCAGACGATCAATCCTCTAACCCTAACTTATTCTACTCAATCACTCAGATCGCTACTCGCACTCGAAATCCAGATTTTAATGCCATCTTCAGCCTCCTCCTCCTCCTCCTCCTCCTCCTCCTCCTCCTCCTCCCCCCCATCTTCACCTAGCAAAACCCTCAAATTACCAGACTTACTCGCAGCAAGCCGTCTCGCAACCTCATTAGCCTCATTCAGAGTAACCAACCTCCTCTTCGCGCGTCCATGTCCCTCGTTCTCAAGCTTAAGCTTTGTCTCCTTGAGCAAATCCCAGACTTTCTCAGCATCACTCTGACCTTCTACAGCGGCGTCCGTTGTAAAACTGATGGGATCACGATTAAGAACATTGCTCCTCCAATCACGCGGTAAGCCTTGTTTCCTCGCACGATGGGCGTCGAAACGAGAGTCTCCAGGCAGAGCGGGGGGAGAATTACATGCTTCCGCGATGGTGCCGTCTTCGGCCATTTCGTATGGTGTTCTGCCAGTCGCGTTTTCTCGCAGGAGGAGAGTTGGGTCGTGGGATAGTAAAGTCTGGGTAAGGGCCACATTGCCTTCTCGGACTGTGACGTGGATTGGGGCATGGCCTTCGCCGTTGATGGTGTTGAGTTCTTCGCCTTTGCTGTACTGGAGCAAGATTTGCAAACTTTCGTTGCCATACTTCAAAATATCGCCAGTTTTTGATTTGTACATCTCGATAAGCCTGGCGAGCGGTGTGAGCGAACCTGGATGCTCCGAGCTTCGCTCAGAGAACAGGGTTGGTAATAAGCGTTGATCAATTAGGTCCAGCATGTGAGAAAATTTTGCAAGCTTCTTCTTGCTGGTGATGACTCGCTTGAGGATGTTGTGTACGATGTTGTTGCCGCATTTGTCCCGAGCAGTCTGATCCGCTCCGTGCTTTGTCAGGATCTTCACAGCCTCATCCCTGAAGTACTGGAATGCGATGTGAAGGGGTGTAATACCTTCTGCGTTCTTGTGATCGATAGCATCCGGCATAGCTTTGACTAGGAAAGCGAGGACTTTGTTGGTTTCGGGAAGCTGCTTGCCTAACAGGCAGCAGTGAATTGCAAGCTTCGAGCGAGCACTCAGGAAGCGGGACACTGCTTGTTCGAATCCGCCTGGAGCTTCAGACAGCAGCTGAACCCTCTTGTCGTCCTTGTGAGCTGCGGCAAATTCTTGGTAATTGCGCATGGGCGCATCGCTGAGAAACCACTCAACAGTTTCTAAAGACGAGTGGTAGGCAGCCTCAAGCATTGGAGGACGATGATCCTCGACAGGCTGGTATCCAGAGTAACCCCGGCCAGCATCCGCCCAGTCACGACGCTTCTTGCCGTAAACAGACAAGCCTTGATAGTACTTGGGCTTCTCGATTGCCTCAATGCCAGTCTTCTTAACAAGGGAGTCAATGGGGATACCGGCGCCAGTATGCTTGATGATCTCTGCAACCAAGTGAGGGCGGTCGAGCTTGATTGCTTCAAGAAAATCATTCGAATCCATAGTATAGAAGCGCTTAGCGTCTTCGCTGCCCTGGTGCATGTCGGCTCTTGTGTATTCCTCTCCAAGCGACAAAAGATAGGTAAGCAGATCGCGGTCGTCATTATGGATTGCAAACTGGAGCAGATTCCTTGGAGGGCCGATGGCCTTGCGCTTTTCGTCCGAGATGTGATTGCTAGAGGCTTTCAGTGACCCCGCATCCGTGCGCGTTCCTGTCAATGAATACGCTGTCTTGCGAGGTCCGAAGTAGGTATGACCAGTGCCATTCTGTGGTGAAGACCGCAGTGGGCCACCCATGAAGGATTCAGCAGGACAGCTCCATTGCAGCATCGTCAGCGGTTTGACACGGCTCTTGACTTGCGTTGAGACTTCGCCAACTGTGTCGATGGTGAAATCCTGGTCGACAAGCTCGGAATAGACTTTGACTTCATCACCGCCTTCTGAGTCGGAGTCGTCCTCTCCGTCGATGCCATAGCGTCGTCTATCCTCCTCGTCAAGAGGCTCAAATTGGGCCTTCGCGATCCCCATGATCACAGATGCAAGTTCGAACTGACCATGTAGAACAGCGATTGCAAAGGGAGACAGATTGTGCTGATCAAGGACAGCAATTTGTAGAGGGGGCTGATCATCTCCATCGCTGTTCTTCCATCCCGTGAGAGTCAATTCCTTGACTGCTTTGATATTGCCGTACCAAGTAGCCTCGAAAAGCTTAATATACCGCAGGCTAACCTCATCGGTGAGGTTTCCCAACTGGAAGCTGAAGTCGACCTTGAACTCCCGCTTCGGTGGCTTCCATGGGTTGTAAGGGAAAATGTAGTTTTCCTCGGTATCCTTGATATCAGGATACAATTCTGCAAATGTCTTCGCGTTTCGATTAAGCAGCACTTGCTCCAGCTTCTTGAAACGATCAGCCATCGCATCTATGGCAGCCTGCTTCTCAGCCAGTCCAGTCTTGAGATTCGCTTGCTTTAACGATTCTTCATGATTCTTGAGGTCACTCTTGTATTGTCTCTTCGCCCCTTCAAGCTGTTTCTCAGCAGACCAGTGCATGTATGAGCCTTCCTTCAGGTCGGCTAGGTAAGCGGAGTCTGGCTGCAAAGCTATCGGTGGATCTGCTGTGTCGTCTTTTGATGGCTTCCATTCCTGAAGTTCTTTGATCTTGCTCCTGACGGCGTCGAGCAGTGTCGTGCCCTTGTTGAACCTGCGAGTGTATTCGATATGAATCACAGACCACCCTGATGTCGAAAGGGTGTTTGGATCAACGCTGTAATTTTCAATGAGCTCGAGCGCAAGTTCTGGTAGCTCGCATTGCACAGCATTCATGACTGGTTGATGAACACGCCTCTCGAAGTCTTGCTTGTTCTGCTTGGAATCTTTAGGTGGCTCTCGCGTCGTCTGATACGCCTTCATGTAGGCGCTGAAATCGATCTCAGGCTTCGCTCCGTTCAAGAGCAAGAAGAGAGCTGTCGAGCTATCTCTTGCTTCAATGGCAGTCACGAGAGGGCTTGTCACGCCTGGCGAGTAGTAGGAGGCGTCAACGCACAGATGATTGACAGCTCGATCAAAGCCGACTTTGTCGGCATCAAGCAGAGTCTGGACCATGTCAGGGCACTCTGCGACTGTGTATTGCAAAGCAGTGTTTTGAGAAATATCTGCTTGGGCCGTTGACGCTCCCAGGCTGATTAGAGTGCGAGTCATCTTCTGCGCCTTTTCCAGAGGAAGCTGCAAAGCCAGTGCCATGGTCAGAATTGCCGCTCGCGCAGACTTGTCGTGGTCGTTGAAGATCTTGATCGGAAGCAGGACATCAGCGCCAAAGTCCTGGACGAGAGTCTTGACGACATTGATGTGACCATTCACGATCGCCAGATGAAGTGGCGAGACCGCAGTATCCCATGCGAGAACGTTGACATCGTACACGTCCGGTTCATCCTCGCCGTCACCCTCTAAGGCTTTGTCATCAGCTTTCATGTCCGGCTTTTTGATGTTGACGATGGAGTTTTCCGTTGTGGCATCCATGTCCTCGTCCTGGTCGGAGTCATCCATCATGTCAACACCAGAGGCTTCATCGTCGCTGGTCGCCTGACTCATGGCATTGTCAAGTAGAGTGCCCTCTTTGGCGGCTGCATGTGCCGCTCTCCGTGCACCAGTCTTCTTCTCGGCTTCTTCCTCGTTGGCCTCGCTCTTTCTTAGAAGAGCTGAAACAATCTCAACGCTACCTCGTATTGCGGCTAGATGCAAAGCAGTCTTGCCGTCTACGAGTCGGGCAATCATGCGAGCGCCGCTGTCGATGAGAAGTTGCACTATCTCCACAGAAGAGTTAGCAGCAGCCAAATGCAAAGGCGTGCGTCCTGTATAGTCTCGAGTGTTGGGATCGTTGCCTTCTTGGTCAAGCCAACTGCGGACGAACTCGCTATCACCTTCGACTATTGCCTTGCACAGCTGTGCTGTATTGCCAACATATGCCATATCGGTCCAGTCTTCAGCGGTGAGAGGATTGAAAGAGCCGATGGCTTGTCGTCCTGGGTCGTCTTTGATGTAAGAAATCTCCCCGGATACATAGATCTTGCTCTCCTCTCGAGCTACCTCTTCTTCCTCCATGGTGCTTGGAACAGGACAATAGCCGCAACAGTCCTGGAAAACGTCCTTGGCACGACCAAAGAATGCCGGGTGTCGATGCAGATTGACCTCTCTCTCCTTAGGCTTGTTCCATTCCGAGTTGAGCAGCAAGTCTTTGGTGTATAGCAGTTTCTCGATCTTGCGTGCGTGAAACTTCGGTCCATATGGAATGGTGAAAGTATGATAGTCGGAAACTTCGTCTGAATCCACCCATTCAGCAACTTCATCCTGGTGGTCGTTCTTGATGTTGCCATGAATTTGACGTCGGTTCATACGCCAACGGTTTACGGCAGGTCGTCCGCGTTCGGCACGGCGTTGATCAAGATAAGCATCACGATCCGCACTCTTCGGAAGCTTCTCTAGGATGAGCAGTCGAGCGAGACCTTCAGTGCGGCCAAAGGAGCGCTCGTAGATGGTGGGATCGATCCTCGAGCGATCAAGATTTGGCCAGTAGATCTCGAAGCCTCGATGCGCATACTTGCTCAGCCGGTTTTCGTACGAAGGTGAGCGACGAGTCAGGTCCAGAGTGTTGATCTGAGTCATATACGCAGCCAAAGCGCGTGGACTGAGATATACCTGTGAAGAGTGTGTGTCAGTGGACGAATCGTGCCGAGTGTTCTGTAGAAGATGTTGATGTTACCTGCTCGCCGTTGTATGCCGCACAAGAACAGTCTACGTCGAAGCCAGTCAGAATCTCAGAAATGGATTTGTAGATGCGAAGCACAATCTGGACATGGCGTGTAGGGTACCTGGCACGTCAGTTACGGATAATTCCTTTGACTTGGACAGTACTCACTGGCTGGCGATCGTGATGGCGTTCTTGGTCCGAACGGTTGTCGTCTCCACCAAAATGGCATCGCGAATATTCTTCTCAATCTGCTTGATCTTTTCTGTAGCCTGTGCTTCCGTGAGTCCATGCAAGAACAAATCAACATCAGACGCTGGAGCCAGCTTCTCGTGATAGTAGTTGCGCAGCGCTCGCTTGGAACGGCCATGCTTCTTTGGCACAGCAAGCAGAGATGTAACCACAGCAGAGCCAGCGACCACGACATTGTCCCAGTTCATATCAACAAGAGAAGACTCCGAGAAGACATTGAAGTTAGTGCGGAACTCCTTCAATGACTGAACGACCGCTGGAGAGCCATCTGCGCGTCGATCTTCGTGCTTCAGTGGCATGATCAAGCATTCTTGCTCCTTTTGGCTCTCGGCTTTGAGATGGCGAGCACGGATGCGCACGTCTTGCTCATGGCCCGCGAATAATGGCAGAACGCTAGGCTTCGTGGCGGCTGGATGGTTTGGCTGCTGCGCGAAGACCTTGCGCATCTCATTGTCATACTGCTTGTAGGGTTCCAGCAGTTCAGACATTGGCTTGTCCTTGTTGGCGGAGAGATACTGAATGACATGGTCATGATCGGCTGGTAGCTGTGGTAGATTGATGTCGACTGATCCGTGAGCCGTCGCCATGATATCTGCGATATGTCGATGGCTGGACGTTCGGTTCGGCTCTGTTTCTGTGAGGCTGTAAGTGAGCGTGTGAAGTCAATGGTAGTGAGGCGTGATGAATTGACAAAGAGCGCGAAGAACACTTATCCTTTATATGATATGGACTAGTCTTCAGCGCGCTCATGTCCAATCGACAGCACGCTGTTGACGTGGCTGAGGTGAAGCTGCCTTGCGCTTGGAGCACGAAGGATCGCCATCGCGTAGGCAGAAAAGCGGGTGTCACGTGCTTTTCTCCTTCAGCGAGGCTGTGTAGGAGTGAAGTGTCGATATTCTCTGGCGATGAACGCGAGAGACACGTGCATTCATGCAATTCATGTCGATGGAGAGGTGAAAGGAAAGGAAAGGAAAGGAAAGGAAGTCGCGCGTCGATGTCGATGCTTCAAAACTGCCAAGCCGGGCCGGATGCTCCCTTCCCTTCACAACGACCGACAGCCGGCCCGGGTCTCTTTCCGGGACGGGACCTCCATCTTCTGCGCAACATCCGCACTCGGAAGCCGAGAGATACAACCATGTCTGTCATGGCGTCTGCACTGTCACATTTGCTTCATCATTTCAGTTCCCTTACTGTAAGCATCCGCCCTCATCTCCAGACGTAACCCAAGCAGCTCGCGGCAATCTGGCCCCTCCCCCCATGCATCTCGCACAGCAGCTCAGTGCCTCTCCAAGCGCCATCCAATGCATCGACATGCACACAACCGGCGAGCCCACCAGAATAATATACCAAGGCTACCCCGACCTGCAAGGAACACTGCTCGAACAGCGCTCCCAGGCAAAGCGCGACCACGACCACATCCGGCGTCGCCTCATCCTCGAACCCAGAGGCCATCGCGACATGTACGCAGCCGTCCTACGTCCTGAAACCGAACACACAAAATCCGGCCAAGCCCACATGGGCGTCATCTTCCTCACCAACGAGGGCTACTCGACCATGTGCGGCCACGCGACCATCGCCCTAGCCCGCTTCCTACTGGACACTCACGACAAGAAAATCTTTCCCAAACGTGACGACATCAGGCTCAATAGAAAGAAGCAAGACGCTGAACTAGTCCTCCACGCGCCATGTGGTCTTGTGAAAGTCATAGTTCCTACCACGGAAGATGGCTCCCAGTCTCATCCTTCCCACGCTTCGTACCATTTATCAGTCCCCTCGTTTGCGACAGGCATAGACGTCCGAATCGAGATCCCGGAAGAATACAGATGGCCTGAATTGCTCTCCAAAAATCAAAACCATGTCATCGCGGATTTCAGCTATGGTGGGGCATTCTACTGTCTAATTTCAACCGACGAACTAGGCTTTCCAGGTCGATTAGAACGTGGCAAAGTCAACCTATCCGCGATGGATTTCGCAACGAAGAACTTGAAAGCTGCCATAAACCAAGATCCGAAACTCAAGTATTTATTCACTCATCCAGAACACGAGGATCTAGGTTTTCTATATTCCGTCATTATCGTAGACCAAGACTTCGAGATTCCGAGGCGAATTGACGAGACAACGAGAGCAGAAACCGGTCTCTGCTTTTTTGCCAATCAACAAATCGATCGCTCGCCTACCGGAAGTGGAGTCGCAGCCCGCGTCGCGCTGGCGTATGCCAAAGACCTTGAATCCAAAGACGAATCCGTGGCATATCACTCCATGGTCTCTCGATGCTGGGGTGGAAGGGGAGGATTCGTAGGCAGTTTTTGGGAAGAAGTCGGCAAAACAGAACACAACTATCCAATCATACAAGTCCAAATCGAAGGACGAGCATCGTATACCGGAACCTCGACGTTCATAGTTGAAGAAAGCGATCCGTTGGGTGATGACGGGTTTATTTTTGAGAATTTATGTTGAGAGAAAGGATCAAAGATGAAACTCGGCCTTTTCTTGGTGGAACACAAGTAGCAGAGGCAGCACCTTCCACCGACGCATTTTTTAACTGACACCGATAAAAACTCCTTTCCCTTCAAGCCCCTCAACGATATTTATTTCTAAGAGCAAAATAATAATAACGATATTTATTTATAAGAGCAAAATAATAATAATAATAAAAAAAGAATATCCCGTTAAAGCGGAATCAGTCACCACGAAGAGCGCCGATGAGACAGTATCAAATATATATATAAAAAAAACTTCTTTCTCCCTTACTTGCCCACTCACTTTCTTACTTCTTCGAAAGAGGCCAATACGCATAACTCCGTGTCCTTAAAATCTCCCATCCCCCGTCTCGAGATCTGGATTCTCGCCGGAATTTTCGTGTTTCGTATTCTCCTTTCGCGAGCATCTTCGGGATCGAAGGGGTTCGAGTTGTAACGCCGACTGCTTCCACCGATCGAGGCACGCTTCTCGACACAACAACCGGCCGTATGCTTCCCTGCATCGTCATCGTCGTCGTGGGAACGGAACTCGCCCTCTTCATCTTCATCTTCCCCTTCCCCTTCCCCTCACCATACGAATCCCCCAAACTCGCCATCCTTCCCCCAACCCGACACGGTAGTACAGGGATCCCAATCTCCTCTCGTCGTCGTCCAACGCTTACCCTCCTCCTCATCTTATTACACCCCCCCTCTCGTCCACTTCCACTTCCACCTTCTCGTGCCGTCCCACCTCCTCGTCTCTTATCCCTCCTCTCCATCCCCTCATTAATCTCCATACTACAAAACAATCTCGTCAGCACAGCGCGAAAAAGAAAAAAAAAAGTTCACAAACCCCCCTACCCCCCTTCTCAGCAGCACCAAAAAAACCCCCCCTACCCCCCTCTCATTCGGGAAAACGTATGTTTTTACTTACTTCTCCAAAGCCTCCCTTAAACGAAAATGAAGTTTTTCCGTCGAAGTCGAAGTCGATGTTGAACCTCGTGAATGGGAATGGAGGGAGAATTTGAAGATTGAGGACATTTGATAGAATAGAATGAATAAGGAGAAAAGAAAACTCCAAAAAAAAAGTGGAAATTTTTTTTTGGTTGGTAGGGTAGGTAGCAGGTTATATCAGAGAAACAAGATAAGGTCATAAGTACTTGTTTTTTTCCCCCGTTGTCGTACGTACGTACGTACGAAAAGAAAGGATGCATGCATGCAACGAAGACTTTGGTTCGTGAGACCGGATCGCGTCGCGGATGGAACGTCGTGCATACCCCATCCCATCCATCCCATCTACCATACCAGGAATTTTTTTTTGGGATTGATTTGCATTTCCAGGCCAGGCCAGGTTTCTCGGAATCTCGGACTGGACCTAGAAAGAAAGATAGATATTGGCCTACTAATCACAGGGTATATCATCATCATCGGTACACTGATGCGTAATCAATGTAGGAACTAAAGCTTCGCCAACTCCTCCTCCTCCCCCTCCTCCTCACTCAACCAACCCCTACACATCCGCACCGCCTTCTCCCATTTCTTAAACATCCTCCTACTCTCGCGCTCCCCCATCTTCGGCTCAAAAACCGTCTCCCCCTTCGTATTAACCTCCTTAAGTTCCTCAAAATCCCTCCAAACCCCGACAGCGAAGCCCGCAGCGATAGCGGCACCCAACGCGGTGGTTTCCCGCATTTTGGGGCGCACGATGGGGATACCGACGAGGTCGGCTTGGGTTTGCATGCAGAGACCGGAATTGCTCATGCCGCCGTCGACTTTGAGTTCGCTGAGTTTGTGCCCGCTGTCTTGCTCCATGGCGTTGAGGATGGCTTTTGTTTGGAAACAGACGGCTTCGAGCGTGGCGCGGGCGATGTGGCCGCGTTCGGTGTGGTGGGTTATGCCGACTGGATATAAGTTAGCATTGATGGATCAGGAAGGTTAGGTAGGTATGTATGTATGTATGTGGAACAGCACTTACACATTGTTCCGTGAGCATCGTCAATCCAATAAGGAGCGAAAAGGCCACTGAAAGCTGTGACGAAGACCAAACCCCCATTATCCTTGACCGTCTCGGCCAATTCCGTAATTTTATGACTCGCATGACTAAATCCGAGATTGTGCATGAGGAATTTCACGCCGCTACCGGCGACGGCAATGCTGCCTTCAAGCGCATACACGGGTTTGCCATCGAAGTTGTAGGCGACGGTGGCAAGCAACCCATGCGTAGAGATGACAGGCTTCTCACCGACATTATAAAGCAGGAAGCATCCCGTTCCGTAAGTGTTCTTCGCCTCACCGGGCTGGAAACCTTTCTGTCCAACCAGTGCTGCAGATTGGTCTCCGAGACATCCAGCGATGGGGAAGCCTTTAAGTGGGCCTGATGTAAGCTGTCCGAAAGCTTTGCTGTCTGCTGACTTGACGATCTCTGGCATGTGGACTTTTCGCAGATCGAATTCGTAGGAGAAGAAGTCGAGGAGTTGGTCGTCGTACTTCAGCTTGAAGAGGTCCATGAACATGGTCCTGCTGGCGTTGGTGGGGTCAGAGACGAAGACGTTGCCCTGGGGTCCGCCATTGAGCTTGTATATGAGCCAGGCATCGATTGTGCCAAATGCCAGATTGCCTGCTTCATATGCTTTGCGCACTTTCTCCTCATTCTTCAGCAGCCATAGCAATTTCGTCACGGATGGATATGTGGAAAGCGGCAGACCGCAGATGTCAGTCAGCTTGTCACTGCCGGGGCGAGCTTTGAGCTCACGAACAAGAGCCGCAGTCCTCGTATCTGTCCAGACAATGGCGTTATGGAGAGGTTCACCAGTCTTGATGTCCCAGCATACGGTGGTCTCCCGCTGATTCGTGATACCAATCGACTTGATGCTCTCCTTCTTGTGGCCTTGCTTCTCAAACTCCTTAATCGCAGCTTCAATGCAATTCTCCACCGACTTTACGATCTCATCCGGGTCATGTTCGTGCCAGCTAGTCACATGTCAACATCTTACATGCAGGAGTGGCGAGGCGTAGCATACATACCCTGGGTTGGGATAGATCTGACTGAATTCTTCCTGATGCACGGCGACCGGCTCGCCGGCTTTGTCAAAGATCAAAAATCGCGAACTCGTGGTTCCCTGGTCAATGCTGCCCACAAACACTTCATGGGAGGGTGGCATGTTGGGGGAGTCGCCCACGACTAGGTTCTGGAGCTTCTCGACAATCGCAGACATGCAAACAGAAGAAGAGGTAGAAAGAACAAACGCTTGCTGCGGGACTCGAACTGGGTGCGTGTGTACGCGCTGGGCGAGTCTTTGTTTATGAGAGGAGGCAGCTGGCCGGGATGGCGAGGTGGAAGAGAGCAGCAGCACGGAGCTGTAGCGAACAGGCGTAAGAGCTCCATGCTGCTGCTGCCGCTCTCGCTTTCTCGGCAGTGCATGTGACAGGCGGCCAGGAGCATTGACAGAGGACGTGGAGGAGGGTCTCTTACAGCTCGTGCCTGTACTGCAGCGGAGACGGCCCCAGTGCCCGCATTTGTTCAGCAGGCATGCCATGTGATTTCACGCACGGCCCACAAGCTCGGAGTCGGCGGCGCCTTTGTTGTTTGTTCGTCAGCGCTGCTTTCTTACTGTACATACATACCTATGCACGTGCGGTGATCCTGCCGAGTTGCGCTTTATTGCCGCGGGTATGCGCAGAACAATGGTCAGTTGCCGACCGGCGGTATGTTCAGGCTCAAAGATTGACTCCTGCCGCGTTAGCGGTACGACATGGCGTTGTTGGTGGCGGATGAGGCGTCGACGTTGGCAGTGCAGAACAGAGGCGTAGGCGTTGCCCGTCGCTTGGCATGGTGGCATGGCATTGCGCGATTTAGCGCGCCCCACTCCCCTCAGCCTTGGCAGAGTCACCCACACGGGGAAGTGGAGAGAGCGGAATGGCGGACGGGGCACAGACACGAAGACTCCACCGAGCATGTTCCAGACCGAGCGAGGGCAGTTCGAACTTCGCACGAGCCGAGCACAGAGCACAGTTTCACGACGTCCAGCAAGGCTAGAATAGAATACACCACTGGGTTCAAAACACCATGTGCATCTCGGAAATCTGAACGCAGGTACTGCAGCAAGGCCGTAGCTCGACATGGACTTTCGATAAGTTCCCTCGATCCCGGCGTGACATCAAAAACGACCCAGCCGCGGCACCAACCCTCTTCTTACCCAGAGAATTCAATTGGCGCAGTGGCGCTGGCGAGAGGAGGATGGTCAGCAAAGAAAAAAATGCGGAGAACCCGGCCCTTGTCAACGGCATTAGTCAGATAACTCGACGAAACAGCAGACACGCAGTGGTATACGCCGTCGAGTTCGCTTGGAAGCAGCAGCGGAGGAGTCTTGCCGTGCTGATTCCTCGCCTGTATTCTATGCGAGAGCAAGCGGAGCCGAATGGGATGGTCGACAAGTCCGCCCTGTGTGATGATATGCTGCCATGTCTCGTCTGAGATTATTATGCAGCGTGTGGTCAGTGTGCTACGACCAGGTGCTCTGCAGCATTAAGGGAGCACCTCATTTCAGCCATGATGCTGGAGCAAAGCGCAGATTTCTCTGATTTCCTTCGCCGCAAGGTGACTCTCCATCGGAGCCGGGATCTGGGAATCGTTCGACGTTCATCCGGACATAGCAGACGGTGACTTGGTGACTTTGCCCGCCACCGTCCGATGATGGATTCCAAGTGCAGGAGTGGCCCAGAGGTTTGAATGCGACTGCATGCGGAACACATCCTTTGTTGTCGTACATCCCGGACCTGCCGCGGCACCAGGCTGGAAAAGGTCTGGCCTGGAAGTCTGCGGCAGTTTTGACATGTAGCTGAGAACCTGTGCACGCCCATACACGAGACGTGCGTAGCTTCGCCAATTGAGGCGAGCTATCTTTCGCGCCTGGCACCACCAGAGAGTTCCGATCCTGCATCGCATAGCTCATCTGCGAATGCTAGTTGCACGCGAACTTCCCTGCAGTCCAGTAATTGGTGTTCGGCTGTATGGCTGCTGGCCAGCACAGTAACATACGGTCCTCGTCAGCGGGCGTAGATGATAGAACCTTCATAAGCCGAGTGGTCTGTGATCGTGACTTGACACCTTCCGTCCTGTCTTCACCTTACCTTGGCTGGCTTGGCTTGTCTTGTCTAAAAGGTCGGCTGTTGTGAAGGAGGCCGCACGTTTCCGTCTCGGTAGTCAACAAAGAACAGCAACAGATCAAAGAAGAGCGACACACAATGGACGAAAAGACCTTCGACTTCGCGAAGCCGCCGACCGAGCCTCACAATGATAGCATCATGAAGATAACGCACCGTGAACACCATCGGCCCAATTCGGGCTCGACGACCGACGTCGATGCCACCACTCTGGCGACCGTCGAGTCTGCCTATGCGGAACGAGGCGTGCCTATCAATCGCAGCATGACTGCGGAGCTCAAGAAAGAAGCCAACTCTGCCTTGACATGGAGTCGCATCCGAAGGACGTGGAGAGAACCGCTCTCCGAGTTCATGGGAACGTTCATCCTGATCATGGTAAGGAGCGAACGTCAAGTCCATTGCTGTCCAGAATGCACTCGCTAACCTGCACTCTCTACTCTTCAGTTTGGCGATGGAGTCGTTGCGCAAGTCGTCTTGTCGCGCGGTACCAAAGGCGATTACCAATCCATCTCCTGGGGCTGGGTGAGTCGATCTTGCTCGATACCGACGTTGCATTTGCTGACAATGGTATATAGGGTATCGGTGTGATGTTGGGTAAGTTCCTCAAACGATGTTCGATGTTCGCCCTGGGCAGCAATACAAGAGCATACATCCCTGCAAAGATGCCGAACGCCAATCCCGAAGCGACATTTGGCTTGAGGCCGTTCTCCAGAGACGATCTTCCCGAGATGGGTGATCGAACTTGTTTGTCGTCAAGAACGTGTTCTTGGTTAATAAGAGATGGGATCCATGCTCGCAGAAGACAGCTTGGGCCGAGATACTCTGCACGCCGCACGCAGATTTCAAGCCACAGCCGCTAACATGTTTTTTTCGCAGGTGTTTATGCTTCCGGAATCTCTGGTGCTCACATTAATCCTGCCGTGACTTTCGCCAATTGCGTCTTCCGCAAGTTCCCCTGGAAGAAGTTCCCAGTCTACGCAGTAGCGCAGGTTCTCGGTGCGATGTGTAAGTGCAACCATTTCCGCCCTGCGAATCAGGATATGTGTGGTCGTATGCCATTGGTGACAATACTGACTACTGTGTCAGGTGCCGCTGCTGTCGTGTATGGAAATTACAAATCTGCCATCGATACCTTCGAGGGAGGCGCAGGAATCCGGACGGTGCCAGGCTACTCCGAGAATGCATCTGCTGGAATCTTCTGCACATATCCCGCCGCGTTCATGAGTAACACGGGCCAGTTCTTCTCCGAATTCATCGCGTCGACGCTGCTCATGTTTCTGATATACGCCATAAAAGACGACCACAACATCGGAGCCAAGAATTTGACACCTCTCGCGCTATTCTTCATCATCTTCGGCATCGGAGCCTGCTGGGGATGGGAAACCGGCTATGCCATCAATCTCGCGCGTGACTTCGGTCCAAGACTGGTCTCATATATGGTTGGATATGGCCCCAATGTTTGGCGTGCTGGCAACTATTACTTTTGGGTGCCCATGGTCGCTCCATTCTGCGGCTGCACATTTGGCGGATTCCTGTACGATGTGCTACTCTTCACCGGCCAGTCGCCCATCAACACGCCATACTGGGGCTTCTATCGATTTATTCCATCGCTTCGGCGCCAGTATAAGGGTATGCGTTGGGATGAAGAGAATGCTCAGGAAGATGAAGATGTGAGCGTTCACTGAGGTCGTGAAATCAGCTTCTTGATATATACCTCAAATGTGGCCGAAGAGGCTTGTACAGGCTTCCTTGAATTTTGAAACCGCCGGGGATGATGATGCATGGGACGGAGTTCTGAAAAGCCTGGTGGGCTGAGTTCTGTATCTACATAGCAGGAATGAAAGGGTCAGCTTCAAATGCACTTTGGCGAGGCGAGCGCAGTGGACAGCCAGGTCATATTGCTGCAACAGCGAGATGCGCCGTCCCCAGTTTGGGTATTAGTGGAATCTGTTTCGGAAAAATTTGCATTTTGACTTTTCTTCGGCCTCTTGGCGCTCCTTCACATACCATGGATGGGCAACAAGAAGAAATCCGCCAACAAGTCGCACAACCAAGTCCCAGAAGCCAATATTCCGAGACCATCATCGCTCAAAATGCTTGCCCCATTCAATAGGGTAAAGCAGGAGGTCGCACGGCCACACTTCGACTCGATGCTCCGTGAGCTGCCCTTTGCTGCGTGCCCTTCAAGTTCCCTTCAATTGCAATCGATGAAGATTGTCGCAGAGTTGACGGAAACGGCCACTGCCATCCCAATCTACAGTGTCAAAAGAGCCAGGATCCGTTTCATCAAGCGCCGCCCATGCTCAGCACCTGCTCATGCATTACGCAGCTCTCACTTCAAGTCAGAGGCGCCTCAAGCAACTGTCCCCATCGCCTGCTGATACCGTGTCCAAAGATCACCAGTGCTGTTGCTGTTGCTGTTGCTTTGCACACCCTGCATTTCGTCGTCATTAGTAGCCTTGCCGTTGCCGTCCTTAGCCTTGGCATTTGGATCCCACTTGCTGGCATCAATGCCGCTCGCCCTGAATTCCTCCCTCAGAACTCGCTCCATCTCCACGCATGCAACACTTTCTTCCAGACTCTTTGCATAAGAGCTTGACCATGGTCCACCACCATCTGACTGCTTGAATTGTGGGAAGCTGGCCTTCAGATAAGTCAGGAGCTCCCGGCCCTCGGATCGCCTCTCAGCAGGTGTCATGCTCATCAGCTCGACGAAGGCGGCATAGACCGGCACACTACGCTGGTCACTTGCGCCGAGGATACCGCTGTTTTCCAGTGCTTGAATGACCACGATAAGTTCCTCGTAATCTTCCTCGATGACGGCGCGTGGTCCGATGATCGTCGATATGACCTGCTGCGCTTGACCTGTATTGCGAGCCTTGATGAGATATTCAGCCTGCAAACGTGCATCGCCCAATACAGCTCGAGCATACTGTGCCTTCGATGACCATAGGTCGCTTTCTGAGACCTTCAGCTCTTCAGAGAGTATTCGAAAGCTTGAAACGAAGTAGTCTTCATCATATTCCTCGTCATCCCCAGGTGGTGTCGGGTCGGAAATTTTTCCACCATTGCGATACAAGACCTCTCCAATCGCGATCTTACGACTCTCCTCGCCTAACAGATGCTTGAGAACCCAGATTGCCGTGATAAACTCTCCGGTCAATTCCAGCTCCCCAGCAAAACCGGCAGTAAGATGGTCCAACTTGTCACCCGGCAATGTGGCAATGCCTCTCACATCGAGAATGACAGCGAGTTGCCACGACAGACGAGAGTAAAGGGCGTTACCAGACACGGTCTTCGGGTCGAGAATGGCCTCGAGGTCGGCAGGACGCATAGCGACGCCAGAGAAAATTCGCAAAAGTCCCAGAACAACGCTCTCTCTGCCATTCGCCGCATCGTCGTCGCTCGCCCAATCAGGTATTGGCTGAACCTTTTCCCGACCGGTCGCAAGGTCGTCCACGTATGATCGGACAGCATCTTTGAGATCAGACTGACCGCCGTAGAGCAATCTCAAGGCAAAGCATTGCTTCCAGCTGAGACCGAATCTCTCACCGATGCTAAACTCGGCACAGCGATCCTCTCTTGGTCCATTTTTGCCTTGTACAGTGCAAGTTTCGCCGGCAAGAATCGAGTAAAGAGCGCGAATAGGGTCTGACATTTCGCTCCAATCGTTACGCTTGCGCCACTCGTCGATCTGGCCTTGCATCAATGCTCGACTGTCGTCGGTTCCGGGCAGTTGAGCAACCTGCATCGCGAGTCGGTAGTTCTTGGCTTCAAGCAGCACATCGGCGGCCCCCTCCACATCATGCGTTGTGAGTAGCAACAAGGCTTTCTCTTCTTTTGAGGCGGCCGATAGTTGCCTCTCGATGCCATGAACCATTTCGTCGGCCCAGAACTGGCAGAAGGCGTCTTTTCGCAGCCTGTCAGCGTAGCTATCTATGTCACTCGCCGTCATCCCATCTATAAGATCAGCGGCAATGTTTTTGACATCGTCCCACAGATGCATGGCGGTCTTCCAAATGAACGCTTCCAAGACATCGACCTTGTTCTGCTTAGAACCAAGGGGTTCGAAAGCGGGGGGACTATAGTTGATAGAGAAGCGGGTCGTGGAATGGCCGACTCCACCGGTGCAGTCTCGCTGATACACGAGGGGGGTGGTGACATCGCTCTCGAGATCAAACGCATCGTTTCGCTGCCGACTCCGGAAGCCAGTGAAGCGAACCTCGTACGGTTGCGAAATCAGTGGCTTGGCCATTGTGCCGAGCGGCGAGTCGACTTGAGGAGTGGCTGCAGGGACCTTGTATACGAGAGTCTCAGTGCCGAAGTGGGGCTTCATTGTGCGGCGGAATTCAGAGTCGTTTTCGTCAGGCTTGTCGGAGGTGGAAATGCGAGGCTTTTTCGAATGAGCAGTCTAAATGTCATTTTCAGCTATGTACTGCGTAGCGCCGAAGTGTGATATGCAAGAAGGGACGCTGTGCTGGAAGTGCAGAGCACAAAGATGACTAGAATTCGAAGTCAATTGGGGGATCATACCTCGAATCCACTGACGCCTGTTCTCTTGCCAGCTTTCTCTGTCTCCCATAGCGAAGTCATGATGTCCATGCTGTTGGCAAAAGCTGGGCTCTTGCCGAGCTGGCTTGGCTTCCCAGCAAAAGTGCTGGCACCGGATCCAGCTTTCTTGGCGCTCTTCTGCGCGAGATAGCTCTGGCCAAGCTGACTTTGACCCAGCATGCTGCGCTTGAAAGGGCTGTTGTGGATGTCATCTCGATCGGCCTTCAATAGACTCTGTTGCAAATTCTTCAGATGCTGGCGATCGCGCTTCCTCGGACTCATGGTGCGCTGTAGTTGGTCTTCCCAATCATCATTTGCCAGCTTCTCTGGGCTTGGGAAGGCGGTCGCGGGCTTGAGGATGGATCGGAAGGGTTTCGGAGGGCCTTCAGCACCGAAGGAACCTGGAATCATCGGTTCTGGCTCCTTTTCGTCCTGCAGCGATTCAGCAATGTCGTTTGGACGGTGGTCGTCGGAAGCCATACTAGACTGTTGACGCTCATATGCACCGGGAGAGGGGGCTTGAACAGCTCCACCTTGGCCGGCGAAGACGTCGTCCTCTTGACCAAGTCCACCTGCCATCATGTACTGGTCTTCGACATGCTCGTCCGCACTAGGGTCATCGTAGTCGTAGGTGACATGCTGGTCGTCAAAAGCATCAAACCCGCCCGGAATCTGCGACTCGGGGAAGCTTGATCTCGAGCGAGTGGTGTGCTTGAACTCGAATGTGTCGTCGATATCGTCACCACCAAGGCCAGCGCCATTTGCGGTCTCGATGCTTTGCATTGTGTCATCCTGGGGTTGACCGAGAGTGGGTGGAGCGTCGCTCAGGCCACTCGAATCTTGTTGGGTAATCTCCATCTCGTCATCATCATCGTCTTCGCCCAGTTCGTACGTCGTGAAGTGGTCGACATCGAAGACCCACGTGCCTGTGTCAGGCTCGTATCGATCGAATTTGGTGCCCGTGATCTTCTTGAAGCGACGAATATGCTTCTCGTAGGCCGGAGTGCCCTCCTTGAGGACCACTTTCTGGCCGTTGTGGCTACGCGGCCATGAGTTCTCCAACCAGATCTTGCTAGGAACATTGAGGCCCTGTCCGCGTGGAGGCGTGTCTTCTTCAGTTGGGTAGACGGTTGCCGAGTTCTTCTCGAGCTTTACAATACCTCCGTACAGCTGGTCCAAGTCGGTGTTGCTGAGGTCGGCTTTCGAGAATTGAATCTTGCCGATACCGTAGCGTCCAACTTCAAATTGGCCCAAGTGTGCGAGTTGAGATCGAGACATTGCCTTGAGGGATTTCAAGGACGGCTTGCTCCAATATTCACCAGCTTCAGGTACCTTTGGCGCCGTCTTCTCCACAGGACGCTTGGTGCCTGGTGCAGATGCTGGGCGTTGTGGCTCGGCATCTTCTGGGATATCAGTAAGAGAGGCGCCATTGACCTGCTGCATCTCCACATGAGTGCCATTTGGTCGCTGTTGCGAACGAGTGGCAGCAGGAGAGACGTCATCGTCATCGGTCTCTGTTCGAACCAAAGCATTCGCAGCACTCGGCTGTGCATCCGACTGCTTGGCGTTAGCAGCAGAGTTGTCGAAGCTGACCTTCTTGTGGAGCGGAGGTGAGATGTCTTGTCGCTGCTCTAGTGGAGCAAATAGGTCCTGGCGCAGGCTGCGATCGATCTTCAGCTTGCGCATGCTGCCAGTCTCGAGGAACCTGCTTGAGGCACTTCCGGGAGTTGGACGAAGCAGACTGCCTCCCTCACGAGTGGGCGTGTCGATGCCGCGCAAGTTCTGCATAGACATGCTCTTAGCAAGTCTGCTGGTCAGCGCGCTACCGAGGCTATTGGTAGGCTTCAGCAGACTACTAGCCTGCGGCGTGAGACTGCTTGAAAAGGACGAGTTCGGTGTGCCAAAGTTGGAGTAGCTGAATCCATAGGTGTTCTGGCGACCAAGCATGCTGGCTCGTGGCGTGTAGATCGGTGAGTTCAATCTCGTGCTAGACAGAAGGCTTGGCGTCCTCGAGGGGGCAGGTCTGGCTCCTGCGAGTGGCGTCGCAAGAGGCCCGACTGGGGCAGCTGACTGGCCCAAGGAGCTGAATAGCTGGTCATTGCCGTAAGGTGAAAGTGTCAAGCTCGCGTGGAGCTGATTTGGCTGCTGTTGAGCGGTGTTCTGGCTCGTGCTTCCAAACAGCGAGTTGTTCTGATTCTGGTTGGTGGAACCGAACAATCCAGTGCTGCCCTGCTGACTGTTCTGAGCGCCGCCGAACAGACTTCCGCCTGTATTTGTGTTGCTAGCAGTGCTGCCAAAGAGGCCACCTGGTTTATTCTGCTGTTGGTTGCCGCCGAACAGGGAGCTGCCTCCGGTATTGGTATTGCTGGTGCCACCACCAAACAAGCTGCCACCAGTGTTATTCTGCTGTGTGCTAGAGCCGAACAATCCACCTCCAATATTGGTGTTTGTCGTGCTGCTTCCAAACAGACCACCCGGCTTGTTTTGCTGCTGGTTGTTGTTGCCGAAAAGACCACCGCCAGTGTTCGTATTTGTATTGGAGCCAAATAACCCACCACCAGTGTTCTGCTGCTGGTTGTTATTGGAGCCAAACAACCCACCGCCTGTGTTCGTGTTGGTCGCGGTGTTGTTGCCAAAGAGTCCACCCGTCGCTGGCTTGTTCTGATTGTTGCCGAAGAGGCCACCGCCAGTGTTTGTACTGGAGCCGAACAAGCCGCCGCCTTGGTTTTGCTGCGTCTGCTGCTGGTTGTTGGACCCAAAGAGACCGCCACCAGTGTTCGCGTTGGTGTTCGAGGTGTTGCCGAACAGTCCGCCTCCGGTGTTGGTGCTAGCGCCGAAGCCTCCAGTGGTGTTCGTAGTCGACTGGCCAAATCCGCCGAAAGCTGGCTTGTTTTGCGTCTGGTTGTTGCTACCAAAGAGGCCTCCGCCGGTGTTCGTACTGCCGAACCCGGTAGACTGCGGGTTGTTGTTCGATCCGAAAAGGCCACCTGAAGCCGGCGCAGTGGTAGCAAAGCCTCCTGTAGTCGTGGCAGAGCTCGCGGTATTGCCGAAAAGGCCCCCTGCAGGCTTATTCTGCTGTGAGCCGAAGAGGCCTCCGCCAGTGCTTGCTCCAAAGCCACCAGTAGTGTTGTTCGTAGCGTTGTTTGCGCCGAAACCACCACCAAAGCCAGTGGCAGTGTTCGTAGTAGATGCGTTGGCGCCGAACAGCCCTCCCCCACTTGTGTTGGTATTGGTATTGTTGGTGTTGCCAAAGACGCTGCCGCCAAAGCCAGTGGTCTGGCCGAAAGATCCAGCTTGGCCGTTGCTGTTTCCATACCGGCGGCCTTGAAGGTAGTCCTCGGTCCTCAGCTCCTCAAAACTCTTGTTCAGATATGGTTGCTGGAAAGTGATGGATTGATACTGTGAGGTCTGGTTGTTTGTGCCGTCCTTCTCAGAAAATGCTTGAAATGGTGTTCCTGCGGTGCCATTATTGTTGGTGGCAGCAGTGTTGCTGGCGCCGAATCCAGTAAAGCCACCACTAGTAGTGTTGTTGGTCGAACCGAAGCCGCCGGTGTTCGAAGTACCGAAAAGACCGCCTTGCTGTGGCTGGGAGGTGTTGTTACTGCCGAATCCACCAGAAGTAGCGTTGTTGCCGCCTCCGAAGATGGACCCGCCGGTGTTCGTGCTTCCAAAGCCTCCTGTCTTGTTTCCGAAAAGACCTGCTTTGCTGTTAGTCTCTGCTTTACCTTGCCCTGCCACATCATCTGAAGCAGAGCGCGCATCCTTCTGCTGGCGTATCTTACCTCCGCCGGTCGTGTTCGATTGGCCAAAGGAGGTGCTCGTGTTGTTATTGTTCGTGCTTCCGAACCCGCCGCTGCCGAAGCCACCTGCAGTGCTAGTGCCGCTGCCAAAGAGGCCACCTCCGCTACTTGTCGTTGCGGTATTGCCGAAAGCTGTAGAGGGCTTAGCACTGGACGTGTTAGTTGTCTTGGAGGCGCGCGACCCACCTCCACCGCTGCCAAATCCACCTGATGTGGTTGTACTGCCAAAAAGCCCCGTCCCTGACGATGCGGTGTTGCCGAAGGTGCTGGATGTATTGTTGTTCGCTCCAAATCCGAACCCCCCACCAGTGTTGCTCGAGCCGAAGCCGCCGCCGAACGACATCTTGGCGGAGTCGACTCAGTAGATGTATGTATGAGTGTGCGCCCGGGCGCTTGATTCGGGATGGGATGCGCTCTATGCGATTGTCGAGTGGCGGGTATCTGAATGTGCGAATCTGCGTCAGTCGAAGGTCCACTAAAGGCGCGTATTTCGCGCGCAACACAGCTCTTTTTCGCAGTCTCGATGAATCTCTGCAGCTTCCAAGCGCCGTGTCGTCGCGCAGAAATCATGGTCGCGCGGAAGGAGGGCGATATCGTACCTTCTGTGGTGTAATAAGGTGGACGGAAAGAAGTGCGGCGGCACGCGATGGTGGTGGTGATGCAAATTTCGAGCTTCCGGTTCACTCGCGACGCGCCATACAACAATGGAAAAGCAAAGCAAGCAGTCTGCGCGTCAATGAAGACGGCGTTGAAGGGAAAGACAATGGTCGAATGCTTCAGCGGAGGGAGGTGCGCTTCGCGTTCTTCGCTGGCAGACAGAAGCTGCGAAGGAAGCCCGAGCACCGACCAATCGGCTGAGACCGCCCGCCCGCCCGCCTCTCACTTCTCGATGGACACTTCACGACCGCCTTCCACGACAACACACTTCACGATGGAAGATCAAATGGCACGTCTGTCAAAATTGGCAAATTCTGCTATCGAACATTCGGGCTGCTTAATTTACGAAAGACAGAGATGGATGGCGAAGAGCAAAGATTTTATATTCCGACCATCAGGCACCAGCAGGCGCAGCACCAGGCAGGCAGCGGCATCGGTGTCACAGCCCATACGATGAATGTCATTCTGCTGCCATACATATAACCTTTCAGAGCATCTCGTGCCGCTAAGATCTATCGCTGACCGCCAGTTCGACGCCAATATAGCATCCCGCATCCCGCATAATAATGTTCGTCCTGCACTTTGTATTGGAGCCATTCTGTCCGATCTCTCATCTTTGTGCATGCGTGCGACAGGACAGATTCTGACAGACCTGCTCGGAGGCGCCAGACTACCATTGAGGGATCTAAGTCGATAATGAAGTCTAGTGGACTAGATTTTGATGCTATTCAAGCGTGTTTGCCTTATACAGTAATGTAAAAGCGTAGTCGAGCTGATTCATGTTGTATGCTAGCAGCAATTTGCCTTCTCCTACTTCCTTCCGCCCCTGCTTTCCTAGTAAATTTACCATTTCGTTGCGAAAACATCAAACCTGTCCATCTCACTGATGATCCAAAATCCAAAGGTGCAGTTTTAACGTGCTTCCGAACCACCGCATTCGACTCCCTGCTCGTGGACATGATACTTGCGCAAATCCCATTTCCCGAAATCCGCCTCGGCTTCTCTATGCCACCCTTCACGCCAGACGACCTGCAATAAATCGAGCAGAGCGTCCTTGCACCAAGAAAGCTTCTCACCATACCGTTCGAACGAGTCGGAGTTGCAAGTAGCAGCGTAGACGTCGATGAGGAATCGACGAAGTGGGCTCTGCCGCATGGTGTTCTCGTACACGTAGTTGATATCTCTTACATCGGGGATTGCCCAGTCCTTGGAAACAATTCGATGGAGTGCTGTCATGACATCGTTCTGGAGTAGTGGGATTTCATGTGCGTCGCCGAAGACCCAAAGCTGGAGCAGCAGGGGGCAGCTTGCATCGATGTCGTCAAGTGCAATCTCAAGCTTTCGACTATACGCCCAGTGCATGAAGAGATTGAAGATCCTGGGGATATGGATGGCATGTCGATGGCTCCTTGCTGAGCGTCTTTCCACCTCCTGTTGAATGCAGCACGGAAGTATCCTGAGTAGAAGCAAAGGATGCCTTTGTGGACGTCGAAGACCTTCGCCTTCTCTTCTTCGCCGGCTTTGATCCGGACGATGGAGTCGTAGGATTGGCTGCGATGCTTCACGTCAGCGAAAGTGGACTTGAAGATTCAGACGGTGCATTTACTTACGATGTAGGGAACTTCTCGGGAGTTTATGGCAGGGCTGGCCTGGCGACCTTGGCTGGTCTGTTGTCCATCACGTCCGCGTTGTCGCGCTTGCGCTTTGCTGAATGATCGGACATTATGTGTCTTCTTATATATACTTATAATACCGTCTCTTAAAGGTATATAATGCTACGCAGACCCCTCGCAGTTAATTGAGATACACCAAATACAAGGCATACTACACTCAGTTCCCTACATATGTACCTCTACCTACGACCTACCCATCCCTCCCACAGTACCTTCATATGCTGGCCTCTGAAAAGTGAAAAGCAAGCAGAGGAACAAAGCATTCTCAAAGGACGACTCGGCATCAGATTGTAAGTTTCTGCCATCGAGATCAGTATTGAGTGAATGCCCAATGCCACGTGCTCGCTTTACTGCTGAAGCATCAATTACAGTCGCCGTCTCAAGATGCAGCCACGTGCCAGGTCGACAGACCACGTAGTGTCGGAGGTTGAAGTGTTCCACGTCGGAGGTTGAAGAGTTACATTCAATCTCGCCTATAGATTCCAATAGCCCAGGCCACTCTAAGCCAAGCGAGGCCGACTGCCATGCCTATACTATCATTAATGACATTCAATTTGCTGCCTGCGACCTCTTTCCAGCCAATGCCTACTTCAGCCATAGGTATGTCAGCGCTCTCTGCCAGCATGAGCATTTCGACATCGAAGATCCAGCCTTCCGAGTGCATGTATGGGATGATATAGGGTAAAGATGGGCGCGAGAAGAGCTTGAAGCCGCATTGCGTATCTTTGATGTGGGAAGTTTTGGGTGTCGTGAGCAGCCGGATTCCAAGATGAAAGCAACGCATAAGCAGGTTGCGGAGGGCGGATCGCTGTTCTATGTCAGTGGTCTTCGTGCAAGGCTTAGTTGGAGTTTTCAAATACCTTCACGACGGCATCCATGCCTACCATGTGCGCTCTGCTACCAACGCCGACCGCTCGTCCCATTTTGTCCTTGATTTTCTCGCACTGTTTGACCAGCTTCCCTAGATCTGGAAACCTTGAAGCACCATCCGCATCTGCAAACACCACATAAGTGCCTCTCGCATGTCTCATGCCGTGTGTTACAGCGCCACCTTTGCCACGATTCTGTTCCAGCTGCACGACTCTGATCGTACCCGGACTAATGTTTGTCGGCTTGTACTTTTCTTGCTCTTTCCAAGGACCAGAATATGTAGGCGGTGGCTTGTTGAGCATATGCGTTCGCGCAAAGTTCAAAGCAACTTTTACTGTCTTGTCGGTGCTGCCGTCACTGACGAGAATGATTTCCCATCCGCGGTATGGATCACCTTGGCGGCCTGTCGCCTGCGCGTTGCCATTGCTGCTACTCCTGGACTTTGTGCCATGATGTCCGTACTGTTCTTCCAAGTACTCGACTGCCTCTTCCAACATTCCGCTCAATCGATCTTGCTCGTTATATGCGGGTATGACCAATGTCATGAAGCACTCGGCGTCCGTTATTTGGTAGGCTTCCTCGGGTGGGATCTGACCTCTGCGCGCCATCTCTTTGAGCGCGCGATAATTGTCGAACCAACATGGTAGCGGCTCAGGCTTCGCAATCTGACCTTGCTCGGTTATCGTGATATATCGCTTTTCGGACTTGGTGGGTGGTCGGGGAGTAGGAGCAAATGTGCAAAGAAGTATATAAGCCTACCGTGTCGCCTGTCAGCGAGGCAGACCTATGATACGAACGTGAAAGCGCGTTGGTTTAAGCAGCTTGGGAGGATTGTACCGAAATCAAAGTCACTATGAGACCAACAGCTCCAAGAGCCAGATATGCCAAATATGGAGTCCTGGATATCATTTCCATGCCTTCCCACCACTCCTCGGGTATCGAATCTGCTGAGTCCATCTTTGCCGAGGGCAGTCGCGTTCAGCCCCTGCTATATGAAATTCTCGTAGTTCCATGGAGCAGTGTAGGTAGTTGGTGATCGCAGCAGTGCTCCTGAAATCAGAAGCTCGTGAGAATGCAGGGATCTGTGCTGCTTCCGCAATGTCGGCAGCGCAAGGGACAGCTTGCAGCTCGAAAGGAGAGTCAATTGCCGGCAACTTAGGCACTCTATTGTGTATAATCTACAACGGCCGTTCCATTGAGCTCCCATCAATCCCACGAAGCAATTGTGCACCGCACGAGCGACGATGAACATGTCATCGAACACCTCTTATCTCAGTACCTTCCACGCGCCTTAAGGCCCTCCCATGTGAGGCACCCAGGTGGCGCTTCTCGACTGTCTTTGCCCCCAATCTATCGCCATCTTCTTGGTACGCCTGACAAGTAATTCACTCTCCATATCGGAGGCGTCGACGAGCCTCCTGATTCTACTCGCCAGCAACCGGTCTGGCTTCTCAGCTCGAACTCTATTGTGTTGAACGACAGAAGATTCCTCCCTAAAATAGTTGCACTCTGGTCAGCCTTACACGACGGCGCCTTTCCAGACGGGCCAAGTATCACAACGGTTTGCTCAGGTCATGCTTCGTGGAATGCTTAAATAACAGGTGGCAAACATTCATCAACTTCGATATTGCCTCTCCTTACACTGTCTGCCCTCTGCTTCACTCGCAAGATCCGCGGCATTGACTTCAATTCAGCACATAAGCCACCTCTGAAATCGCAACTCGCACTCAAAATGGCCGACGATTGGCACAACAGTCTCTGCGGCCAGGTCTGCGGTGGCGACTGCGGCACTTGTGTAAGCATGATGCGCTTCACATCGCTTCGAGCCCGGTACTAAGCAGCAATAGATGGGATCTTGGTTTTGCTCGCCATGTCTCTTCGGCAGATCTTGGCAGCGATTGGAGCAATTCCCTAACCAGAACAAGGAGGATTTTAGCAATTGCAACAGCGGCTGTTGGATCTTCTGCGGAGCAAGCTGCTTCCACTTTGGCTGGCTTGCGACGCTCCTTAAGCGAATGGAGTTGAGAGAACGCTTTGGCATTCAAGGTGGGTGTGAAGGCCGGATCAATCTCCAAACGTGGCCCGTTCTAATGTTCGACAGGCAATGGCTGCACTGACTGTCTCGTCTCTTACTTCTGCACTCCATGTACATTAGCACAGATGGAGACGGAGCTCAAAGACCGCGCTGCATCAGCGCACGTCGGGCACAGCACAAAAGACGCTGGCTACGTTGCGCCCTCGGAAAACATGAACTACCAGCCTCCATCAGAGAAGACCGCTGCGCATACAGGCGACGGAAACCAGAATCAATATCATCAGCAGCAGCCTCAGTATGCTCTATCATCCTAGGGATACTGGTCACCGATGACCACCTAGAGGTTTTCCTCTTCGACGGGACGAAGCTTGATATGGAGGCAGCGAGCTGTGGCGAAATATGCTGCAGCGGTACATCATACTATTGCCATTGCATGCATGTGCTACGACGGACGAAAGATACCTCATGGCGCGGCAATTTTGACCTTAATCAAATATTCATGATCATCTATGAATTTGAGCCACGGGCTTACCACGGCTTCGGCTGTTGCGGCCGCAGCGGCAACAACACCCTGTCTTCACCATCTCGTCCAGATTTCAACCTTAACTTCGTTACCTTTGCCTATACGGGGTACCCACCAACAGAACACTCGTCATATGCAAGTCCACGAAAGACTTCTATTGCCAGCTGTCTCAATGAAGCGCCGAGCAGCATATCATGTCCGTGATGACTTTAGCAGGTATTCTGTCATGGCGCACTTCGGACTCAGCCCCTCACGCCACACGTCAGCTTCGCGGGATTCATACTACCTGGTACTTCAAATGCCTCTCGCCTGGATTTGACATCCGAGGAAGGATCGAGGAGATGGGGGTGGCAAGCGTATCTGCACCTGGATGACACGGGCGGTATCTGAAATGTACACACCCAATCAGTGTGCAGAGCGAGCTTCACATGCCGAGCAGGACGAACTGACCTCTGTAGATAGATCCACGGATCTTACTGCAGCTTTAAACTCTACTACCTGGCATACGACCACTTCACCTTCGAAGATTTCAGCGCCATGGGCAACCACAGCAGGGAGCGCCAAGAAAATACCCGTCAGGACCAGGTCAGCCCATGCCGTCTTCCAATCCATCGCTTATATGCAGCCTGCAGCTCTGGAGTCGCTGTGCCATCGAGTTGCAAGTAGCATGGAACAGCCGCCTGCCGACTCCGTCTCGGCGTGCTTTACAAGTGGACACGAAGCTACGAATCATTTGCAAGACTAATGTTTTGCCATGTAGGAGATGGTGGCAAAGGGAACGAGACACCAGCGAAACTTGCCTTGCCGCAAACTGCGTGCTAACACATGAAACGTGCACGCGTCCATCTAATGCATCCCCATCTCTTGGCAGCAATACAGACACTAGCTCCTCCCCCAATGCGGAGAACATAAGTGATTATGCACCAAGGGATCTTGACACGGACTGCCAAAGGGTTGGCAAATGCTTGTCATCTCGTGGTATTATACACGTTGTGGTCCAGCCTCTCGAGCTGCAGCCTGCCATCTCAGCCACGACACCTGGGATTGCTCACGAGGCACTGGTATGGTCCACGAATGTACTCAAGTACCATTACTCGGGTAACATGCGAGCTGCTTATACAGATACTACGGCACTTATCCCCGACGCCACTTCTGGAAGCTGTCCCGCGCAATGTTTGGAAATCAGCCCCGACCACATTCATACGAGGACGTGACTGGCCTGGCCACCATCTGTGAGGTCAAATAGCTTGCGGGGAAACCTTGTTCGATGAAAGGATCTTATGTGCATTGCACACGGTCTGGCGCGGGTGGCACATTTAGATTGGGCTAAAAGATAGCAGACAGATCAGGTAGGTCCGCCGGAGCCGCAGCGCAACACTGGCTACTAGGTATATCGTATGCTGCCGTCCTGTGTGAGGGTTGGTCTCTAGTTCTTCAATTTACAGCTTCGAGAATAACAATACAGCAACCATCATGAACAGAATCACAGGCCGTGTTAAGGAAGATCTCAGGACCGATTACAACTGGAATCGAGCAGCGAGGCTATCAGTGAAGGGCGCTCGTGCTTTGCCGTCCGCTAGCCTTCAATATGTCACTGAGAAGTTCCCAATCATAGGATGGCTTCCGCGTTACAACTGGCGATGGCTGATCAACGATCTGATTGCTGGTCTGACAGTCGGGTTGATGCTCATCCCACAAAGTCTTTCCTACGCAAAGATCGCCACCATCCCAGTAGAAGCAGGTCTAGCATCGTCCTGGCTACCAGCGACATTATATACCTTGCTCGGAACAACAAAAGGTGATTGCCCTCGCGAAGATTATGATTCAAGGCTGATTGGTCATCACAGATCTATCGACAGGGCCAACGAGTCTTATCGGACTTCTCACGCACGAGCAAGTTGAGCATTTCGCGCCTGAGGATGGCAGCGGTGCGTACACTCCAACGCAGGTTGCATCTGCTCTGGCGATGTGGATGGGCATCTTCGGCCTGATACTCGGCATGCTCAACCTTGGTTTCCTTCTTGATTTCATCTCCTTGCCTATCCTATCCGGCTTCATCTCTGCTGTGGCCATCACCATCATTCTTGGACAGATCCCATCTCTGCTTGGTGAAGACTCTGGCGGAAGCAACACAGCCGAGAAAATACACGACGTATTCGCCAACCTTCCCTCTGCAAACGGCTACGCCTGTGCCATCGGCTTCACTGGTCTATTCTTCTTAACCGTCCTTGATAAGGTGGGCAAGAGATACAGTGAAAAGAGCAGAGTGATCTGGTTCCTAATGATCACGCGTGCCTTCCTCGCACTCGTGCTTTTCACTGGCATCAGCTACGCCGTCAACAAGAAATATGGACACGACGATGATAGCTACCTCTGGGGCGTTGCTAAGGTCGAGGCATCAGGAATTGCGAAGCCAGCAATGCCGCCGGCCGACTTGATCAGTAAGATGGCACCTCGAAGCATCGCCATATTCATAGGCTCGGCAATAGAGCATGTTGCCATTGCTCGTGCTTTTGGAGTAAAGAACAATTACATTACAGATCAGACCCAGGAGCTAGCATACTACGGTGAGCATCAATTGTCGATGATCAGCTCAGCAAGAAACTAATCCCGTTGTAGGCATCACAAACTTCTTCAACTCCTTCTTCCACACAATGGGCGTTGGTGGCGCCATGTCTCGAACAGCCGTCAACTCCGCTTGCAAGGTCAAGTCTCCTCTATCTGGCATCTTCACAACAGCCGTAGTCCTGGTCTGCATTTTCAAGCTCAGTAGCGCTCTATACTGGATTCCGAAGGCAACACTGGCAGCTATCATCATCTCTGCAGTTTGGCCCTTGATCAGCGCGCCAAAAGTGTTCTACATCTACTGGAAGACGAGCCTGGCGGACTTCATCTCCTCAATGATCGCCCTCTGGGTATGTCTTTTCAAGAGCACCGAAATTGGCATTGCCTGCGCTGTGGGCTTCAACATCGCATACATTCTCCTTCGTCAAGTGTTCACCAGAGTGTCTCACGCTGGAACCGACACCGCAGTCGATACGCAGAGCCAGCTTCTCGCAAACAGCGGCTCAACAGTGACCACAATCCCAGACGGCTTCCGCATCTTCCGCTTGAACGAATCCTTCTTCTTCAGCAACGCCTATCGTATCGCAACAAGCATGACAGATGCGATCCAAACCCACCATGCACCAAACTACAGCCTCGCGAATGGAAGTGAGAAAGAACGAAACTGGAGCGTTGCGGGAGAACGTCGCATCGCGAGACTGCGTGCACGAGCTCATATTACAGATCCATCTACTTTACCAGCAATCCGAGTCGTCGTGCTCGATTTCAGCAAATGCAACCACATCGACGCGACCGCTGTCACCCAACTTCGCAACTTTCTGGCCGAGCTGAAAAAATACGGCGGAGCTAATGTCCAAGCAAGATTCTGCGGAATGAGCAGCTATATCAAGGAGCGCTTTCAACGCGCTGGTTTCCTTTTGGTCATGGATGAGGAGGGTGGCTTTAATCCTACCAACGCCCAAAATGGTGCTGTTGCTGTTAGAGTTTATGATACTGTGGGTCAAGCGGTCATGGCGAGAGTTGTGGACAGTGATGGCATTGAGACTTGGGATGAGAAGGAAAAGGTCGTTGAGGATGCGACGGAAGTTGAGGAGAAGAAGATGTGAATGATGAATCACCCTCTGCCATGTCTCCGTATACCCATACCCTTTTGATTAATGATCTATGAACGAATGAATGGATTTATGACCACCTACCCTACCCGCAAGCACTTCCAAATTCTTCCCTTCCTCCGAGCGAGCGAAACCCCCACGAAGTCTAGTTCTAGTTCCATCCTAGCCATCATCTGGAACTAGATCTAAATTCCGCATCACATCATACGATCAAAACCTACATTCATCAATCCTCATTAATAATAGCGCAACGCAAGCTAGAGACGTGCGGTGCGGTCGAGAATGAGATGGATGGGTAGCCCGCACGATCCGGTCGGGTCGGACAAGCTCTGTCTGGTACGTAGGTACCTGCCAAGATATATCGGGTAGTGCGGGATGCTGGGGTGAGGTGGGAGGTGGGAGGAGAGGTGTGGCTGTGCAGAATGTACATGTACATGGTCGTATACATATAGCTGAAGAGCTGTAGTGGAACGGGATGAGATGAGATGAGACGAGTAAGGAATGGAATGGAATGGGAGGGGACAAGGAAGGGGTTGGGGAGTTTGTTGTCGTGTTTTGTTTGTTCGTATGTATAGACTCCGTTCGTTTTTTTTTTTTGGAAGATGGTGGTCTGGTATAAATGCCGCCTAAAATCACACCTGAACGTATTACAGTACGAAGGCTCATCACTTCTTCGACTCGGCATCTCCTCCAGCTTGACTAGGAAATCCTTCGACTTACTTATTGATGTCCTAGAGTCAAAACTGCAATGGACTCCTTGGGAAGTATGATATCGGAAATGTTGACTTCGTAGAAAGAGGAGATTTTTTTTGTTTCTCTCCTTCGAGGTTACCGAGACCAGAAATGTGGTTTGGTTCGATTACATGTATGTCGTTGTAGGTTGGTTTGTCCTATGAGGGTTGTTAGTATGCTGCTCTTGAACGTACTCGATAAGACTATTTGACACCTGATACCTCAAGTAGATGTGTAGTAACGTTCGATGTCGTGCGCTCGATAGGCTAGCTAACGGGTATCGATGCTGTCGTGCTTAACTCTCTGAAAAGTCTTATAGCGAGTGAGAGGTATCTCTATTGTGCCGATAATTCTTTCTATAGTCGGCTGGATATTCTGGTTGGCGTTGTTGAAGGTGTATTGTCTATATCTGTATTGAAGGCAAAGGCTTTGATCGTCGTTGGCTGCAACATATTCCGCTGACAATGTGTTTATGCACGCAACTAGAAGTCAATGTAATAGGGCACCGTCATCCAAGGCATGCGCTTCGAGACTACTACGCGTCCTTCGCGAGCGTCTTACGCCATATCACCCTCTACTCTTCTTGTCCAAGCCAGGGTATTCTAGTAGTTCCTCGCATGCGGCTAACGAGGTCGAAAAAAGAGCTTTCCTCTACTGCCTTACGGGCAGTTACTAAAGGCGTTGGGATGGTAAGAGGTCTGGAAGCATGAACTCTCCTAAAGCTCGACAATTCTGGCCAGAGTGGAATAGTACGTGTGCCATCTTCGTCGAAAGATTCACATAGCGTTAGAATTTCAGTATCTGTCTTATGGGGGGCTTATCGTATGGCACATGTCGCCACTCTTTTCCTCTTTCGAGCAACTGCTTAGGAAAAAAGCAACCATTTAAGCCAGATATGATCGCGGACGGTATCCAACACTGCGAAAAGGTCCTTGCCTACCTACATCTAAGCCACGATTAGCAGAACTCGCACGAAAAGCGTAAGCTAAGACTCCTAGATTCCAGATATCAGCGGAGTAGGACCACGGAACACTTCTGGTGCATGATACGCCGGTGGCTGAATTCCTCGCTGCCCGTCCGAAATCTCAGACAGGCAGGCCAAAGCTCGGAAGTTCTTGGCAGCAGATTGAGTGATCTGAGTCAGCGGGAGTGGTATTAATACGCGGTGCTGACATTCTTCAAATTGCTACAGGTGGTCCTACGGCAACCTCCCTGTCCTGTCCTGTACAGTTCACGTTTTTGAAACAAGTCTCGTGTCGTCCCGCCCGCCCCGCCCCGCCCCGCGTCGTGTCGTAGCGAGAAAGTACAACGTTACAACCTGACTCGCGCTAGAACTGTAAGGAGCGAGGCGAGACGGGAGCGGTCCAATTGGCGAAAGCAATTGCGCAATGCAGAACAGAGTCCAGACGCAGACAAACCAAAACTGCGATGGATTGTTACTGCTGCTACATACACTTGTCATGTGGCTACATAAAAATTTCCGATAATGATAATGATAGTGATGGCAACTTCATGTATGGAATGGAGTTGGGGAGTTTTCTTATCTTGGCACACATGTCCCGCAGCGGCAGCGCAGCCCACTGAGCCCAACAGGCAAAAAAAGCCAGGGTCCATGACTTTCCAAGATGTCTCGAGGGGTAGATTGCAGAACCCATGCCTTGCGTGAATCGGCGGTGTAAGGAAGGCAAAAAAGAGTGGCCTGTTGTAGGCATTTGAAGAATGGTCTCCCAGTCATCCCACGACGTACAGGCATGCTTTATGATGAGTTCTGAAGAAGGCGAAGCTCCCGTATGATTCTTCGCATGTGCAGGACCTGAAAAGGCGGACGTACATCCAGACCAATTCCAGCACAAAGGAAGCTCAGGAACTTTGCAACACCGACTTTTTTTTTGTTTTGGCGGCGGTGTGACGTGGTCGAGGGGGAAATGGTTGGTTGCCTTGAAGCAGCAATTTCGTGTTCGACCAAACAGCGGGTCGATGTTTAGAAATATGCGCCGGGCCAGAAGTCAATCATGTGGTCGCACGTCGCACGTTGCACGCGCTGTGAGATGGACCAGGTTTCGTTGCGTTGAGACACCGCTGTTCCTGTGGTACCGAGCACATGGTTTGGCTTTTTCCCCAGCGTCGGGAAGTCGGTTCGCTGGTTCGGTGGTGGTTCCGCGGGTGTTTGGCATCCGCAGCAGATGGCAAATAACGCGCAGCGCAGCGCTCGACGCTGGGTGGCGGCACTTGCACGTTCTCGGGGGATATCGTAGGGGTGAGTGGTGTGGTGAGGAAAAGTCGGGAGTCGCGATGGTCCAACAAGATGATTATTGCCGACATGTTTTTGCGAGGAGCAGAGCCATCCTTTTATTTCCCCATTGCATGTCATGCAGATGCTGAAAGGCGGTGCATTGAGAGGTGATGTTTGGGAGAAAGGGTTTGATGGTTTTGCTCAGGTGTTTGAGTCGGCGACGGAGGGTGTTGATGGGATGGATGGTGGCGGCGATGGCGCCGGTCTCCACCAGCATCCATCTCGGAAGGTCACATATCCTCGGAGGTAGTCTTTGACGGCCGTCTCACGTTCGAATGCGACCCAGTACCATTCCTCTGCAATTTGCTTTTGTTCTGCAGTGGTGAATCCTCTCCGTTGCAACTCGGGATAGTACTGGTTCTCTGCTGTGGGATAGATGTAGCCGCCCAGGTAGTGCAGGATGCACGGAAAGCAGAGACACAGAGAGTTGTCCATGTCTATTGTGTGGGTGGAAGGCCGTGGGGAAGGGGAGAGGTTGAAGGTGCAGAACACAAGTGGTAATGATGTAGGTAGGAGTAGATGGGGGAGGGAAGGCTGCGTTGGATAATTAAGCTCGCGGCTGTGGTGGCAGTGGTGTGCATTATTTAGATAGGGAGAAGGGAGGGTATGGGAGTGTCAGGCAGCTCGCGTGATGGCAGCACAATGCGACATTACATTATATTGGCTGAAGCAGCGGCTGCAGATGCGGGCATGCCAGGCCAGGCAAGGCGCTGGGATGGGATGCAGTCCGGCGTGAGGGCGAAAGAGGCCAAGCTACCAGTATTCTAGTTCTACCCGATGTCCGACAGCTCGCGCCTGCGGGAGCGGGTGCGGCCGCCGCCCGCCGAGCCGTGGTGCAGAGTTTCTCGTGCGCAAGCGGAGGCAGCGGCAGCGGAGGCGCGCGTGCAGCGCTGTCGCCCTCGCCGTCGCCGTTTCACGCTTGCAAAAGAAAGTGGCCTCACGCGAGCGAAGCTAATCTCGGGGCAAGGCAGCAAAGGATTATGATGCAAGCAAAGGAGGCAGCGGGCCGCGGCCACCACTGGGCACTGGGCAGTCCACAGCCTGCAGCGTGCATTATTGCATCCAATGCATGTCGGCGGCGCGTCTCGGGAAAGGCTCCCGTCCAGCAGGAAATCGGCCCTCGTCATCGCACCTCGGCCTGCTCCTTCCTCCCGCTCTGCATCCTCCACCCTCTATGGCCCTGACCGCGAATCGGCCCAATCGAGCATCGCCAAATCATCCTGCCTCGACAATGTGCATTGCATTGCATTGCCTTGCCGCAAGGCACGCCGCGCCTGCCAACCAGCACAACCAGGAGTAAACGAGCACGCCAACAGCAAATTTGACTTTCAACACCCAACCCGTCCCTTCCTCGACCACCACCGCTCAACGCCACATCCTCTACGGAGACATGCAGCCAAACGAGCACGCCAACAATCCTACGCTGGACTCCTTGCACCACACTTGTTCAATGCCTCATTATTCACTCGTAATCCATGCAGACACGCCTTGTGAACAACGAAGTTCATCGTAAGCCTCACATATCGAAACCCGGTCGCTGCAGCCCTCTCCCCTTCTTCTTCACGCCTGTCGAGAAACGAGCACGCCAACAATTGTGCAATCATGGCTGTCTTCCCCTTCCCGCAATAAAACTTAGGTTTGCCAGCCGAGCAACCATCAGAAACAACCACGAGCCTTATCTGCAGCTTGAGCGAACACGCTAATCATTAGTGCAGATGTGCCAGCACGAGCAGTATCGGCGTGGTTACACACAGGGAGTCCGCAAGGCAAGGCAACCTTTGAAGCCGCGAATGGCTCATCATCGGCATCTCCACAGCGCAAGACGTGAACGAACAGACCACTTGAGACGGCATGACATGATGATACCGGTGTACATCGAGCACCATGCCTGCTACGCGCCTCTGTCTACGGCTTGCGAGAAGCACAGCAATCCATGCCTCGGGCCCAGATCCTCTGTGTCATCATATCAATGCACCCTCGCACCCACGGCTGCCAAGGCTTCCACGGCTGATCACAATCATGCATGCAAGTAGAGGCGAGCCTCATCTGTTCTGGATGTCTGATCCTTCTCGACCCAGAAACTACCACGTGGTCCGCAATCCGTCGCGGAGAGACGGGCCACTTCCTACAGGCAGGGAAATGTCGTCCCTGCAGCCCAGCAGTATACACTAGTGCTAGCCTAGCTCCATCGAATGCACCGTTATGATGACGAGGAATGACGAGGAAAGGGTTCACGTCAACTCACATTGCTGCCCAAACGATGTTGATCATGGCCTGCTCAAATGGACAATCATACAACAAGAGGTGTCAGGCGTGAACTACTGTATATCTGCACGAACACGATCCGACGAATTCAGGATCGGCAACGTGACGGGACAGTGCACCGCACCGCACCGCACCATCGGTAAGAAAAAGACAACTCAGCCCATCTGCAGCCAGACGAGAACGCCATCGAATCCTACAGGTTGATGAGGAATTTTGCTTCTTGCATGCCATGCCATGCGCTGCGCCGCAGAAATGCGTTATGATCGAACTCAATCTCATGCCTGTCATACACGAACGATTGGGTCAAATTTTCTGACTCGCTCCACGCCACGCCTCCCTCTATTGAACAAACATACCATACATATTTTCTCTCACCCACACGGAGGCACATATATCCCGACTGTGTTGCATGTGTCGTATTTGCCTGCGCTTCGAAAATGCAACACGAGAATCCTTCTAGAGTCTAGACCTTACCTGACTTACATATGTACATCGATAAAAGTAGTGTATGTATCACACCTATACCTACCTTACTGTACCACAACCTTTCTATCGCACAATATGTATTATATACGCATCACTACTCCAAAAGCGTGCAACAACCCTATTAAGCGAAAAAGCAACATCCCCTATAAAAACTCGTCGCTATCCGGCGTTCGTCGGCTAAACAGGGATCAACCCCTATAGTATCCACTTAGTTAGCATATAGAAGCCGCTCTGCAAGTAAATAAACAGGCCTTAATTAGACTCGGTTATAGGCGCGTTAAACCCCTTCGAGTAGCTTAGCTATTACCGCCGCTATCGGCCTCTATATACGACTTAATTACCTTTATATTTCTAAACTCAATCCTGCTAAGAAGCATATAACAATAGCGAGTTTCTAGGCCTTCGTAGAAGATAGTTATAACAACGATAAAGGTAATAATTAGCTAGATATGTCTACTAGTTTAATAGACGACGATAAGTTAGATACTAATTAGCTAACTAGAGGAAGAGAGCCGATATTTAAGAAGGTAGGAGAACCCCTACTAAGCGGTGCAGATAATAAGGGTTTAGTAGTCGTAGAAGGGGATAATAAGGTCGAGGATATAGGGGTAGATAGTAGGGCAGGCGGATTGTATTATCTAAAGGATAGAGAGATTAACGAGGGTCGATACGAGCTACTAACTAGTACCTCTTACCGGCGGATAGTTAACTTGCCTAAAGAACTAAGTAACCTAAGTAACCTCTCGTTACTAGATAATATCTAATATCGCTTCTTCTTACTCTTCTAGACTAATAAGGTTATAGACCGACTAGTTAAGTATACTAACGAGTATACTAGTAATAAACCGGATTTTAAAAAGAGCGATAAGATCGTCGTTTCTAGCTATCTATAGAAGCCGGTAAACAAGCTAACAATACGGATCTTCGTAGGTATTATTATCTATATATCTGCAATCTAAATAGCCGATAAGAGCGACTACTAGAGGGACGATAGATACTAGCCGCTATATCCTATTATCGGTTATATAAGCGAGTAGCGCTTTAAATAGATTAAGGCGGCTTTATAGTGCCGGAATAATACGCTCTCGTTAAGTAGAAGAGGCCTACCTACCTAGACCTAGATATTGCCGCTTACTAATATATTGCGTAGCAAATTCCGCGAGGTAGTCGTACCTAGTACTAATGTATCTATCGACGAGAGCATAATCCGTTTTACTAGTAAATCTAGATACGTTGTTATAATACGAGGTAAGCTAATACTAATCGGATATTATATGCTTTGCCTATACGAAGATAGGTATATATATTCCTTCTTATTCTCGAGCCCTCGGAAGGCATATAAATAGGAGGTAGAAGATCCGGATTCTATCGCTTCGAGGGTCGCTAAGCGGCTAGTAGTAATACTAGAGGTTCTTACGGACGCCGAGAAAAAGGAGCGACAAAAGGAGAGTAATAAGAAGCGCCGCGAGCGCGAGTCTCGAGGGCTAGGCGGTATTAGTTATAGTAAATACACTAGATTATGTTTAGTATAGAACGTAAGGAAGGAAAGTTATATAAGCGCGGCCTGCGTAGACCGTCTATCCGAGATAACCGAAAGCCTAATCGTATCGCCTACCGTCTCGCTAAGCGCTAAGCTAAGCTCCCTTTAGTAAGCTATTCTTCGACTAATCCTATAACTTCCTTTCTAATAGCACTTCTTCTATATATTTATAGACAATCTATTTAATAACGTACTATTATTCGCGATCCTTCGATATCTCGGTATTACGGCGACTAGAACGGTACGATCGAGTTTACTTTCGTAGCTATAGCGAGGCGCGACCTTCGAGAAATTAGGTATTTTAAAAAAGGATAGTACTAGGTAGAAATCGATATACCTAGGGCTAAATCGTAAGATAATACGGTTTCCCTATAATATACTGCTTTATAAGGCAATATATAGTATAGTAGCGATTATCTAGTAGGATAGGAACCTCGTCTAATTCCTTATAACGGGCTATCGACCTTTCGAGAGAATATATTAAACTACTATACTAGCGCGCCCGTTTACTAGCATTATGCGGCGACAAAAGATCGGAAGTATCCGCGCTTACTAAGCGTAGATCTCGGGCGCACTTATAGGCTAGGGTCGCTACGTGCTTAGCGCTAAGCCTCCTCGGCTTCCGCCTTATACGCGCTTCCCTTTTCTTAGCTGCGGCTCTGTAGCTAGTTAGCCTTAGCATACCCCGCACCCGTATATGCAGCCGAGCAGCTAATAAAATCTTCTAATGCCCCGTACCCGAACGTATAGCCGAGCTAATAAAATCTAATGCCCCGTACCCGAACGTATAGCTAAGTATCTAATTAGAATTGCGTCGCAATCTAACAAACAAACAAACCTATAAGCTAACCCCTCTAAGGCAGGTGCGCCTATAGCCGAGTCGCGCGCCTAAGGCAATTAGGCATCTCCGAAGCCGCGTCTGCTAAGGATTAGCCTAGTCGGCTAAGAACGCACGCCGAGAATCGAACGCGCGACCTTAACCTATAGACTATAAAGCGCGGATACTATATCAAACTACTATACTAGCGCGCCCGTTTACTAGCATTATATAGCGACAAAAGATCGGAAGTATCCGCGCTTACTAAGCGTAGATCTCGGGCGCACTTATAGGCTAGGGTCGCTACGTGCTTAGCGCTAAGCCTCCTCGGCTTCCGCCTTATAGAATACTACGGCTTCGTACCTACCTTCGAGCTAGAAACAACGCCTATATCGATAAGCACGTACGACTATATTAGAATACCGACGGCAAGCAAGAGATATCTCTTCTAGAGGTCGCTACCCTATATAACGACTATATAGGTAGCGTTAATATATATAACTAGCTACGCTATTATTGCTCGATATAGTATAAGTTACGGAAGGGTTAGCACCCTTTATTCTATTTCCTACTCGACGCCGTTATTATTAACTTATTTATCCTTCTACGAGGTAATAAGAAGTAGACTAAGGACTAATAGTTTACTTACTAACGCGACTTCCGTATAGCGCTCGCGTAGCAACTAGTCTAACTTAGTTAGTAAGAGATTAATAAGAAACAGGCTATAGAAGCGGCTATAAGAGCTTAGCGTACGCTAACTCCTCCCCTGCCTCGAAATAATAGATAGTTTATCTCCGGCTATATCTATAATACTAGCGGCTCTCGATCTAAGCGCTATTAGCTTAAGAAGGGTAGTAGCTTGCCTACGGCCGAAGAAGCACGTCGTCTCGCTCGTAGTAGCAATGCTATATATAGCTCGAAGGCTATTCTTCTACGCTAGCGTTGCTATCTCTATAGGCTCGTATAGACCGCTTAGGGCTATAAATAGTAGCCTCTCGATAAGAAGGACGAGTACTAGATAATATACGCTTATTAATATTATAGACCTATAGCCCTTTATAAGGCCTGCGATTTAATATAGTATAACTAGCCTAATCTATAGCACTTCTTCGAGAACCTAAAGCGGCAAAGTAATACTTCTTCGAGCGCCGCTAGCGGTTAATAACCGTCGCTATTGTCTCTAAGTTTAACTCGTAGGCCGTACTTAAAGCATACTGCTACTTTACGAGCGAGGCAACGGTCTCTTCTAACTAACTAACCTTTAACTAAAGTGCCTTAAACTCCGCCCTCTTAATAACTATTGCCTTACTTCGAGAGCCTTCTTTAGCGGAGCTAGTAACTACTATAGGCGACTCCGTAACCTCCTTTTTAACCTCCTTCTATAGGAGGTTTATATCTACCCTTAAGTCCCTTACTGCCTCTACGAGCCGGTTAACCTTAGCTATAAGTAGACTAATATTAAACTACTTCTTAAGTAGACTCGGCGGTTTAATTAGTGCTAGAAGTGTGTCTTTACTAAGCTTATAGCGACTTAGTCGATAGTATATACGAGACAGGCGAGACTCGGTTAGTAGCTAATTAGTTATTAGAAGGTCTTAATCTACGGTTTATTGTCTATATACCTGTCTCGGTAGCGTACTTAGCGCCTCTATTGCCTTCTTCTATACCTTTACTTACGAAGGTTTACTATAAAACCTTTACTAGGGGACGACTCGTAAAAGTGTCGGCTTCCTAACCCTAAGCTCCACTACGGCTAAATCCGAGACCCAATCGGACAGTATCGCCGTTCTACTAGTGATGTAATCTACTATAGAGCTACACTACATTTAGCATCAGAAGTAGAACCCGACAAGGGCAGAGCCAGGGTGGGTGTTCGACGGACTTAACCACGGACTTCGTTAAGGGGATGGAACACATTCCTACATTTGAGCATCTGAAACAAGTGGTGACGACATGACATGATCTTTGGACGAGATTACAGTAAAAAATCTAATGCTTTTTTTTTGGCTTCTTCCTCTCTCTCTCACCTCGGCTGCTTTTCAATTCGCTGCAAGAGTCCATCCATCACACCACGACGCATGGGCGTGGTTGGGCTACGATGTAATACTAACTTAAGCCCGTCACTATGCTTGACGCCTTCTAAACACCAAAAAAACAAAAAGGATAACGCCAATGCACATCTCTTTCTCTCTCCCCCCCTCTCTCTCTGTCTCTCCCTTGCTTTATGTATCTTGTGCCGTTTCACTTGGCTTTTGACGCTGCGACAGAAAAATTTCCCTTGCTGGGGTGGGGGGTTTCGAAACGGAACGGAGTGAAGATCGAACGCTTGCGGGAGAACGAATACCGGACGCGGACGTGGGAATTTTTCTACATGATGATCGCAGGAGCTGGGAAAATTTGTCAGTGTTGGTGCGCATGTGAATGGCGGTGGGCGGGTTCGCTTACTCTCAACGTTGGCTTTAATGCTCTTGTGTGGCAGCACGGATGCGCCGTTGCAGTAGATCTCATCACCAATGGAAACGTCGTCTCCTAGTACTGACACGTTTTCCATGCGTGCCCATCGGCCGATTGTGCTGTTCCAGCCAACGATCGTGCTCTTGATCCATGCGTGCTCCTTGACCTTGCTGCCCTGCAGGAGCACACTTCTTTGAATGCGCACGCCATCTCCAATGACTACGTTCGGTCCAATGACAACGTTGGGACCAATTTTGCAGTTCTTGCCGATCTTGGCGGACGGGTCGATCATTACGTTTCCGCCGTGCACGTAGGGCTCCGAGGTAGGCGTGAGCAGTTTGCTGCCCTTCTTGGTGAGAGAGGAGAGGTAGAGGCAGGTCCCGCTGAGGAAGTCCTTGGGCTGACCAACATCCATCCAGAAGCCGTCAAGATCGAATGAGTGCAGCTCGCCATCCTTGACCATGGCGGGGAAAGTCTCCTGTTCGATCGAGGTGGGTCGGAGCTCGATGCGCCTGAGGATTGACGGGTTCAAGATGTAGAGACCGGCATTGATACGGTTGCCGACGAACTCGACTGGCTTCTCGACGAATCGATCGATGCGCGATGGATGGTCTGGCTTGTGCACAATCACACCATACTTGGAAGGCTCTTCAACCTTAGTCACCACGATGGTCCCTTCCTGGCCGTGCTGCTTGTGGAATGCAGCGAGGTCGTTGAAAGGGTACTCGCAAATGACATCTGAGTTGAGAACGAAGAATGGTGTGTCATCCTTGCCCAGAATGCGCTCCGCAAGCTTCAACGGTCCCGCAGTGCCCAATGGCTCCGTCTCGACCGAGTATTCAATGCGCACGCCGTATTCCTGCTCGTACTTCTTCAGCGCCGCTGTCATCATCTCCGGCCGGTAGTTGACCGCAAGCACGATGTCGGTTACACCCGCTGCGGCAAGCGCTTCGATCTGGTGGAGGATCATGGGTCGGTTTCCAAACTCCACCAGGGGCTTGGGGAGCGTGAGGGTGAGAGGTCGCAGGCGAGTACCAAAACCGCCGACGAGGATTAAAGCTACATCGCGGTCAGCGACTGAGGGCGTACGCGCATGTGTGTAGGTGCTTTGCGCCTGTGCATACCCTTCATGTTGAAAGTTTGTGTCGAGGGGGCTTTCTGGGGCGGTCAATGTCGCAATCGCAGAACCAGCTGCTGTACCTGTATCTACTGTCGTTGTCGAGGGGGTGCGAGCGAAGGTGTTGGATCTTGCGATGGAGTACAAGACCAATGCCACAGCAAACTACTGGAGTGAATTGAGGTCAATGTTTATTAAAAAGTGTTCGAGGACGTGGAGCGGGCGGGCAGGGCAGGGCAGGGCAGGGCTTCCATAGTTTTGGACACGCAACGCAGCGTCGCAGCTGCGAGGCGGCTCAGGGTCTTGTGATTGGCTCACCGGCCGGCTTCTCACTTGAAAGCGAATCACAAGCCGGAGCCAAGCCTGTCTCCTATTCTTGTTTCGTTTCGAGAAGATCTGCTTACGTCCTCATACTACTACGAATACGACCATATCCTTCACATACCTCCGTACCTAGCCTCCGAACAGGTACAAGCCTCGTGACCGCTACTGGGCGATTCACGGGCTTCGATAGTCCGCGCCACTTGATCGTCTGGACTCAGGAGTCGAAAACGAGAAATGGCGAGATTTGCCCTTCCGCCATTCAGATTTCATGTTAGACTACGCTGGCCACGTGTATTCCATGAAACTCTGGTTGGGTTTTACGAGTTGCCATTCTGTGGCAGCTCGCAATACACCTGGAAATCCCATCCATCTCCGGATGAATTGTGACATGGACCCTATCTTCTTGAGCAGGTGGGAAGAAAATTCCCAGACTCCCAGAGGACAGCCAGTCTTCATATTCCAGGCATACGACTTCAACAGATGTCCAGCAAATTTATCGAATGATTCCTGCCGCCGCAATAGGCAGTGAGATGCAAAGCACGAAGGACTGGAGCTTGGCCTTGTTTGGTGAGTACAATTCGCAGCCGACGACTGCTGCTTCATTGCAGGAACAAATTTCATAACCTCTGCGAAACGACTTGTCTCTATGCCAGAGTATCTCTGATTGAGAGGTATTCGAGGCAACACACAGCCAGTAAAAGTGAATGAAGACAATGGCTGCCTCGAACTCGTGTGAAGTGATGAGACGCTTGTCTTAAAACTTGTCATTCTCCATTTTTCCTTCGAGGTCCCCTCTACATACTCTCTACAACATATATAACACTGAATATTCTAGGACTTCTCCTCACCATTTCCCTAACCATAGAAGCAGCGAGTAGCTATGGGTAATGCAGGCTCAAAGGTCTGCGAGACCGAGAAATTCGAGCAGCATCAGCAGAGTTTTGCAAGAGCAAGCGAGACTTTCTCGCAAAAACGACCACACTCACCAGGATTTGATCTAATCCAAGATGCCCAGCCTACGCCCAAACGCAATCGGCCCAATGATGATCGAATTGAGGAAGTACGACGGGACCTCGTGCGACGTTTCGAGGCTTTGAGACCACAAGCTAGCGCCCAGGCTGCTCAGTCAATCGAGATTCAGAAGAGAGCTGTTCGAGTTGGCTCGGGTGAAGCAGGATTTACCTCAGAAGAAGAACAGCCATCCTCACCTTCTTCTGGCGCCACTTTTGGTCATTCTGAACTCGCTGACGTTGCAGCCGAGCAACCAAAAAACTCAACTCCATGCGTGGCGTATTCGAGGTCTCCATCGCCTGAGTTGCTTGCACCCCAGGTTGATGACGGCTTTGGCTATGGTTGGTCAACCCGCCATACGAACGCTGATCTAGCAGAATTGTCGAAGATCTTGCTGCTAACAAACGACTGGCCGGACTATGCAACTGCCTTTCGTAAGTCGGCACAGCAGGAAGACGATAGCGACACATTTGCGAACAACGAGCAGCTCACTCGCAATGGGCTAGGTATCAAGTTGGCCATTTCAGCTTTAAGCCAAATTGATCTCAAGTCTGACATAACTGGGTCAGGTTCTGCGGAATCCAAGGCTCTAGAAAACACAGCGCTCAAACCTGACGATGCTTCTCTGCAATTGCCGAACTCAAGTGGAGTCGATCAAGCTTTTGACGAGCTTGACACTGCGCGCCATAAAGGCGATACAGTCAAAGCAAAAGTCTTGGCCGCTCCCAATCATCTTACGAGTTCGGACAGGCAGATCGCATTGACAGGAGTATGGCAGAGGTATGATGGTTCACAGAGCCCGCCATTTCCCAGATCGCAACAAAATTGGTCTCCCAACAACCACCATAGCTGGAAATCAACATGGGAATCGCTTCGGTCGGAGAGATGACAGCCATCAAATCGAGTCTTCCTCGTAAAGTCAGCGAGAGCACCAGGAACTTAAGGCAACTCATGTTGGTTAGAAACTGTTTTCTAGGTCAATGGTCAAATGACAGGTGCAAAAATATATGGTCGTTGCTCGCCGCGATACCTACACTTCCAAAGGCTAAGTGAGTTCTCTGGAGAAGGGTATAAGCTGTGGATATTGAGATCATTGTTAGGAATGCTATTCGATGTTTCCAGAACAAGCAAAGGTCTTAAGGAACATTTTATTGCTGATGGAGTTCGGCAGCAGGCTGGAATAGGAATTTGAGCTCCTGTATGGGACCATGAGGCTGTCATAGTGGACAGGGGAAGCTTCAAGCTATGTTTGGAGATCTGCGACATGTTCTCAGCCTGACGGAGAGCGAATGCATGAGAAGTGTTTTCGAGTCCGTTCACTCACATACCTGGTGGCCTCGCTTTCACGACACCTGAAGAATAATTGGATATGGAGAGATGCCGGCCTTAATCAAGGCACGCGGGCCTGGTACGTGTAGTGATTTCATCCTCCCACATAGAGAGTAGAAACATCATGTCCCGATCTCGTATAATGTAATCTCCCGCATACATCCAAGTCCAGCAGAATGACAGCAGCGAAACCTAAACCAAGCCGTCGAATTCAACAACGCAACCTCCCCTCCCTCCGCCCCATCTGAAAATCAAAAACCGTCGTCCCCTCCCTCCAACGATCCCGAATTTCCTCCAGCGCCTGCACTCCCGTCAAACCCTTCACCGCCTCAATCACCCTCCTCCCACCTCCAGCATCCTCCTCATCCGCATACCTAGAAATCTGCACAGAAATTTTCCTCCACTCAACAACTCGCCCTCTCCTCCCGGACTCCACAAGAATAATAGCCTGGATTGAATTTATTTGCTCAACAAGTCTCTCCACATCCTCAAAATTCTCGAGCCGCACCGTAACATCCCAAATTCTCACCCCTCGTAAAAATCCCACGTCTTCCACACGTCCGAGTTCAAGGCCTTTGATCTCTGTCGGTGATCGATATCTTCCGTCAATATGTATCCGCACCTCTAAATTCTCGTGGAAAATTTTCGAAGCTTCGGAATGTAATTTTTTCGAGGTTCTGAGCAGAGGGAGGGCTGAGGAGCCGCATTTTTTCAAATTTTTGCCCAAGTTGTGGGGACGGTGGGTGAAGGGTTTGTAGATTTTGCCGTCGACTAGTGTTAGGAGGAGACCGTGCCAGATGCAGTAGGCGTGCGGGTCGGTGCAGGTGAAGGCGTGAGTGTAGATTTGTTCGCGGAGTTCTAAGGGGAGGGAGAGGAGGTTGGGGTTGGGGTTGGGGTTTGGGTGCATGGTGGATTGGATTGTGTTTGAAGATGGAGGTAGGATGGAAGGTGAAGTTGGGAAGGAAGGTGCGAGGGCGGGGCGTGCACGCCTGAGGTTTCCATTGGTCCGTCGTACAAGATATCTCTACCTTTTTGTGATGCGGACGACACACATCGTCTGCAATTCAATGCACTCGCCACGCTGAGCAGTATGGATTGTGAACTGTGTTGAGTGAGCAAGAAGCTGGGCGGTATGGGTCGTAACCAATGTCTCCTGGCTCTCTAGAAGGCAAAATTGAGAGCTCTGCTCCTGTGTCCTGGAGCACGTAAGGTTTCCAAGTCCAGGAAACTGCAATATAGTGCCATGCTCCGGGACACCAAAAACTTGAAGTCACTTCGTGATTCCTCCCAAATTAAGGCTCCGCAAGTGGCAGCCGTAACACCCAGATATAGTCCCGAAGGCTGTCAACCTTGCGTAGTGCTCTGAGCCAGGGTAAGGCTAGCAGAATACATTCTGACTACCACATCTTCCGAGTGACAGATCTTTCCACGATGCTGTGGTGGCATCCCCCAGCTTCCGTCTCGGCTCCCGCCCTGCCATGATTCGTGCTCTGGTCCGCATGTAGAAATGTTGGAAAGTGTTCGGACTATCAGAGATTGGCCGCTATCTCAGAAGATCGGGACGAGCTCAGCGGAGGAATTGTGCACACCTTTCTGTGGAGTAAATGGGCTGGTAAAGGGTTCCACCCCCAAAGATTCTCGAGATGAGGCTTTTGGTGCTCATAGAAGACCAGCCTGTATGAATCCTGAACATCAGGCTTAAAGTCGAGATGTACGGGGCTGGGGTTTCAATATGCCAGCAGTTCCCAAGTCTTGTCGAAATTGTCCTCGATCATCCCCTCCTCGTAGAAGCCATCATCGTCGTCGGCAAATTCGCCAATCATCCAAAGGGTACCCGAGATTAATCCTTGGATTAACCATAGCATGTCTTCCTCAGTCAGGTCGAGGAGTGCAAGAATCTCGGCCTCGGATATGAAAGACATTTTTCGTAGGAGGTGTACAGGGAAGAAGAAGGAGGTCGTTGCCGTGAGGAGTGGAAATGCCAAGGAACGCACGGGCCTGATGTTCTTGTTGCTCTCTGGATGAGATACTGTTGTAAAACAATCTATTTCACCTTCCACGAGCAAATATATGACCCATAGCCGTCAATATGAAGGGTATTATACGAACTGGTACCGATTTACCAAACCAGATGGCTACGATGTAATACTGTTTGCGGTGCCTTCACCCCTCGATCCCAACCAGACCGAGTCGAACCGCGTCTGTAATTTTCGCATCCCCGTACGACGTTCACTCGAAGAAGCACCTGGACAGTGCTATTCATGGAAAGAGCTTGAGGGTGTTACGGGAATGCTCTCTGAGAGATGCCGAGCTGCGTGAATTGTTACCCAACACACATACGCAAGCTCTGACAGCAGGCCTTCGTGGAGTTGGAGCGGTCAGGCGCAGCGTTCGTCCAGTATGCAAAGAGACAATCTTTCTTGACTTCGCTATATGGAATACTCAATTAGGAAGACCATATGAAGCCCTACCGATTCCGGCGCGCGGTCTTGAGTGCGCGCAGGTCAGATTCGTCGTGAAACCAAGAAGGATTCAGACGCGTGCTATTCCCGGGCACCATGAGCTTAAAGCCGGCAGGCACAAACCCTTATAACCATGCGAATTGGGTCTTCTTGAAGTGCTGACAATCCGACCTGCTTTGGCTGGTTGCAAAGATTTTGAAAGCTAGGCTGAAGACATCATGTTGTCGAGAACATCCAGGCTGAGTGCTTATATGGGATTTCATGATTCAAGGAATCTTCAATGCTGATCACTCCCAGATCGCTCATGTCTAGCGATAGACCGAAAGGCTCCAAGCATATTTCTTAACAATGTTCGTTGGCCAAATGCGAGTTTACCCAGGTGTGTTTGATAGTTCGACTGATTGAGCCAATGCTGACCACGTACAGCCGATCAATTGCGCAGTCGCGAACACGAAAGGTCGACTTCGAAGTGATGCAGGATAAGAATCAGATTCTTGCAAATCAACGCCTCAGTCGACCCACTGCACCGCATCTGAGCATCTCCCGACCTCAGATCAACTCCTTCCTCTCGATATCGATGCGCATAACGGGGTCATTCATGAGTGGAGGCATGTACCTGTTCGGGTTCTTCTACCTCTTGTCGTCTACGCTGGGAATCGATATGTCTTCGGCTGCTCTGGCTTCTGCGTTCGCATCTTGGCCAGTCATAATGCAAGCAGCGACGAAATTTGTCGTTGCGTTCCCCTTCACCTTGCATATCTTCGGCTCACTCCGATATGTGGCCTTCACTTTCGCAAAGGGGATCAAGAGCAACAGGAACGTCGTCAGAGTTGGCTGGACGGTGCTGACATTGGCGGTCACCACGGCTCTAGGGCTAGCGACATTGATGTAGCAGGGTTAAGCTTCAAAAAGAGGATCACTTCGAGAAGTGAAAGTGAGGCCATTGACGTCTACATTCAAGTTCAGGAGCAATCACATGCTGCACGGCTCACTTTCGAACGCTTCAATGCTCCAATGCCTGTCATCTCACGGCACTTTCTTCCATCTTCTTCCTTCGGCTGCGACTTAACTGTTAACCACCACCTGATCTAGCCAGACAACGCCAACATGGCAAACGTGGACAAACCAAGCAGTCTTCTCAAGAGAATAATTGGCTTGTATGGTGATACGCGTTATGCTGATCTCACCATTCGTTGCGGCGAGCGTCGGTGGAAAGTGCACAAGGCAATTGTCTGCGCAGGATGCAAGTTCTTCGAGAAAGCCTGCGATGGAAGATTCAAAGTAAGGCCAAGAGGTTTGATGAGCTTCATGAGATGCTAAAGAATTGATAGGAAGCCACAAATAACACCGTCACCCTGGAAGAAGACTCTCCCAATGCGGTAGCGGCCATGCTGCGCTACCTATACACTGAAAATTACGACGATACAAGCGACAAGGAGGGTTGCGCAGCTCTGCTCTTCAATATCCACGTACATACGATAGGCGACAAGGTAAGTATCTGATTCTACTCGCATTCCCTGAATTGCATACTAACAATGTGCGTAGTACGATCTTCCTGGCTTAGTCCAACTTGCAATGAAGAAGTTCCAGGACCGCATGCAAGTCGAATCACTGCACCTGATCGAACTCGCAGACGCCATTCGCGAGACTTATAGGTTTGAGACGGATCCGCAGGCGTCTCTTCGCCGATGCCTCATGAGCTACGTTATGGGACCTGGCCAACACCTGCTTAAAGACAACGCTTTCATCCAAGTCGTCAAGGGCGTGCCTGCATTCGCAGCGGAGCTTGTTGCTGAGACCTTCCGCCAAAACAAGCAGCCAAACGGGCCTCAATACAAATGCTATTATTGCAGCGAAGCGTTCTTGTTCGAGGACGCGGCCTTCGTTCCATGCCAGAAATATATCCAGAAAGACATCAGGTGTCCTCATTGTGGAGCGGGCAACAATCCAAAGAACCTCAGAAAGCGGCGACTTGGTGGACCCACCAGCATCACTATCTCAGTATGACAAAGTCCACCACAGCTACAATTAGCGATTTCCAGAATAAACCAGGGCTATCAATATGGATGATATCCACCATCAACAGGAATGATCTTCCTCGTCACATAACCCGTGCTCACCAACCATAGCACGGTCTCAGCGACCTCTTCTGGCCTACCAAGTCTTCCAACAGGAATTTCTGCAATCACATCATTAGCACACAAATTCAAATCGGCTGAATGAAAAGAAACGTGATTCAAACCTACTCTCAGCAATCCTCTTCTTCCCACTCTCATCCATCTCCCCAAGCATAGCCGCATCCTCAATCAACGCCGGCGCAACAGCATTGACCGTAACCCCCTTCCTTGCCACATTGCCCCCAAACCAATGCACAAACCCATGAATCGCACTTTTCGAAGAAGCATAATGCGGCCCAACCCCACCTCCCGTGAACGCCGCAATACTACTATTAAACACAACCCTCCCCCAACCCTGTCGCTCCATATACGGCGCACAAAGTTGCGTCAAAAGTATCGGTCCCGCGCAATTCATCCTCCAGACATCCTCAAAAACCTGGATCGGAATTTCGCTTAAAGAGGAAGGATTCGTTTTTGCACCTGTGATTCCAGCATTTAGGAATAAAATATCGATTCCTCGACCAAAACCTTCGACGACTTCGCGATGGAGACGGCGGACGCCGTCGAAGTCTGAGAGGTCGGATTGGAAGAGTGCTACGTCGATGACGGCGGGTAGGACGTCTCCGATTGCGGAGAGAAGCTTTTCGCGAGTGCTTTCGTGGGCGGTTGCGTAGTGTAATGCGAGGTTGTATTTTCCTGTTCTGGCGAAGGCGACGGCTGTTGCGCGTCCGATTGCGCCGGTGGCTCCGGTTATGAGGACGAGCTTGTGGGAACGGGTATCGGTGTTGACGCTGAGACTGCTGGATCGGTCTGGAATTATGGCTGCTGAGGAGCGGTTTGAGGTTGGGCCGATTGTTGAGGTTCGTTTGGGGTTTGCTGAGGCGGATTGTGTTGATGAACGGTCTGACATTTTTGATTGCTGTATGGTGAATCTGTGTTCGTCATTGGCTTGGTGGTGTGAATGAGCCAAGATGCGGAATGGAGAGAGTCGGTGAAAGGTTGGAGTGGGATGCTTGACCGACCACCGACATATGTAGCAGCCATCTTAGTTAGGCTCTACAGTTACCTAGCTACACTAAGTAAGTTCAGCCCTGTGCTGCTACGCTGTTCCATTGACCTCACTCCGCTCTGTATCTGGGTAGGCAAGACGTATGACTGCCCAAGGTTTGGCTGTCTACGTCACTGGGCGGCGGAGATGTGTCCGTGGTCCAATGCCTTTCGAAGAGCTCCTGTTGATGAAGGAGCGAACACGTTGAACGCCTCGAGCGACAAGGTTGTTTGTATTTCAGTGGCTAATTACACGACTTCCAGCAAGACTTTTGACCTTTCTGTAACCACCACAGAGGAGTTACCCGGCACCGGCCGCTCGTTGGACGAGTCAAACCCTCATGCCGTCGCTCACTCTGTATGCTGCCTTCCGTGGACAGTAATCAGCGCCGCATCTTCTCTATAACACCTTGAACGCCTCGAAGCCATGAGCACATCTGGACAGAAAAAGATTTCCAAATGCAGAGGAAAAAGGGCCAGTCTTGGCACTGTTCGAGACCGTTGAAACAAACACGCATCTTCTACGACCGGACCTTCAATCCTGACAAGTAACCTTGTAGGAATAAATCGGGGAATTCTCATAGCAGCTGTCGACACTGGAATATATTCCGTTATATATGGCGATTTCGTTGCCGCAGTGGTTGTCGTTGTAGAGATGTACAGTGCACGGGACAGTCTTGGCTTGGTCGAAGTGTACTTCGACCGATTGTCCGGCTTGAGGTACGCTGTAGCATGTACTAGACCAGATCTTTGCATGGGTCCCAAAGTTGAAAACGCCGTTGATGTTTTTGCAGAACTGCTCCCTGTATATCTTGACGAAATGGGCAGACGCTGTTGAGGTAAGAACCGCAAAGACGATCGCGAAATGCATCTTTGAAAATTTGTCGCGAGGCTTTTCTAAGGTATGTCGAATTCGTTAAAGAGTCTCTAAGTTGATGATTTTCGCAAAGATTCGAACAGTTCCGTTTGCGTATCGTCCTAAAATGCTTTCCAGGCTTGCAACTGGGCCGAGTATTACTATCGATACTTGGTGAAGGCGAAACTTGAACCGTCGAGTTCGGGCTAGATGGTATTGTAGGGTCAAGTAGTTTCGATATCGGATAGATGTCTTGATCTTAAGGAAACGTTTCCTCACATTCTACAAGGTCTGTGCCCTCTTCCAAAGTTTGGTTATTATTATTATCCATGCCTTGTACATAGAAGAGCCTACTCCCATTGGACGAAACAGCAGGCGCAGGACCCGAAGGCTCTTCCACGCCGAAACCTTGAGAGATTGGATGCGAGGGTTGGATGTTGGCAACTTGTCCCTTTGTGGTTGCGAATTTTCATGCCCAGAAGGAAGGCATGGTAGCGCAGGGTATTTTTACAGGTAACAAACTATTCTCAATTTCCCACGGCTCTATCCCTACAGGCTCCTCCCGGAGCTGAGATTGGTCGCTTTGATGAGTATTGCGTATATTTTTGGATAGCAGGTTGGTCAAAACAGCATCGGTTGTTCAATCCCTGTAGAACTATTCTACGCCCCGGCCTCGCTTAAAGGGTATCCTACTGGCAAACAATGCAAGCTCCCCGAATGCAATCAAAATGCATGATCATCTCTCCAAACTCCACATCTGTATCAGCCTTGCAGTTCTTGGCGAAAGCACCAATTTCAGCTGTCACCGCCAAGGTCAGGAGTGCTTCAACTTTTGCACGATGCCATCCACAACTGCCCATTCGCCTGCCGTTAGAGGGAGTTCGCTGTCATCCTCGCCTGAAGGCAGATGTGGTGCATGCTCGACCACCACAACAGAGCCGTCCGAATGCATAGAAGTCGCTGTATCTGAGCGTGACCTTTCCGCGTCATTCTACGACGCAGCGTTCAGCACCTTCTGCTCGACACCGGTACTTCTTGCCTGTCCATTGCCCTGGCTCTCGCGCTGGCTGTCTTTGAGGGCGATACCTTGCTTTTGTGCGTCTTGCGTAATCTCAACCAGAACCTTCAACATCTTCTCCCTTGTTTCATTGAGCAGCTCATCAACGTCCTCCTTGGTCTTCCCTTTCGTCTCGATAGGCTCCAACACTCGAATTGGAATCGAGCCTGGTCGAAAGATCTTCTTCTTGATGTTGAGAACGTTGCTGTAGTTTGCAACCACGATCGGCACAATCGGAACTTGTGCTTGGATCGCAAGGTGGAAGGCACCCTTTTTGAATGAGAGCAGGTCCGGCTTGTCGTAGTATGATCTTGTACCCTCGGGAAAGATGTAGACGGATTGCTTTGCTTCATGCATCTGCCTGGCAGCATTATCGAAAGCAGCGAAGGCTTGCGTGCGGGATGTTCTCTCGATGAAGACAGTCTTACTCAGAGCCACTGTGCAACAAAGATTGTCAGTAACAAAAGGAGGGAGTTCCCAGAAGATGTCTATCCTTCCTGACTCAAGAAGATTATACGTACTGAACCATCCCAAAAACGGCACCATCTTCAAGCTCTTCTTCGCAGTCACCGAGCAGTACTTTGGAAAGACATGTCCGAGAAACAGAACATCAAGCTCCGTCTGATGATTGCCAACGAATACAGCCGGTCGCGTTGAATTCAAGTAATTCTTCTCGTCTTGTATATCAAACCACACTCCCGTGAACAACAGCATCGTCCACTTGAACGACCGAGCAGTCGTCCATTGCCCGAGACCTCCATAGCCAACAACGTTGAGACAAGCCGAAGCGATGGTACCGTAGCAAGCACATATGAAGAGTGCTATGAAGGAAGCGAGACTTCGGGCATAGAATTCCATCGCCGGCATTTTGAGGGCATTCGAGAGGAAGACGAGGGCGTTGATGGTGAGGGTGGTGATAGTGGTGGCGGTCAGGAGGCAGAAGAGGATACCGGCCATGGTTATGATTGTGTTTGTGAGCTCATCGGTGCAGGTTTGTGGTGGTGACTACGTGGGAAAGAAGTACGACTAGCTTTGTTGAAGTTCTGTAGTGGGGAGGTGAACTCGGCAAACAGCCCACCCACAACCATCACGCTGCACAGAAAGTCCGGCGCCGGCATGCGCTACCGCCGCTGGTGCAGCAATCAGAACTGTGCCATTTCGACTGACATGAAAAAATCGGATGCAGCAGCTGAATGTGAGGTAAAGGCAGAAAAAGGAAGATTGCTGAAAATCACGAATTTGATCAATGATCAAGGCCATCGGCTCATCGGTTGGAATTGTACAAATCCTCTCTTGGAGAAAGCGCATAGACTACACTATGCAGTGCCCTCGCCTACTCGACGCTAGTCGGTATCTTGACTTGGCCTCTCTTCCTATCCTCATGGGGCATGCCATATCGTGCGCCAACGGCTCCTCGTCCGCGTCCATCCTTGCCTCCCTTCCAGCTGATATCCTGGAACTTGAAGTTCCACCGTCTGGTCTCAACGACACGCTGGGTCTGCTCTTCCCACGCCTTCTTCTTGGCTTCAGCCTTTGCTTTGGCTTCTTTCGCTTCCGCATCTCGACGCAACTGATTCTCAAATCGCTCTCTGCGCTCGACGTTGTTCAAACGGTCCTTCTCTATAGCAATGAGCTCTGGATGAGGAATGCGCTTGTCGGCTGGAAGGAGGTTCTCGTGGAATGCCTTTGCCGCATCTTCTCGAGTGAATTGCCGCGATTCTGATACTGGGTAGAAAAGTTGATGGCGTGTGCTTGCGTGTACTGGTAGGTCGTTGACGCTTTCGTGCTCGTAGATCTGTTTTGTAGGATGGTGGGGTTTGAAAGGAGTTTGCGGCAGCATCGCAAGAACAGCGTCATTATATGGCTTCGCTAATTGCTTGCCCTAGTACGATGTCAGTCTCAATTCATGAAAAAGTCGATTTAAAGCGTGGCGTTGATTGCAGGGTCAGAACACAAGATCATTGTAACCATATAGGTGTCTTCAAGACTAATCGATATTTGAAAAGCATCACGCGATGGGACAGGACTGAAAGACAATCACATACCTCTTCTTGCCACTGCTTCTCAATGGTCTTCAGTCTCACCACTGCCGCGACTCTCCTCATGTCAACGCCATATGCCGCCGAAATGGTTGATATGCTCTGATCCTGAAGGACAACTTGTCTGTACAGCTCTTCTCTGAGGTCTTCGCTTAGGACACTCTCACTTCTGAAATTGTGATTGAGCGGATACGGTCTCATATCTGAAGGCCGTTCTGGCGGCATACCACCTCTCGCGTCCAAGTCTGCCTTTGCTTGGCGAGCTGCAGCTCTTTTGGCTGCATTCGCCTGCATTTCCACCTCATCAAGTCCATCCTCCCTTTCTTTCTGCACTATTTCTGCCTCTTCCTCTTCCGTGTAAACCTTACCCTCTATCGCGGCATCGGCGTTGCGGTTTTGTTGATCCTGGCGCTGTCGCTTTGAGCGCAAGAGAAGGCCTTGTTTGTCGTATGCGGACATGTAGTTTGTGCTGCCTGGTAAGGGATGGCGAAAAACCTTGCCAGGGCCTGCGAGCCATTCCCACATACCTCGCCGGAGTGCCGTTATATTTCTGGCCTTGCCGCGTCGATGCAATTGGCGTGTCTGCGTTGCTGCCATTGTAACGGGTTCATGGTGCATCTCTGGTCGCGTTCGGAAGCACTGACACGATTGCGGTGCAGACAGCCGCTGGGGCTGTATTCGAGGAGGCATAGCGATTCTATGCGAGATGAGCTGATGTCGACAGGATGGAAGAGACGAATGTTCCTCCCAGACATTGAAGCCAAACGCGGACCGCGGAAGTCTGGCTTGGCGGAACGGCCAAGCTCAAGAGCTCCTTCTTTGACCTGCCGTCTACTTACAACAGACCAGACTGCAAAAGTTTAAAGCATAGCATTGATTGACTGAAAAACGATGATTCACGGGTAAAATCACAAGGTTGTGGTGTCGGGAAGGAGCACAGGACTTTGCAGGACTTGATACCAGAAAAAGAATCCTTCATTCCATCCGACCCAGTACTCGCAATGCCACTCATGGCGGGAAAAAGACCCTCTGCTCCTTCTCTTCAGTGTTCTTTCAAGAAGGCTCCGACCTTCGATGCTGGACTCAAGAAGAGCAGCACCTGAAGCGATCGGCTATACTGAGATCAGAAAGGAAGCTTTGGACTAGAACAAAAAAGAATTCTAACAAGTCGCAGTCGCGACTGAACCTAACCCCTATGTAGTTGTTAGGCAGAGGAAGCTTTGGACTGGAACAAAAAAGAATTCTAACAAGTCTCAGTCGCGACTGAACCTGACCCCTATGCAGTTGTTAGGCAGAGTATCACAATTCCTCGGTATGCAAGTCAACCTACGATTTGAACGGATGACCTTCTGGATACTCCAGGAGCACTGGAATCAGACGCGCTACCGCTGTGTGGAGGTTAGCACGAAGTTGATATACAACGCGCAGTGAAGGTACCACGAACCTGCGCCACAGGTCCTGAGTGGACTGTGTCAGAATGGTTACAGAATAACCGCTTCTGATTGGGCGAAGGGTCGAGAAATCTGTATATGTAAACTCCATTGAAAAAAGGTTGCCGGTGAAAGTCTCGGCGTGGGTCTGTGCTCCACTTCGAATCGTGTCCATACCGTGCCTACCTTTGACCTCTTTCATCATGCGCCAGTAACCCATCACGCTCTGGTCTGGTGCCATTCAGACTCGCATACTCCCAGCTTCGTCCGAGCATCAGAGAGCTCATGCACAGCGACAGGAAACCCCGTCTATCCCGATGCTCACCGGCTCGATGGCGCATCCACCTGGTCCCTAGAGACTGAGCGCTGATATTGGAAATACTCGGTGACACAATTGATATTATTGTCAAGTAGAAAGAGGAGCTGACTTGGCACCACGAGTGTGATTGATATACCCGGAGAAATATCCACAGATCCATCCCCGCCCATCGGAACAGTGATCTAGCGAAGGATAGAAATGGGATCGACTTGATATTCACACTATCCTGTATCATGGACACTGTCATGTCCACTTCGAAGCAGTCATCATACGTTCTGAAATATGTTCTGGCTTGCTGCCGAGCTCGTGCTACTTTTCCACCCAGCTACAGCAACCACCCTTGACATCGAAATCCTCGAACCTCACATCCCTCCCTCAGGAAACGACTTTACCTCCAACTCAGCAAATCTACGCGAACGTCCTGCAGGTAACCGTAATACCTATATCGAATACATCAAGCCCGATTTCGATGACAGTTTTTGGGAAGATGTCAATCTCTCTCACGACTAGGCGATCAAAGGACATTTCTATCCTGGAGGAAAAGGCACAAATCCTGCCAACGGAGGTAATATGTCTCGATATCGAAGGTGGTATGTCTCATTTGGTTGAATGGGAAATTTGGTCGAAAAAAATGTTATAGAAAAGCTCCAAAACAGATTGTATTCCTGCGTATGCTAAAATTTACTAGGCCGTGCCGTATGGTTATGATTTGTTCCGGCTTGATCTTACGCCTTTTCTGGAAATTTCGAGACGAGAATTGACAAGCCTCTTGATTCAGCTAGATACCTTAGGATCGAGGTGCTGGACTTTATCGCCATGTGTGGTTGAAGGGAATCAATAGTGTTCATATTGCAAAATATGCAACGTGGAGAGGTGGCTTCAGGATTGGCTACACTGGATCTGGAAGTTCAGATCTAAAGCAAAGGGCATTCATATTTGGAGGTTCGAGTTGAGACTGATGCCTATTTGCGAATAGGACTACGGTACCGGTAAAGCTGGGGTGAAACTCAGCAGCTTTCCATTGGGATTCATTCAGGCTGAGAGCGGCAAAGTCAGCATCAATAAGGCAGCTCGGTCTCATTCAAAAGTCCGAAACTCCGGCCAGCGTTGCATACCGCGGTCACCAAACTGTGCGGCAGCAAGTCCAACTTGCCCAATAACATATGAGACGATTCTCGGCATTCGCTCAATCAAATACAGTGTCGATCAAGGACTTCTCGTCAACGATGAAGCGGTGAAGATCTAAGGAGTCGGTCGACTAGCACTACGATCCAGGTGCACTTGGAGCTGCATTCAACGTTCGAGCAGCCGAGCGCCCGCTGGGCTGTGATGGGGTCCGAATGTCAGTTACAAAATCCACCTGCCACCCAGCTTTTAGAGCTCACTGATCGCACGGGCTTCTTGCTTATGGATGGAGATCTTCGACACTTGGCACTTCAAAAAGACGAATGATGACTTTTCATCTGAAATTTCCAGATCGGCACGAGCCTGATCTTAGAGCATTCATTCGTTGAGAAGAGTCTCTTCTCTAATACACCTCGAGACCTCAAGTGCATCCTATTTTCCGCTTAGTTACAGGATGTAGCCTGACAAGATTTACTACACTTACTGCTTCCCCAGTCGGCTCAAACCCCTCGATCAGCTCACTCTCGTATACTAAACTAGGATTACCAATGCTGTCCGCCAGTTCCCCGTTTGGTACCCGGTTCTTGTACAGCTCGACTTGCTTGGGGCTGAAAAGTCCTTGGATGGCATCCGCTCCTTGTGGAGTGCGGGCCTTTTCACGTTTTTCCGCTACAGTCGACCTGAAAGGATTTAATAATCAAGACCAGACATGAGATGCAGAATCACATGTGCTTAAGATTCTTGCGTACCTTACGTATTCGAGATATGGGGGATTCCCCGGGCTGATAACGTTGTCTGCAACGAGTATAGAGCCAGGCTTGATAAGACGGAGTTCTTCGCAAAGTTTGAGATCAGTCACGTAAGCAGGCTTCCAATGATCGAGGAACAACATGTCGATATGCTGCAGGTGACCGCTAGAGTGCAGGCGTTGGATCGATGCGTCGCTGGAACCAACTTCAACCTTCACGATATCGCTCAGGCCCGCCAGGTCAACAAGAGCAAGCAACACGGCGGCGAACTCTGGATTGCGTTCGAGAGAATAGTACTTCTGTCCGCCGACTTTGCGTAAGGCTTCGGCAAAGAGGATTGCACTGTAGCCAACGTAGCCCCCGAGTTCAACCTACTCATAAGTCAGCCGGAGAGGAAGGCAGCGGCTGCGTTTGCATGCTACCTCCCATCGTCTGGGGTTTCTCGCTTGCTATCAGTTCTGTAACCGTACGCCCCTTGAACTCTCCGACATTCATGAGATATTTCCTCGTGCGACCAAATTCATCAATCGCCTGGAGAACTTTTTGCGGTGAGTTGCGGATCTCATCGATATTCGGTCGACTGTAGACGAAATTTAGGAGTTCTAGCTCGCGGCCGTCGTCGAAATCTACGGGGCCTTGTTGTTGGTATGCTTTGCTTTCGTCGAAGTCTTGTTGCTGCATCTTGCTCTTGCGCTTCGGATGTAGGCAATCGAAAGTCTCTGGCGATGCGAAGTTGGCAATGTGGAAGTAATTGTGACACTCCGGAGCAGATATTAGATAAGGACTAGACGACTACAACAGTCACTTACATGTAGTCTACCCTTACTGTAGTAACGTCAGCATCATGGATATCTGTCGCATTGTCTTTCTCTTTACGGTATAGATATGGGCAAGATCGTGCCGTCCTCCATCTACCTCGAGGTGGTTCGCTCTGTTTTCTCTGTATAGGATCTCCAGTAGGCAATGTGCCAAGTTCGATGATCAAAGTAGCAGTCGCATGCGATTGTAGGGATTCAAACCTTCGGCAGTTGTAAGGATTGCCTAGGAGGTAACTCCAAGCTCCAGATAAATCTGCGCTTGGCAGCCTTATTAACCATCCGAGCTTATCCCACCCAAGCTCCATACGGCAGCCAAGACGTCTTGACCAAATAATGGATAGTGCTTTCGAACACATGCTCTTTAGGCATAAATATGTGCTCTAGAGTGTTCTGGTGTTGAGGTTCTCAGACAACTGCACAATCCTTCTAGTCCTATTCATCCAAGTGATCCGATTCAACATACGATCTTAGCAATGCTTCATTTATACCTACTGTTTAGTATCGGGCTCATAGTTTTCGCAGCCAGTCTACAGTTGCTGCTCCGCAATCGTCGGAAGGTGATATTCCGTTATGTGCGTGGGTCCGGGTGGATCGGTTGTCGAAACGCCGACGAAAGCAGGACTGATAGCGATGTGGAAGAGAAAGAGAGTGACTTGGAATACCTGAAAGCCCTCTTCTACCAGCTGAACAACCTCGAACGATTTCCAGACGTCCTGCCTAAAGCTAGGGAAATCCTTGTTGAGCTACTAGCCCAATGTCTCAAGCTTTCGTTAGACGACCGCGAGAGAGGCATCGATTTACCCTCCGAGTACAGCCAGAATGAGGTAGAAAGGACGATCCTGGAGCAGCATGACCGCATCGGCCAGCAATTCAAGGCGTATGTCGCGCGACGTCAGGCTGGCCTGCCAAGAGAGATGTTTTCCGACCGTGCGAGTGCAGTGGCATGGTTACGAGACCAAGCTCCGGCCAAACTCGTGGATGGCGCTTGGCTCGGGCATATCCATAGGTTTTCCACCTCATTCGATCAACGCCCTATTACTAGGCTGGCATGGCAGATTATGTCGGAAGAACTGGGCGATGGTGATGTGGCGAAGAACCACGTCTTCGTCTACCGCGAGCTTCTAGAAAATAGCGGTGTCCGCTTGCCAGCAGCAGACAGTAAAGACTTTCTCCATCCTCAACATAAGCTCCACGACGTGGGAAGCTGGAAGACGGCGCTGTCGCATTTGCTGGTATCGCTCTTCCCGCACGACTTTCTGCCCGAAATTCTTGGCTTCAATATGCATTTTGAGCAGCTGACCTGGAGCACTCTGTGCGCCGCGACGGAATTGCGAGAGCTCGGACTCGATCCGTATTACTTTTTGCTTCACATATCCATAGACAACGTGCATTCAGGACACACTGCGATGGCCCAGAGGGTTGCGTTCGACTTCCTCGAGCACGTACAAGAAAGGTCGGGGCCGTCTGCTGCGAGCGAGGCGTGGAGGCGTGTGCAAGCCGGCTACGCTCTATCTCGATACGCTAGCCAAACTAGTAGCCACATCTTTCATCAAGACAAGTTCAACTTTAATAACCGTCGTGAAAAAGAACTCGTCGCGATCTTGCGGCAGAAAGCGCTCGCCTCGCAGTGGCTACATTGTTCGTCTAAAGTAAAGCTGGGCAACCGGCCACTCTCGGATTGGTTCAGCTCGAAAGATATGGGGCATTCCGATTGGGGAGCAGAGTTATTGCAAGCGCTTGCCAGTGCCTCGCCGTGGGTATATCCAGGCAAGAGTTACAAGAGTCGCCTTGTGCAAGCGCTCTCATGGAAGGGCAAAATGTTTGGAGCCTTTTCTACCAAGGAGTTGTGCGTGCTTCGGGAGTGGATTGACGGTCTGACTGCCATTCACAGTAACCGTGGCGAGTTCTACTGGAAATTTACGCAACGTAAGACATCCGACTTGCCCGAGCTGGGGAATGGCGAGCAGGATATTCTGTTGCATTATCCGGTCTTGGGCGATGCTATTACGCCGCAGCTGGATTCCTGGTTACATGAGCAATCCGTTATGCCTTTGGCGACATTGGCCTTCACTGCGGTAGAGGGCGACGTCGATATCCTTAGACTGATTCCCCTCTGGTTCGCAGGCGCCGCTTTGCTCGAGGGTTTGGTCTCCAATCCTGCTAAGACGTGTGGTCCGGCCGTTTCGGCCTTACTAGGCGTCGTACGAGCTCAGCATGGTCTCGTCGACGACTTTGCAGGCTGTACCGGTCTAGACGAGTCTTCTTGCGCCGATGTCTGCGGCCTGCACGAGCTGGGAATGAGTATAATCGCCAAGGCCGGCATGCAAACGCCGCGATCGCTTAAGCAGGTCTATGCGGTATGTGGAGATTGTCCAGAGGCGACCATGATGCTGCACCTATCCATGAGGCCATTGAAATATGCGGAAGTCTTAAGCGGCATGTCAATGGCGTTCGCATGCTTCCACGACATACTATGTGTCTCTAGGCCTGAAATCTTGCCGGCCGCAGCAATAGCTGCTCTGAAGGGCATCGCTGCGAGAGAGAAAGCTGGGTTGCAGGTGTATCACGATGAAATTAGCGATGTGGCTGGAAAAACCGCGTTCAATCGCGGCTTCTACATAGCAAAGCGGCAGCTTGAACAATGCTACCACACCGGTTGATAGAAATGTTATAACGTTCTCGATGGGGTGTTCATGTCTTGAAGCCGAGCTATCCGTGAACGGTAGATTGCAGGGTCGAAAGACAAGCAACGAGTATGAGTATCGCTTTCGCTGGGATGAGGTTGTGTATCAGCCTGGTGAGACCGTTCGAACTGCTGACGAGGCTGTGGCATTGAGGATGACTGCGGACCGCACAGAGATCGGTGGCGATGGTGGAGAGCAGCCACCACAAGATAGAGCTCACGTTGGCATAGATATCGAGTGCATCATAATGTAGGATTGTCAATTGAAGAATGATGGAGATAACCTTCACGGTCGTTCCTGCCAACCTGCTTTTGATTAACTCAATTAATCAAAGTTTAATCCCCGCCATGCCCCACTGTTCGTTGGTCAGCACACCTCGTCATATGCGCGCGACATTCAGGTACAAAGATCAATTTCCAGGCAGCTTCTGACTTCTGGCCTGCACATTCATCAAACAACCGAAATGTCAGAACCTCAGGAACCGAACGGCCATACTAATGGTACAGCAAAGAGTGCTTCAGGGTGGGATGGCAAGCTTCGAGTCAACAAACAGGCCACCCTCGCCAACCCCGAAGCGCTAGAGGACTCCGACTACTCAGATGAGGATGCGCCGCCAGTGGAGCAGATCGACGCCGACGAGGATTTGCTCGAAGGTGAGGATCCAGAAGTAGAGGTATGTCGTAAGGACATGTTCGGCAACGATGATCTATTTACACAGCATTAGGAAATCGAACTCCTTCACTCTAAGATCACATCGATACCCGCTCTCCGCCTCGAACGATTCAAGAACCTCAAACGACTATGTCTACGGCAAAATCAGATTCAGCACCTTGAGCTACCCGAGACCTGCAAAACCACGTTGGAAGAGCTTGAGCTGTATGACAATCTACTAAAGCATATCGACGGCGTTGAGGAATACACAGAACTGCGCATCCTCGACCTCAGCTACAACAAGCTCAAGCACATCAAGCGCGTGAGCACTCTCAAGAAGCTGGATCATCTGTACTTTGTGCAAAACAGGATATCCAAGATCGAAGGATTGGAGGAGCTGACCAATCTGACATATCTCGAGCTTGGTGCGAACAGGATACGAGAAATCGAAGGTTTGGAGACTCTGACCAAGTTGGACAGTCTATGGCTAGGACAAAACAAGATCACAGAATTGAAGGGACTTAGCACTCTGACGAACCTTCGGACACTCAGCATCCAGGCCAATAGACTCTCGTCTCTCGACGGCATTGAAGCTTTGCCGCAACTTACGGAGCTCTATATCAGCGACAACAAGGTGACGTCTCTGGAACCACTCAAAGCTTGCACCAAGCTTGAGATCCTGGATTTTCAAACGAATCCCATCACTTCCCTGGTTGGCCTTGAGGACCTCAAGGATTTGGAAAACATCTGGGCGTCAAATTGTCAAATTGACAGCTTTCAAGAAGTGGAGCGGGCTTTAAAGGATAAGGAGAAATTAGAGGAGGTATACTTCGAAGGCAATCCACTGCAGAGGCAGAATGCGGTGCTCTATCGGAACAAAGTGCGGTTGGCACTGCCGCAGATCTCGAAGATTGATGCTAGTAAGTGTTTCATACCTACTCTCTTTAGATAGAGGACTGGCTAACACTGTGCAGCATACGTAAAAGTAGCATGATTGTCATTTCCGAAGAAGCAGTCTCTCATTTAGCGTGGCGCTCGGGCGTTGGAGAAGGCGCTGCGCTCAGGTGCGCTACATGTTATATACGGCTTTCCGGTCACTTTAGAGATAGGCACCGCCACTGCGACGAAGACATGCCAATGGAGAAAATGAGATGCCAAGAATGAGAAGACACTTTGCCGCTGATCTGCCTAACATGCTTTCACAGGACATCACTGCGTCTTAATTGCCCCAGAGCGGAAGTAGAGAGACTCAAGACATACTGTACAATATTGGTCAGCTTCTTCTCGAGCTGGACCCTTTTGCGAGATCGACACTGCTGATGAAGCGGAGAAGTTGGGGTGGAAAGCTGGGAATACTGAGCCCCAGAGAATGAGGACGGGTGGATGGGGTTACTATTGAGTTGATGGAGAAGGTGTGGTGTAGGAACTGCTGCGGCAGATGAGTTTCTCTATTTAGTGCCAAGAATGGCTTGTGGTGGCGAGAGATGTAGATCGAACTCGTGTCATGCTCAAGGTTGGCTGCATGGATGTCTTGCAGAGGATCGCCATAAGGTATGACGACTAGCGCTCGGACCATGTTCCGAACAGTGAGACGTCTCGTCAACTTCTGCTACTGCTATGATGATAATGCCACCTCTTCTCCCTGCGGAGTTTGCGAAGACTCCATTAATAATGATTCCAGAGCCAGCAGTCGCGAGTGGATCTGGGGAAGCCGAAGCCACGCGCCGTCTCCGCGCGTCACGTCTGCGAATTTCAACTCTTCGCCGTTCTCGCGGCTAACTCAGGCAAGCAACTCAAGCGGACTTTCGACTGCGACCTCTTCTCGATGCTCACACTGCACAACCATTAAGATCGTCTATTTACATTGGCATGATCCCGGCTGATCGATGATCTCGCCGCCTTCTGCAGGCAGTGCAATGAGCAACTGGAAAAGCCCTGCATGCAGCGATTCCGGAACACTAACCGGATCTAAGAGGCGCTCCGGGTGGTGCTAGCCAGATAGACCGCCTTTGAAGGCTTTGATCAACCACAGTGCGCAATATTCAGGCCTGCAGCAGAATTTCCCATGTCGGCTCCTGGCACCGTGGAGTCTTCGGACAGTGCGCTGAGACGAGAACGTGCTGTAATTGCCGCTCAAGCCTGTCAAACGTGTCGAAGCAGGTATGGCCACTCATTTTCGCCGCGTCTCGGGGCCGGTAGCGCGAGTGGCAGAAAAGGCTGACTAGCACCAGGAAAAGCAAATGTGATGAGCAGAGACCGAAATGTACGTTGGCGCTCGAGGACAATTTTCAAAGCATAGACTCATGGCATCGCAGGTGGTCTCTGCCGAAGGCTCAATGTCGATTGTGTTTATCGAGAGCCGCTCCCGACCAAGTATGTGCCAGCATTTGATGTTCAGCAGCGATTCTAACAAGTGCTACAGGAAGGACAAGACTCTGGTTCACATCCTGGATACTTTGACGCGAATTGAGAACAAATTCGATACCCTAAATCTATCTGGATCTGCCAGAACTCCAGAGACCGATGCTTCAAGTGGCGCTAGACAATCCGTCAGTCATTCGTCCAGCTCTTCAAACAGAAACTATCGAGGTCGAGATGATGTCTCAGCCTCAGGGTATCCTATGGAGTTGCAGCAGGGCTATCATCACCTGACTGTACCTCACAAAATTATCCTCTGGCCCAGCGTCTATATCCATCTGGTCAATTCGGGAATTGGAGCTGCAAGTGATCTGCAGTATGTGCTTCAAGAAGGTACCCCTTGGTTCATACGACAGGAGATGACTTCGAACGGGGATACGATGTCTCCAGAAGCTGGACTGCCTAGCTTCACCCCTAACGGCAGGACTACAGACCCAACCTCACCACCGCGTCTGGCCTTCTCGCACCTTCCGGCACAGCGCATACACGAGTATTGTGACGCATACTTCAACTCTTTCAATGTCTTGGCGCCAATACTGAACAGAGAATCTTTTATGAACGATGTCGCGAGACCAATTGTACAGCATGGTTTTGCGGAAGCAGAACCAGAGAGTGTGATGCTTCTTCTCGTCCTGGCTTTGGGTCAGGTGGCTCTGGAAGGTGTTTTCGAGCGGCCGATCAGTATGGTCAATGGTACACCGAGTGGCTTCCGCGGAGGTACAGCTGTGAGACCACCTGGCCTAGAAATCTTCAATGAAGCTCGGAAAAGGATTGGCTTCATTGCGATGCAGATGACGCTGGAGAATGTGCAGATTATGCTCCTGCAGGCAACATATTTCGAAGCAACAGCACGCCACTTGGAGTTCTGGCGTTCAACGGTGTCTGCATCAATGGCATGCCAAGTTTTAGTCAAGTGTCAGACGATTGACTGGTCAACACAGTATGGCGACCTTGTTAAACGTGCTTACTGGTGCTGTGTCCTTGCTGAGGATCTCTACCATCTGGATCTCGACCTACCTCAGAGCGGCATTCAGCAGTTGGAAGACCTCGTTCCTCTGCCATACTTTCAAGAGGGACAGGACTTGGCAAATCCGAGCTTTTATGGTGGCGACGATCGATCCCACTTCCAATATCACTTTCTGGCCATGATTGCCCTTCGACGCCTCATATCCAGAATACATGAGGTGATCCACGAGAGTATGCTATCGAAACGGAGAGTCGAATGCACAAGCTAATACTTTGTCAGATTCATCGCCGCAGAGCGAGTCAGCTGACGATTATGGAGGACCTCTCGTTGCTGTGACGCGCGAAATGGCTCGACAGCTAGAGTCCTGGCGCTCACTTCTCCCTCGGCCCCTTCAATGGCAGGACAGCGACAAACTCGACTTCCCGAACATCGACCCATCAGGCCGACGTCCAAACGAACCTCTTTTCTCGCCAGACCAAGGGCCCGTACCGATCGGGCACAAATTCAATCTGGATCTAGTGACGGCTCAACTGCGCACAAGATTCTACTATGCGCGATTCATGATGTACAGACCTTTCGTGTACAAAGCTTTACATTTCCCGGAGCTGATGACGAGCGAAGACTGTAATGGCTGCGCGCTCGCCATTCAGTCAGCTCTCATGTGGCCGATATCAATGGCGCCACCGAAGAACAAAAAGCGACTCGTGCCACACCTGTTCGCGTGGACACAAAATTTCATGGCAATATTGCTGATCCTGCGCATGACTACAGAGAATGAGTGCTTGAAACAGATATGCGATGAGAATGTCAACAGGGATGATGTGCAACAGTCGGTGGCGTTGATGCTGGAATGGATAAGAGATGTCCGCCAGGTTGACGGTATTGCTGCGTGGGCTTGGAGGATCCTTGAGCCGCTTTACTCTCTTAGCAGAGAATGACGAACGTGAAAGGAGGACGATTTTCGATTTCCGCACACTCAAGTGCTTGCGTATACCCTACAGCGCGCTGTTTTGCGTAGCCAGGTAGCATCCAAGACGATTTACGAAAAGATGCCTTCCGAGGTGCAGTGGATGCCTGAAAAACTAGCCGAATCCGATTGAGTTTGGATCTCATGCAAGTTGTTGCGCCACATCTCATGAAACCCTAATCTCGTCCCTGAACCCTGAAACATACATAAAACATTCATCGTCAGAGCCGCATTTGTGGTTCGATTTTCCACAGCACTGCCCACCACGATCACGATTCACGATAACCCTGTCAGTCACAGCAATTGCGAGCGCTGCAATTGGTTGTCAGGACACTACCCAAGTCTTCAAATACCGGCCACCCACCATGACTCTCGACGCGCAAACACGCGCGAGACCTGCCCTGTCACATCGAGCAGAAGAAAACCGAACTATGCACCACGAAGCAGATGTCGTCGTTGTTGGCGCTGGAATTTTTGGATGCGCAATTGCATGGGCCCTCGGGAATCAGGGAAGGAGCGTCATATTATTGGAGAAGTCATTGAAAGAGCCCGATCGCATTGTAGGAGAATTGCTACAGCCAGGAGGTGTGACGGCATTGGAGAAGCTGGGGCTAAGAGACTGCTTGGAGGGAATTGATGCAATCAAAGTCTATGGCTACGACGTGATATATTATGGCGAGGAGGTGCGGATACCATATCCAGAGAACGCGACAGATACTGTTCAGGAGATCAACGAGAAACAGAGCCACAGTGACGAGTTTCGAGGGACTAAGAGGAAACGACCTGAAGGCCGCTCCTTCCATCATGGTCGATTTATTCAGAGGTTACGGCAGAAAGCCATGTCCAATCCAAATGTGACCACAATCGAAGCGACAGCGACAGAATTGGTGCGATGCGGATCCACGGGACACGTTCTTGGTGTAGAGGCTACCCGAAACGGCGAACAGGAGTCATACTTTGGCAACGTCACCATCGTTGCAGACGGATATGCCAGCAAGTTCAGGAAAGAGTCGCGGACCGACACACCTGTGGTCAAATCAAAATTCTGGGGCCTGGAATTAATCGATGCAGATTTGCCTATGCCCAACCACGGCCACGTCCTACTAGGCGAAGGATCACCAGTACTATTATACCAGATCGGCACCCACGAAACTCGTGCACTGGTCGATATTCCAGAAAACACTCGCACCGCAAGCGTAAAAGCAGGTGGTGTCAAAGGCCACCTCAAAAACGTCGTCCTCCCATCCCTCCCAAAACAAGTCCAACCCTCCTTCCAAGCAGCAATCGACCGAGACCGTCTCCGCTCAATGCCCAACTCCTGGCTCCCACCCACCACCAACAAAACCCCAGGCCTGATCCTCCTCGGCGACGCCATGAACATGCGCCATCCCCTAACCGGCGGCGGCATGACAGTAGCCTTCAACGACGCAGTCCTCCTCTCCGAACTCCTCTCCCCAGAAATCGTCCCCGACCTAGACGATACAAAACTCGTCCTCCACCAAATGCGCACATTCCACTGGCGCCGCAAAGGTTTGACTTCGGTCATCAATATTTTAGCACAAGCTCTCTATTCCCTTTTCGCTGCGGACGACTACCAACTCAAAGCTTTACAGCTGGGATGTTTCCGATACTTCAAACTCGGCGGGAACTGTATTGATGGACCGGTGGGATTGTTGGCGGGAATCATTCGGCAGCCTTTTGTGCTTTTTTATCATTTTTTCTCGGTCGCGCTGTATGCGATTTGGATCTATATTACCGGGGCGAGTTTTTTTGGGATGCCGGTGAGAGTGATTACATCCATTGGCGTGTTTTGGAAGGCTTGTGTTGTTATTTTTCCGTACATTTTTTCGGAGTTGAGGGGTTAGAGGGAAAGGGAAAGGAGATGCAGTATAAGATAGCTTTTCGTAGAGATTAGCGAATTAATTGTAATGATAGATGGACAGGTGCGACTCTTCTAGTAATAAGAATGTTTTCCTTTTATAGCAAATATCTTCGTTTATATAAATAAGTTACCTTATCTCTCTCTCGACCGTAGATCGAAGTATATTACCTCGTTCGATAACTACCTATACTATATTAGTAACAACCTCTAACTAAATAGACGACGAATTAATTAGCAATTCTATTAGTAGTACCGAGGCAGCTTAGAGTAAATACTAGGATAGCGCGTAGTATTTTAATATATAATATAGAGAGAATTTTCTTTTACTATAGTAGGAAGTGCGTAGTATAATAGCTACTATTTTATATATTTTCCGTTTATAAGGCGAGCGGAAGGACAAGGTACTAGGTAGTTTACTATCTACTCCTTAGAAAAACGAGTAGTATATTATAGCGTACTCGTAGCCTTTTGTTAGGACTAAAGAGGTTACACGTAATTGGCATGTAACCGGGCTCGAGTAAAGCTAGGGTCTCGATACCTTAGGCAGGACTTAGCGCTTAGCGTTAGGCTAACTAGCCTGCCTTCCTCCCTCTCCTCTTAGATCTCTATCGAATACTATACTAATTCACTACTACGCTATCTACCTGCTAACATAACCCTTCTTATATAGTATTCGATCCACCCTTTAAGGGTAGTAGCTAGATAGTCCTTATTTCAAGCTTTTAGCGGTATAGCTACGAGCAAGACTAATCTAACTATATTGCGCCCGAAGAACGGGACCTATACGTACTATCCTATCGAAACAACCGTACTAATTATCGAGCAAGGCCTTCTATACGGCCTATTATACTAAGTTAATCGTACTAGACTAATATCTACTAATTCCGCTATATCCGTATCTTAGGGGCTAACAATATATTATTAGTATTACCCCCTATTACAATAGCCGGCTTATTACGAAGCAATAACAACCGTACTACTACTAGTAGCGCTAGCAATAACAACGCTAGTAGCATAGTCCCCGCTAAAGTGCCTACTAAAGTGCCTCCTACTAAAGAGCCTACCGGAGAGCCTATTAAAGAAGAACCTATAATTCTAGGTAACGACCTAGAATTGCCTATCGACGACATTCTTAATAACATTGTTAATCGACGATATAGCTAGCTAGCCTTTAGCCCCTAACTAGTAGGGAGACTCTAAGAAGCTACCTAAAACAGGCTTACTGCCCTACGTTAAGAACAATAGCTAAAGGACAACCTCCTCGAAATTCGCCGCCTTTAGGAGGCCCTAATAACTAACACTAAGCCGACAGTAGGGCCTTCCTTACTATTAGTCCTAGTCTAGAAGAAGGATGCTAAACTTAAGGACTATACCGTGTTCGATAGCTCTAGTCGCAAGTAATATAATAATTATATACGTAATTGTAAGCTCAACTAGCGAAATGTACTAAGGGCTCTTCTAGACGACTATTCCTTAGTTGTTTACGCTATATAGTACATTAATAGTAACCTAAAGCGTACCTAGGACGACTATTTCGATTCCCTTAATAATTAGACTACTATTTAGTAGAAAACCTATAAGACTATTATGCTAGACACTCTTAGAAACCCTATACTAAGGCAACAACACGCTTAGGACTAGTACCTTCGGGCTAAGCAAAAGACTAATTAGACAGCTCGCTTATTTAAGGCCTATTTAAAGACCCTCGAAGACGACCTCCCGACTAAAACTAATTCTATCTAGATCTCCGAAATACGCCCTAAATTGAGATAGGAATTAGTCCTTAAGTTAGACCGCCGCCGTGTGTTTAAACAGACCAATCTTATACGCATTCAATTTATAGTCGAAGTAGAAACAGCCGAACGGGCTGTTTAGCTCTAATAACGACTAGAATCGAGGATCCGACTAGCTAGTACTAACCGTAGCAACCGTAGCCGCGGAGGAAACTAAGGTTCCTACTATAACAACAATACTAATAATAGGAACAGTAACAATAACCGTAGAAGAGGCCGTAGCCGCCGGCTATATAGAGGAGGCCGCGATAGGGGCCGTAGAAGGGGCTCGTATCCCTATAATACTAACCGCTCGGCTAATAATAGTAATAATAGCTACGGTAGTCTACTAACCGGATTGAAGTGCTTCAACTGTAATAGTACTAGCTATCTACTAGGCTAATACGACAAACCTAAGGACTAGGCCCGAATTGACCGTGCTTCCGCTAAGTATAGGAAGCACCTTTTAGTAGCTAACGCTACCCCTATAGGCTAACCTTCGAAAAAAGAGTAAGCGCCGTACTAACTGTTAGCCTTATACGGCGTAAGACTATCGACATTGTACTAGCTATAATACGCTCCTACCTTATATAGGACACGAAGGGCACTACCTATTAAACTAAGGTTATACTAGATCTAGGAAATTTAGTTAGTACCCTTATTAGCTATCGCCTAGCTAAGCAATTAGACCTTCGACAACTGCCGAAGACTAACCTACTAACCCTTGCTTAGTTTAATAACGCTCGGCACTTGACCTATAGGGCCTACTATATTCCTATAGCTCTAAAGGACGACCTCGGAAATGAACGCCTACTAGACTTCACTGCCTACGTAGTAGATATAGACAACCTATATAGGGGAGCTACTATTGTTATTAGCAACCCTGTTCTTAAGTACTACGCTATAGCTATAGACTTAGGCATTTAGAAGTAGCGATTTAGAATCGCTCGGAAAGAGGACATTAAATACATTAATGTTAGCGAGTGCCCTAACGATATTAGGGTCTTGTTTATTAGCAACCTAACACCGGCCTCCGCCTTAGCTAATCCGATAGCTAATCTTCTCGGTAGAGATAACGATAAGCCTGTGCCCCCTAATAGTATAGACCCTAATTAGCTTGCTCGCATACCGGAGCCTATTCGAGAAACCTATATTAATGTATTCAAACACTACTTAGCATCGACGTTGCCTATATTTAAAGAGACGGATTATAAGATTAATATTATAGAGGGTAAGGAGGTTCCTTTTAGACCCCTCTATAACCTTAGTAAACGAGAGCTTGCTATATTACGTAAGTACCTAGAGGAAAACCTAGCTAATAGTCGCATTCGGTATAGTAATAGCCCTGCTAGCGCCCCTATCCTATTCGTACTAAAGAAGGATAGTAGCCTACGCCTATGTGTTAATTATCGTAGGCTTAACGCTATTACTATTAAAGACCGCTGTCTACTTCCTCTTATTAATAAGACCCTCGATCGCCTTTCTAGTGCTTACTACTATACTATATTAGACATTAAGGATGCATACTATCGCATCCGTATTCGTAAGGGTAACGAATAGAAAACAGCCTTCCGTACTCGCTATAGCTATTTCGAGTACTTAGTTATACTATTCGGCTTAGCTAACGCCCCTGCAATATTCTAGTCCTATATTAATCGGGCCCTTTCGGGCCTATTAGACTATCTCTGTATGGTTTACCTAGATAACATCCTAGTTTATATACACTTACCTAACATTGCGGAGTACTAGGCTATAGTCCGTAAGGTGCTCGATCGCCTACGAGCCTATAGACTGTATTGCAAGCCTTCTAAATGCACCTTTGCTACTAAGGAGGTAGCCTTCCTTAGTTTCATCGTATTAACTAATAGTGTTAAGGCTAATCCTAATCGGATCAAAACAATCACTAAATGGCCTATTCCTACGTCTATTAAGGAGCTTCAATCGTTCCTTAGCTTCGCTAATTTCTACCGCCGGTTTATTAAGGGCTATTTACGGCATATAATGCCCCTAACTAAGCTTACTAAAACTAAGGCCAACCTAACTAGAGAGTTTAAATAAACTAACAGAGTACAAGCCGCTTTTAACGGCCTAAAGCAACGCTTTACTAATGTCCCTTTGTTATACTATTTCGTACTAAGCAAGTAGATCCGAATTGAGACTAACGCTTTATAGTTCGCTATATCGGCTATTATATTATAGCAATTAGATAATAACTATTACTAGTACCCGATTGCCTTCTTTTTACGAAAGATAATCGATATAGAGCGTCGATATAAGACCTACGAGTAAGAGCTCCTAGCTATTGTCGAGGCCTTTAAGTACTAGCGCTACTATCTCGATAGTGTATAGTACACCATTTAGGTCTATACGGACTATAATAACCTCCGTAGAATTACGAAGGTTACTAGGGTTATAGGTCGATAGGCTAGATAGGCCGTCTATCTCGCCGGGTTCGATTTTAATATATTATATCGGCTAGGCGTAAGCAACCCTGCTAATACTTGAAGTGTGTAGTGTGTGGTATTACGTGTATAATGCCTAAGGCTAAAACTGCGCACTTTATCTTTAGGCTTCCTATAGATTAGCCCTCTTCTGAATATATTACAGTTTATATTAAGTAGTTATGAGCCCCCTGCGTTTCTAATACGCACAACACGTTTATTACGTATTCTAATAGTCACTCCGACTGCTACGTAGACAGCGCTCGTTACTAAAAATTGCGCCGACACTATTGTCGTCGCCGCTACCCTCGCCGCCCTCGAGTATTCTAGTAGGTGCTAGACTCGAGTCGGCTACTATTAGTGTTGGCTGTCCGCTATACCCGTTTCTAACATTAGTGTTAGCTGTCCGCTACACTAGAACACAGGCGCGCCTATCGGCCGCCCCTTTCTATATTATCGCCGTCGCTGTCCGTAATAGCTCCCCCTATAACCTCTAGCGCTTATATAAGCAATATTCCTAAGCTAAAGAACAAAGAGAACTACCTATTATAGTTATATACTACTAAAGGCGCCCTTAAAGGTATGTCGGTTTAGCGCTATATGCAAGGCACCTGCTAGCGACCCCTTACTAAGGCATCTAGTAAGACTTCTAAAGAGTTTGAAGACCGCTAAGATGAATGGGACTCTAAAGATTAAACAGCACGTACCTAGATCTTTGCTAATTGTATTAGTAATATTTAACAATTACTGCTTAGTCTATCTATATCCTAGGAAGTGTAGGACTTCCTTAAGAAGAAATACACTAGTAAAGGTAGGTCTACTAAATTCATGCTCTACT